GTGTCAGTGCTTTGGCTTTGCTTTGAGCGTCTGACGCAATGACGCTCGGTCTACAGAGGGGACGACTATTGTGTTCTATGCATTGTGGCCAGTCAGGTACATGCACAGTCCACATAGGCCTTAGCTGTGGACGGACGACATGCGCAATATAAATGTGCAGATTTTTGTTGGGCTCTTCAATCCTTAGCCGTCTGCGAACCAATGGTGAGTATTCCTGGTCCCCTCTCTTCTCTCCACTGACTAGTCGCATAGCCTAAATATACCGCATTCGAACACGTGAGCCCGCGCCCTCTCCACAGCCTCTCGTCCTTCAACGATGTTTGCGCCGAGTCGGATGTCACCAGTAGTGCCACCGACTCAGACGACGAGCACACACTCACTGCTTTCGGTGATGTATCCCTCACCGAAGAATATACGATTAGCTCAGCTACAAACGGCAGTCGTCGCAATCATTTGTGCTTGAAGTTGACACGCCCGTTGTTTCCTAAGAAACGAAAAACGAAGGTGCGTGTCGCTTCTGTACAGGTACTTCTACTCTTATTGACGTTTCCTATAGAATCCAGCTGAAAAATTCACTGACTTATCGGGATCGCCACCACCTCCCTCTCCTCTCTCACCTTTCGATTTTTTTGAATCATTTCGTAGACACCCTCATCAATCAGACAAACGACGTACTGCTCAGCCTTCGCAATCAGACAGTACTGTTGAGGCAGAAACCCAACCTCGTGCAGCTGACTCACAAGAGTCTACCTCTAGTAGCTCTAATGATTCAGACTATGAACCAGGGCAGTCGATGGTTGCGAAGGACGTTCCTCTCGTCGCTGAGGTTCCTGAACCGGCCACCAATGCCGAAGTGGGATGTCAATAATTGAGTCGCGCTGCACGTATTCATCAATGTAGTATTATTAAGTATTATAACAATTTATACCCAAGTTCCAGAGTACAATTAAGCGTCCATGGACCATGTGTGATGAATGGCGAGGTAGTTTAATTGTGACAAGTGCATGTCGCACATACATAGTCAACTGCACACAGAGAGGCCAATATACATATGCGAGCGAGCGCACAGAGTGATGTCCGGTTTCCGGACTGCCAGCCTGAATGTTAATCAGTTGTACGGTAATTATTTGGAAAGTCACCAGCGAGAAGAGATGAGGTTCGAATGAAATATTGAGAGATTGTCGGAAATGTCAATACACACTGAGGCATCATCGTTATCGTTGGCGTTGAAGACGGCGACCTAGAACAAGTGAACCGAATTAGAAAGTCTGACGTTGATATACCAATTCCATCGACTTACGTCGGGTACTTCAGCTAAATCACTCCTCGCCGATAGACGTGCCGAACGATTTAGAACGGTGATCAGCGCCAACCGAACGATGTTCAAGATTCAGAAGAGTGAGGGCAGCGAGGGAAACCGAAATGAAATGACATCGCATCGTCTCTGGTTCTCTCGCTGCACTCAAAGGTCTGGTCCTCTCTGTTCATCGCAAGTCGGGTAGTCGACTTTTTCGTGTGTGCGGTGATTGGCTAATTGAATGATGACGAACCTTCAAGTTTCGCTTTGAGGACAGCGAGAAAACCCCGGCTATGGATGTAACATCCTGAGATCTCTCGTTGCCCCAAAAATATTAGTCTTCCCTTTTCGCCGCAAGTCGGGAAGTTGCTCTCTCGTGTAGTCGCTTATTCGTCTTTGTACGACGCCGGTGATCACCCTGCAGAGCCGAAACATGTGGATCAATATCAGACGTGACTGAATATAAGTGCCATGGGGCGCACAAGAAAACCAATCAAGGTCTGAAACAAACCAAGTCGAGGTATCAAAAGCATATTCAGATTGGCTAGCAATATTTTCTCACTGCGTCTTCAATCCCACTCGGTCTACCTGGTGGGGACTTCCTCAGATAAGGAGTCGGTTGTCGAATCGATCAAATCTGAAGTCGAGTCAGGAATCCTAGCATCAGCATTGGAAGTCAACTCATTCAACAAGGCACGTACTAGAGCTAGGGCTACGCAAATGCAGAACCCGTGGAGCTGTTCCGAATAGTGACACTTCCCCTCTACGCATTGTGCTATCAGGAGGAGAAACTTTAGAGGGCTTAACCCATGGTCAAATTGGGGGGGCGTACGCGCAGCATAATAAGCATATACAAGTGAGCCCAGAGAGAGGGCTACATCTTCTCACTATGTCCGGAAATCGTTTGGGGGCGGGGTCATGGTCACCAACGAGGAAAGATAAACTTATTGTGAAACGTTGGGATAGTCGTAGAGTAGGCAATGAGGGAATGTGTGGCCTGCTGCTCTGAGAAGAGGTTGCATGCTTATACTTATAGAAATCGATAAAGCGGGTTCTACGAGTGATGAGCGCTGATAAATCCGCCATTTTTTGACCGATCATGATGGGACTTTGAAAGAGCTGCGATGTGATGCAAGAATGGAAGCATTAATTGACTGCATGGGTATTATTCACACATGGGCTTAAGTACTTACTGCGTCCCTCGAGGTCCATTCCCATTCCCATCTAGTGGGCAAGTATGAATCTGACACTGCCCAGTGCTAGAAGACGATATCGCAAGTTTCTCTACCATAATCTAGGTCTCAGCAAGACTAGCATTGTGGGCATGTGGATGGTGATTATGGAATGGTGCGACGCAGGAACAGAAGCATCATCGGAAGCATGTTTTAAGCTTGGTGAATCTGTATGAGTATCCCCCAGAATTTAAGAACAGCTTCAATGACATGGTGAACCGATGTGGATCACTAGATGAACCAGTGGCAAAACTTATTGTAAAACCGGCCAAGGCACATGGTCAGTTCCTTTGATCCACCACGCAGACACCCTGGTGCTACATGGATGGACGATCAATGTGGTGGGCGACGAATGGGTTTCTCCGAATGAGCATTTCGGTCGTTGCAGGATCATCTACAGATGATAGTGAGTAAAATAAAATGAAAGCACGAAGATGCAGACGCACCATTAAACCTGTATGCATCACTATTTATGTATGTTCGCCCATCTACACTGGCAGGAGGAGGATACCAGAGAATGTTTTCAAATTAGACGCGAGATAAGATTACGAGGCCTGCCTTTCTTGCTCGATATGGGAGTGGCTCTCATCTGGTCCACGATGACTCTGGTCTTGGAGGCCTTGCGCGACTGAGCATCGGACAAGAACTGCGGGAGACGCCTGGATGACAAGCGTAAAGAAGGTAGAGAGGAATCAAGACGGGGGGCAGGAGAGTGTTGTGTATCAAAGGACCAGATGACAGATCCATACCTGATCTCCCACCAGGTAGAATGCCTAACCTTCCAAACTCCTGTGTCTTGCTCGGGCTTGATGGACGTCTGCATAAACTTGAAGCTACAGAGGAAGCTTCAATTGAGCTAGCTCGGTAAAAAGTCAACGGAAGATACGGAAAATAAACGAATGGCACAAACAAAACATCCGGCAAAGCGCACAGCAGGAAGGATGAGCGTAGTCTCAGACAAAGCCTTGGCAAACTAGTAATCGAAGGAATGATTATCGGCTTTTTGTAAAACCGTTGTTATACTGTTGATATCGATACACTACGATGCATCATCATCATGCGTTGGATGCAAGGAAGCATAGAAGGGGTAACAGCAGACGATTGTGATCGTTGGCGTTGAAGCTGGTGACCTGGAACAAGCAAACTGGGTTAGGAAGACTGACGCTGACATATCAATTCCATCAACTTACGTCCAGTACTTCGGCTAAATCACCCCTCGCTGATGGACGTGCCGAACGATTCAGGACGGTGATCAACGCCAACCGAACAATGCCGAAGATTCAACTTTGAGCGCAGCGAGAGAACCCGACATTAAATGACCGCGCATCATGACTGGTTGTCTCACTGCGCTCAAAGGACTTGTCCTCTCTGTTAACCGTAAGTCGGACAGTCGACTCTGTTGTGTGAGCGGTGATTAGCTAACTGAACGATGACGAACCTGTTAGCTTCAAGTTTGAGGGCGGCGACATAACCCAACGTGTGACATCGGACACACTATGAGATCACTCTCTGCACCCAAAGGACTGACTGGTCCTTCCTGTTCACCGCAAATCGGAAATTTGCTCTCCTGCGTAGTCACATATTCGTCCTCTTCACGTTGCTAAGTGATCATCCCTGCGGAGCTGCATATGTGGATCAATATCAATGTGACTGAAGACAAGTGCCATGGGGCACACGAGCAAATCAATCAAGGACTGAAATCAAGTGAACACGTCAAAAACGTATTAAGATTGGCGAGCAGTGTCTACTCACTGTGCCTCGAGTCCCACTCTACCCGGTGGGGACAGCCTCAGATAAGGAGTCACTAGTCAGTGGTACCGTCGAATTGATCAAGCCTGAAACCGAGTGAGGAGCCCTAACGCCAGCATTGCATGTTAACTCATCCAACAAGACACTTACTAGAATCAGAGCTGCGTAGACGCGGAACACGTGAAGCTGAAGATGCGACATGAAAAGGAAAAAACTGAGACGATATTTTATGGACAGTATATATATGTGCGATGGATTGAATAATTGATACAGTCTCCCGGTTGACGGTGATCTTGTGTTGTGAGTGTGCCGAGGCCTGACAAGACAGACCGCCCAAAGGCACGTGCACTGGATTTCAACGTTTCAACGCGTAAACAAACATCAACAATGCGGTCGATGTCCTCAGATGAGTTCTCGATATTCAATCATGGTTCGTCAACAAAGACTTCATCCATAATCCACTCCCACTACCACTCAAAACCTTAGCGTGATCCAGCGAGGTTGATTAGAGTATTGAAGGAGGATAGCGTGGGAGCTGTAAGGAGCCTACACCAGTAAATGTAAGTAAGTTAGCACTTCGTGAAAACCTCTATAATATGATATAGCACGGTGGGGAGTCTCAGGCCTCAGGACCTGGATCCCACTATTTAAAACCAGTCTTGCAATATATGGGTCAGCTAATATTCTCTTCGACTGTTTCTGCATTGTTAGTTTCTTTGACGGTGGTTCGCTGATAAGAAATTATTGGTAGCTAAGTCACTCACTTCGTTTCGCACTGGCAAGACTATCATTGAACAGAATTCGCATGCCACCGTCATGACTTCATTAATGCGTGGCAGGCCCCTATTTTCTTGAATAAAAAATACTTCAAAGCTCCGTCTCCTATGTCTGCTCCTCCACAATGTCCACGAAGTCTGAAGTCTTTGATGACACCACGTCCGTCTCCAACCCACCTCCCACGTACGATGCAATTTCTGCGTCCATACCAGCAGATTTTGCCCAGTGCAAACGATCGGTATTTTCCTTCCTGCAATCCACTCAAAAGCGTCGTGCAATAGTTCTCTCTCGCATCCAAGGAATTGTCTCCTCTCCAGATCTCACCCCTTCATCTGTCGGGCCAATCCTCGACTCCTGCGCTGCTGCTCTGCCAGCAGCAGAGTTCTCCGACCTCCTGCAACAACGCAACATCGAAGACCACACAGCGCTGTATTGGGTGATCGTAAAAAAGCGGCGAGAAGTCCTTTGGGCGTTCACTAAATTCATTTCCGAATTCTCGCCTGCTTGCTCTTCCGACTTACGACTTGCGTGCTTGATAATTAACGACCACGATCTGTTTATGCGGCTGAATTTGGGGGACAACGTTAATCGTACGTGCATGGTCCACAATGTCCCGAGAGAGCGTCAGTTAACTAACCGCATGCTGTCAGCCAAGGACAAGTCTTCGAGACGCATATTGGGTTGTCCGCAAGATAAGATTGAGGTGCTCCGGGATGGACTGGCCGAAAACCGCTACACTGTTCGTTTGGTCTTTAAGAAGTTCCAGACACGCCTGCGTATTATGCAGGAATTTTCAGCAGAATTTATCGTCCAGGGTATGTAGCCCATGTCTTTTGGCTTGTTTTTTTCACGCTGATCGAACATATTGTTCCCTGAAGGACGTATATGGCTGTTGCGATTTTATATGAGAATGGACGGGAAGTGGTACGTTGAGTATGCTCTTTCTGAACCTAGCCCGCCGGTGGTGCATCCAGACGTCGAAATTATCATTACGTCCCACAGGCCGCCGCCTGGCTCGGGTAATCCGGAACTACTTTTAAAATTGGAATGCCCAACACACACACTTGCACCTAAGGAGTGGGTGTATTATTGCCACACATTCGACGGTATACTGAAGTTTTTGTTGTTCCTATGTAACCTTTCTTGGTTTCCTTGCTCTGGTCAACACACAGATCGTATGAACGTTACAAGGTCACTGAACCTGCCAGGGTCATATTTGCAGTGTTCTTCCCGTTAAATGATTGGCTTATGGACGAGTAAGTCCTCGTTTTCCATCGACGTGTTTTGCAAGTATCCGTGAACTGACTCGGGTTGTATGGTTTTAGTGATACTACATATGTAGACTGCGATGGCACCCTAACTGTAGCATTGAAGATGATAATTGCATAGTGCTTCGTTAGTCAGTCCATCTCTTCGATCCAAACAAGCGCTCGATGTCACATTCATAACACCCCTCGCATACAGTCTACAGACAAAACTAGGTAATCATAAACCAAGATAATGAAACGCACACCGGACACGTACATAGAGCACAAGAACATAACAGTGAATTACAGCAGACAATCCCCATGGTCCGTCATGTCGCCTCCAATACAAACGATAAAAGACGGGGGTGGTGCTACATACAGTGATTGCGAAACAACTAAAAACGACAAAAAAGGTGCATCTACATAGTATAGGCGCTATCACCACACGATGGGCCGCGCATACATGCTGCTTGCGTAGGTGGGAGCAGCGACTGGGACCCATGAGGTCGGTGGTAGCGGCGGCGGTGGTGGCGGGGCGCGGGCTGGGACGTATGAGTATGGATACCCCGGCGCGCGCGGGAGGTGATAGAAGGGTCCAGGCGGCGCAGGGGGCTGTACGTGGAAGGGCATGTCTGGAAATGACGATGCCGTAGGGAACGACGGGCGTGCAGCGCTATTGGAAACCAATGCTTTGACGCCGAACGTAGGTGACGGAAGCTCCATCCACCCGTTTCTCCCTGGCGTGACGTGGTTTCCGGGGCTGAAGGGTGAGTCTGTATCAGAGTCGTGGTCACCGCCTTGTACGGTGCTGGGACTCTTTTTGTCTCCCTCACTGGGTGATGTGGAAGGTCCTGGCGAGTGTAGGCTGTCGGATGAAGATTTGGAGTGATTACGAGGCCTGCCTTTCTTGCTTGATACGGGAGTGGCTCTCATCTGGTCCACAATGACTCTGGTCTTGGAGGCCTTGCGCGACTGAGCATCGGACAAGAACTGTGGGAGACGCGTCGATGACAGGCGTGAAGAAGGTCGAGAGGAATCAAGACGTGCGCGAGATGGTGAGTCGGGTGGGGTGATTGAGGTGTAGAATCCTTGGTCGTCCTTTTTCAGGCCTGGAGGAAGGTACTGGTAGTTACCGTTGATGGCTGGGAAGACAAAGTTGACTGGGGTGGGAGACGAGCTCGAGCGTGAGCTGGAGTCTGGTGAGGGGGATATCGAGAATTTGGACGGCGGGCCTGATTTGGGGGTGAAAGCTCTTGCGGACCCATTGAGAGCCTTGGGTGGAGAAAGACCACGACTATCTAACACTGGAGAGGGCTCGTGTACCTCGACATCGGAGAATGCACTCCTTTGTGTGGGCGTGGAAGGGAGCGTATCAGATTCGGTAGATGGTTCTGAATCGTATTCCAGCGATGAGAGCGGAGACTGGGGGCGGCCACCTAAGGAGAAGATATGAAATTGATTTGCAAGAAAAGTGAAAATCTCAAACGCACCGTCAAGGTCGGAGGTGGATATAGGCCGGGATAGCTGGATATCCCCAACTAGATCCTGTGCGAGTTCAGTCCACCGAGACCTCGCAAACTCAACCTCCTCTTCGTCGACGTCAACTGACAACTTCGTCCAACTAGTATACAACTCGTCCAAGGTGATATCAGGCATGATGGAGTGAGCGAATCCAGATTCCAGTTCGTACGGCTTCAACACGTCTTCTGCAACTTGAACACCAATGAATTTGTGGTTGAGTGGCTCGGAGAGTGACCATTCGTCCGCAGAGTTATGGGGTAGGGTTGTCGGATCTTGAGAAGGTCCGAATGGTTTGGCTTTCCAAAAAACAGTATAACGACGTCTTGGACGCGAGGTTCTGAGCAGAGAACCATGGTAATGGGGTGGCTTTGGATGGGAGACAGGTTTTACGAGGGCAGGAGAATGTTGTGTGTCAAAGGACCAGGTGACAGACCCATACCTGATCTCCCGCCAGGTAGAAGGCCCAACCTCCCAAACTCCTGTGTCTTGCTCGTGCTTGATGGACGTCTGCATAAAATTGAAGCTACAGAGGAAGCTTCAATTGAGCTAGCTTGGTAAAAAGTCAGCGGGAAGAGATGTAAAGTGAACGAATGGCACAAACAAAAGAATTTACGAGCATCCGGCAAAGCGCGCAGCAAGAAGGATGAGCGTAGTCTCAGACAAAGCCTTGGCAAACTAATAATCGAAGGAATGATTATCGGCTTTTTTGTAAAATCATCGTTATATTGTTTCCGAACCCCACAATCCTCTACTTTCCCACCCCTCAAAGCGGGGTCAGCTACGTGTCACTCTGAACTCAGATCAAATATCTACAAGTAATTAGTGTAATCTTCTCCAATAGCTAATCCGACTCACCTCCTGCGGACCAAGCTATCGCTCTTATCGGCGACCCATCGCAATTATCTAACTTCAGCGGCAACAAGCTCACAAACGGGTCCTTCAATCCCAGTACCTCCTCTATACCCCGCAAATTCTCTGCAATCACTCCTCCCGCTCCTAGTATCACTTTGTGCACTTTGCACTCAGGCAAGCACACATCATCAGGGCTCAGCGTATCGCATCCGATTACTCTCACTCCCGTCTCCATAAGCTTCTTCGCCGCATCCAAATCCATGTACGGGTGTTCTTCGTAATTCTCCTTTCCCCAGTACTGCGACCACCCAGTGCATATGAGCACAATCACCCCCTCGTGCATCTCCCCCTCCCATTTCCGCATATCCTCCCAGGTGATCATCTCACGTGCTTTCTTCCCCCTCACATCAACCACCAGCGCACGACCCACGAGCTTCGTCAAATCGTACTTGTCCACAGTCAATCCGTCCCCAATGAAATGGTTGGGCGCATCAATATGAGTCCCCGTATGAGACCCCAGCGAAATAGCCGTCACGTTCGCATTCTGTTCCGGTATACTCGCAACTTTCGTCATCTCCAGCTTTGGGTGCCCCGGCCATATCGACATCGGGCTCTCCGTCGACGTCGTCAGCGTATGGGTGAGGTCGATTATCATCGCGGTCGTACCACACAAACAAACTGTGGGAGCCACGGTTTTTCAGTCAACTTATGGAATGATCATGACATTATCTTGACATGACTCGTTTACGGCTTGCGGACATGTTACATGTTTTTTTACATACAATATTTGCCATCTATGTACCGTTGGAACTTGGAAACCGCGGATGACCGGACAGGGGTGCGACCGTTCGCGTCCTTCTCTCAGCTCGAGGCTGAATACTATATATACAAAGACCGAGGTGTCTCCGTTCCCTTGACATTCAGCGGGTCACAAGAGCGGGATGCCTGCTGGCCGCCCGAGTTCCGTGAGAGTTTCCATATATCGCATTGCAAAAAACATGCGGATTAGAACATTGTATTCTTGTTGTATTCAGATACGGTGCACGCGGTGGGTCACGAGATCCGTATATTTGTATTCATGCCAAGACAAGAATGTACATCGTCTACCTAATTTCCTCCATCCACCCGTATGCCCGGACAGGAGCCCCATCCGCACCGTGTAAGCTCAGAGGCACAAGACTCACCCATACCTCCCCCTCTCCACCTACAAGCCCCCCCAAATTCGTCAAATTCTCGCATATCAAACATCCACGGCCCAAAAGAACCTCATGCATCGCAAACGCATCGTCCCTCTCCTCCCCTCCTCCCTGCACAAGAACAGTCTCATCCGGGCTCAGCGTATCAACGCCCACAAGCCGCACCCCCATCTCCACAAGCCCCTCAGCGACATCTTTCCCAAAATACGGATGATCAAAGTACTTCCGCTCGCCCCACCATCCGTCCCACCCCGTCCAGAACAGCACCATATCGATCTTCCCTTCCGACCGCGGCCCAAGGGAAGCAATCGTCCCACCAGTACTAGCAGTAGCCCTATCGAGGCTCTCTCGCACGTCCCGCCACTCAATGTGCCCCCTCGCCTGCGCTAGGTGCCTCACATCGACGATCAAACCACGCCCCACGAATCGCTCGAGAGAGAGCTCATGCAACTTTTGGCCCTGCGCGAAAAAGTGAAACGGAGCATCGACATGCGTCCCTGTGTGCGTTCCGAGCGAGACAGCATGTACAGTGTATCCGTCAGTGGGGATGCTGCACACACTGTGCATCGCGAAGGGGGGATCTCCGGGGTAGACGGTCGTCTGAGGCGTGAGGGGATGCGAGAGGTCGACAAGGGATCTGGGAGGCATTTGTGAGGTCTAAGATGTTATTGTTGTTGGCATGCACGAGAATAGAATAGACTTTTGGTTTGGTAAGTGATCTCTCACATGACCTGGCATAGGGGTTATTCCGGAAAAATTAGTGTTCTTTGCACGTAGATAGATACAAATGGTGGAGAATTTATCAATCGTTGTACTCGTAAAATCCCCGACCGCTCTTCTTTCCAAGATACTGAGCATCCACCATACGCTCAAGTAACACCGAAGGGCGATACTTGGAATCCGACGTACCATTGTAGAGCGTCTGCTGGATAGAGAGGCAAGTATCAAGACCGATACTATCTCCCAATGAGCGACGTAGACAACAACAAAGATGATAATTGCACTTACAAATCAGCTATGGTAGATTGTACACCATCATCAGAAAGACACAACACATCGTGCTACAGCAACTTACCTAGTTGTAGTGGCCCCATGGGATGCGCCATGCCCAACCTGAACGTCTTGTCAATATCATCACGAGTCGCAACGCCCTGGACACAATACAAGCATTAGTAAACCCGCCAATCAGTAAATAGTGTCGGATCATCACACCTTCTCTAAGCACATGATCGCCTGCGATGGAATTGAACACAGCATATGCGAACAAGAGACAGCAGCACTTACCTCGTTGATAAATGGCATAAGTAACGCGTTCGACACGAACCCGGGCACGTCCTGCGACGTAGCAACCTCTGAACAGAGCGTGAACAACAAAGTACGACGATCCAGCGAAACAAACAAATACCTTTCCCGCATGCTTCAGCGAATGCGCGTGAGCGGTCTAACGTGTCTTGCGACGTTTGCACCGCAGATATAAGCTCTACGAGTTTCTGACACTCACAGTATCAGCACACAACTCAAAGCACAATAACCAACCGCATCACCATGACAGGAACAGGGTTGAAGAAATGCAGACCTTAAACACCTCCCATCAATACATCAATCAATCACCACCCACACCATCCCAAACAAACACTCACCAACTACCCTCCCAGACGCCGCCTTCCCCACTTCCCCCGCCGCAGACGCCCCCTCAGGAATAACAGCCCCCGCAATCTTCGTGATACTAATCGAGGATGTGTTGGTAGCCAAAATCGCATCCGGACGGATCTTGGCCGCGAACTCACGGAATATGGCGCGTTTGAGGTCGAGGTTCTCGGTCACGGCTTCTACGACCATGTCTACGTCGCTCATCGATTCGAGAGCGTCTACGGCTTGGATGCGTGCGCGCGCTTCGGCTGCGTCGGACGGTTGGAGGCGGCCTTTAGACACGTCTTTAGCGAGGAGCTTGTCTATGAGAGAGAGCCCTTTGGAGATTTGGTGTGCGGATTTGTCGTGGAGGAGGACTGGGACTTTGGCGTGGAGGGCGGATACGAAGGCTATGCCGGTGCCCATTTGGCCTGCGCCGAGGACGCCTAGTCGTTTGATTCCGTGGGCGATGGACATTGTGGTTGGGTTGAGAGTAGGACCCGAAATCACGTGTAAGACGCTGTTTGCGGGGGCAGGTTATTTTGGCCGCGATCCTCTTGTGACATGTAACGCTCTCAGGGTCTTACTAGAACCACAACAGTCATCATTTTCACGCTGCTATACAGCAGCTGGTGCACACGGTTATAATATTATAATCCTGCCAAGTTATTCTCTGCAAGCCGCATCACTCAGGCTGACAAAATCATAACACGTCAGCGATCTGCATGTCGACGTATACGTCGCTATGCCACGATCCTACGGCTCTCTTTCATGACTCTCGGTACCTCGTAGTTCATCGATCGATCATCGATCAACTACGAGGTACTCAGATTCAAGTGACCAGTCGAATCCAAGTTCGGGCAGCGTTTGTAGAGTCCATACACCCCCCCAGCTATGAATTCCCTAGTCCGCAATTCTAAATCAGCTGTTGCACATATTTACCGACAGCAAGTATGTCCAGCTAGCATTATGCGCAAATGTACATGTAACAGCGTCGTTAACGCCTCGTGGCCTCGTTTGAAGTGGGGCGTGTCAAAGGCTGGGAGGGAATCACCCTGTTACAACCGACTTTGAGTGGGGCGGAGGGAACATCATTATATGGCATCTTAACAGGATTTTGTAGGGCTAATTTGGTTCAATCGGTGAAGGACATCCATGCGAACGCACAGAATTTGCATTTCTGAAGGGCTTATAGCTGACCTTAGAATGTTTTATTACAGACTGCCATATTGTTATCAAAGCCGGACAGTTTCGACACGTCGTCATGTGCAGGCATGGAAATTCAGGCTGCTGATCTCAACGATTTGTCTTCTTTCCGGACAAGACAAAGCCGATTGGAGATGGAGCAAATATGATCGTACATCCTTTTGAGATGAGAAGCACAAGGTCCTCGGAGTTGTTGCGAAAAGGTGAAGGTCAAGATGATTGGCCATTTACCGATATCCGCTAGTGAGAGAGTACACATCCATGATCAAAGTAGCTTCGTTTCATCGTCCAATGGATATACATAAAGTATATACTGCACGTTACACGGTAATGGTAATAGTGATGTCCTGATGATCAGTAACCGTACGCAGGAAACCGCCGGTCCGTCATCACGAAGACCTACAAAGGTTATAACAATATACCTCCAATTCATGAATACTGAGCCTTGATAACATCCGCCAGCTTCTCTGCTGTCGCAATAACCGCACCGGTCTGTAAAAATCATCAGATTTCACAAAGTGCTTTCAGAACGTCCATCACCCACCGGGTGTCCTGAAACCAACTTGGGGAAAACACTCGCATCACACACCCGGAGACCTTGAGTGCCATTAACACGCAAGTTCGAGTCCACGACGCCACCAGGACCCATCGCACATGTCCCTACTGGGTGATATAGCGTCTCCACGCGATCCCGGACAATATCAGCAAGTTCTCCATCACTGAGACGAGAGAAGTCATGATCAAGCCCAGGGTGCGTGCTGTGCACGTCGGTGACAGAGGTGGGCATGGGTTCTGTGTGTGCGATTTTGAAGGCAGCACGGATGCCTCGAACAAGCACATCAACATCGTGCTTGGTCTCGAGATAGCTAGCCCGCCATAATGAGTACACAGCAGGGGTTGAAGTAAATAGGTATCCAACCTAGGGTCCATGAGCGGGTTATCCCAAGGATCGGCAGACTTAAGAAAGAGTGATCCTTTGCTTGTGGGACTGGCAGTACGAAGATGCGTTGGTTCATTTTGAAACAGAGGATCTTGATTAATTGCTTACCGTAATAAAACAATAAGGATTTGATATGCCTCTAAAGTTTTTCCGAGAAATTCGGTGTGAGAGCGAACTGCGCCGGTACACATGATGAGCTCGATGTCAGGCGCGTCTGGTCCTGAATTGGCGTCCTCGATGGCATGCTTGTACTCCGCGGGCGGAAAGAGCGCAGAATCGTCTGATCGGAAAAATGCTACAGCCTCGGAGATCTACGGTATTATTCAGAAAGTATATCAACGCAAGGAACGCTTGACCAACGTTTGAAGCGAGCGGGCCAGTGCCCCACACTTGATATCGCAGCAAGTCTCGCATGAACAGACACGTCGTGCGCATGTCGTGAGGCATAAGATGGTTGAATGACTTTCCTGTCTTTCCTTTAAGCCGAAGAGGGATTGCTGGGTGATCTAAGAGGTTAGCACCGACGCCGGGAGCGTGAAGCACTACTGGGATGTTGTGACGTGAAAGCTGGTCAGCCGGTCCGATGCCAGAAAGCATCAAGATATGCGGAGAGTGTATGGCGCCGCCGCTAAGCCGGAGGTAAGGAATTGCTTAAGACATATCACAGTTGCTTACGAGACGATGACCTCCTTGGTCGCTCGTGCATGGAACTTGGGTCCAACTCTGCCCGCATCAGATTTGCTGGCAAACTCAACACCTGTTGCACGCGGGATGCCACTGGAGGTGTCAAAGAGGACCTTAGTGACACGGGCATGGGTGACGACTGTCAGATTTGGACGAGCAAGGACGTCATCAGTGAGGTACGCAGACTCCGCAGTCACACGAGTGCTCTTGCTATCAATGTACGTCACTGTGTGCCAGTCATTCAGCGGTTGTGGGTATTCATAGTCACCAGTCAACTCACTGATCTGCGCAAATCAGCAACTGGTGTCAACGAAACACAACACGTTTGTTCAGCGGAATAGTTTAGGTAAGACACACCTTATTGGTCCCCTTCGTCCCTTTGGTCGTGCAGAAGTCAGGCGAGAAAGGGATCCCGGCGTTCATGCTCGCCTGGACAAAGCCTGCACAGCCAGGCCAGATGTGTGCGCTGTATCCAATCTCAACGGGCCCATTGGCACCGCGAAGGAGGGGATCAACGTGTGGGAAGCGCGGGTCTGGGTTGTATTTCTCGAATTTGCGAATATACCTGGAGCAACAGGGATTAACGGAATGGAAGGACACACGGTGAATGAATTACGTGCTTGCTGAAGTTGGCCCACGACCAGGATTTATCACCAGCAATTTCCGCCCACTCATCGAAATCGGACGGTGCACCATATTGTGCCCTGGAATTGTAGGGGTCAGATTAAGATCAACCTACGGGAATATATTACGACCCACATCATAGCATTCATAGCGGAACCTGAGGGATATCAGACGACTCTTTAATGATAGAACGACCACTTACATCCTCCAAGGAGTTTGGCTGACGAAGGGGAATCAGCATCTTAACTAAGGAGTCGATCAGTATGACCTACCGCGAGGCCAATATTTTTTCTTGTTTCCTGCATGCTGCTGGGGTTCGGTATAAAGGTGATAGTCCAGTGGGGTGCGGAATAGTTGTAAGAATCCAGAAGGAATCTTACTTTCTACGACATCTTTGGAGCTGTGAAGAGATTCAAGATCTTCGAAACCACGAAGGCCTCCCAGACGCTGACCTTCCACCGGCCTCAATAAGTAGAACCCGCAGGTTCGGGTCTTCAGAGAGACGTGATGCCAGAACACATCCTGCTGTGCCTGGACGAGATCAGGTCCACGAGATATTCTAGCTGTTGAAAATATATTATCGTACCTCCTCCAACAATTATGAAGTCCCATTCGTCAAACTCGAGTCCGTTATCATTGAGTTTCCTCGCTACTTTCGCGTAGTCCGTTACGAGCTTCGGTTGTTTCACGGTGAGCTGCTTGAAGATGATCGTTAAGGCTACGGCGCTAGCTGCTGCACCGAGAAAAAGTCTTGTGTGGGTGACATCCAAAAGGTTGGGCAGCTTCGCAAGCGGATCGATATGAATCATGACTGTACGCGGGATAGAAGGGGTGTGCGGAAATCGGATATATTTAAAAGCTCCCTTCTATACTTACATGACACGTTGGTTAGGTGTTCTTCGTTATCATTCCTATATATATATAGGAACAGAGTTGCAATCAACGCTGTCACGGAAGTACTTGTGAAACCGTTTACTCCGATATCCGATATCCGGTGTGCGGAAGTAATGTCGTCACAAGAAGGATGTGTCTAGGACGACTCTAGATGCAAATGAAGCGTGGAACTGAGGGTGAAAGAAAATGAAAGTCGCATCCTCAGGGTGCTCACCATGCCGCTTGGTCCAACTGACAGCCTTGCGGCGCTACCGTTCTTCGGAAAAGTAAACCGATCTTAGGCCTTTAACGTACTCCTCCGAGATGAGTCGATGGTGAGTACGAACGACTCGCTTCAACCGCAGTCTGCAAAAGATATGATTCTGGGTGGGGACTCTCGAAGACGACTTCATTAACGTCGCAGTCTTTACGACTGTGCCTTACATTGAAGTATATTCAGGCTTACTATGATCTGCGAGGCACGGCCCGGGGACAGGCAAAATTTGGACAAAGGATGATCTTTGGGTCTCCAATAGTGAAATTTCCGGCCGAACATCAAAGGGAGCCTCTGAAGGCCTTTAATACTACAGTCTCGAGGTCACACGACTTCCTCATTTCCCCAGAGCTCTAACGTTTCTTTCCCATTACCAGGACAATCGATTCCAGCTCTGTTTGTATTTTAGCGTAAGTACTCGTACTCGTACTCGTCCTCACCCTGCATTGAATCTGCTCCCACATCGCATTGCTCTACCCTCCAACAAAAGATGCCTGACGTAACACTAATCAATGACCTTGACCAAGACATACACGTTGCTTTCTTCGTAGGCGTCCCTGCTAATTGGAAAAACTACCTCAAACCCGGAGAACGCTGGAGAACGCACCTGGCGAGTCTCCCGCTTCACTTCGAAGCGCGTAGTGTGCAGAGTCACGAGTTCAGCCATAACGAGTCCTGGGAGATGTTTGCAACCATCGGAGGCGCTTGCGCTGCTGGTACTGCTTCAGTAGTATCAGCAGGTGCTTTACTTGCTGGCGACATGATTGCAGGCATCCCCGTGGTTTCGGTACCGCGCCAACCGACAGAGAGGAACCTACTTTAACATCATTGAGTTTCGTCTCCCGAACCTCCGCCTTCGAGGAAGCCAATTCGAACACAGCTCATACAAGCTCATATCTGAACTATCGGGGGTGGGTTTTATGAACAACCGTGTGCCTTTTCAAGTGCACGAGCAACACTGATAGACGGTGAACAAAGCAAACAATTGAACACCGGTTCGATTCCATGCGGGATCAATAAATTTTAGTATTTACACTGAAGCCAGAACTTCATCGTAGAAGTCGGACGATGAGACTCGCTATATAAAGTAGCGGTAATTTTAGGAGGATGCGTTTACTATGTATGTACATAAAGAATGTCCATAGGGTGCCGAGAAGTGGATATATGTACAAATTCATAATACCAATCATATCATAACGCCCCAAGTCCACTTTACAACATGCTTGCCCAAACTTTCTGCCGCCAATCATGAGTAAGCCAGAAGATGTCAGAAGGGAGCACAATTCCAGAAGGGAGAACCTTTAAATGAACACCATCTGATTGAATAATCTCCTCTCCGAAACTTCTCTGATCCAACGCCTTTATTTTCTTCATAAACTTGGGAATACAGCCGTGGTGGTCCCTTAGCAGGGATGCAGGCAATGTCAACAGCTCGACATGCACATCGATTTCATGGCTGTTCGACAGCGATGATATTTTAACGAGGGGGTCGATAGCAAGCAAGTACGGCAGTGAGACAATTTGAAGGCTTTTGAAAGAAGCCCATGGAGTGACCTCCATCCACAAAGGCATGCAGTAGGATGTTGCCCTCGACCGGAGGGTGGATGAGGTGGTTGAGAGGTGAGAGATTGATTGTAGGAATGCAGATCCCTGGGGAGTGTCCGTGAGGCACCCCCACCATGCGCCGCTGGTGGGGGGCTTCGAGTCATACGACAGGATGAGGGTTTTGGTGTTCCAGGGAGGTGCCAGTGGGGAATGTTCGTTGTTGGCATGTGTGGCTGCACGGGACTTCCATGCATGTTCCAGACATCCTTCAAGAAGGTCCATACTTGTCCAGTCAAGGGCAATGGATGGTGCAGCGAGTAGCACCGGAGAGAGGAGGCTGATGGCAAGCGGACGCTCAATCAGTGTATAGCCTGAGGCCCGGATGCGGTGCAAACGGTAAGGTGGGGGATCGCGGCTACCATGGGGTCCGATCCAGATCTTGTGCACATGGGGAATGTAGTCGAAACGGAGGTGGTTTGCTTTCTCCGCGTACATTTTTTGCATATGTAGAGCATGCACGAACACTCTCACTGTGTCATTGTCCCCAAGCAGTATGGTATGGAGTAGTCCTGGAAGTACCGTCCGCCTGACAGCTCTGGAGAAATGACAGAGGGCGCGTGCATTAGAATATGGACTTTTAGAGGAATATGGAGCAGTCTGATCAAAGGTGGGTTGTGCGTAATATCTGAGGATGATGAGGACAAGCTCAACTGGGAGGTAACTAAATGGAAATGTGGTAATAGGCTTCATGACGTGCGAGTAAGATGCGAAGCTGGTTTGAAGGAACCCTGCCTTTGATACTTGCCTCATGAATTGTGGACCGGTCGGAGCGTAAACACACAAGGCCACAATCGCCACATCACATGATCCATTACTGAGTTGATGTGTTCCTGGGCAAATTCCACTGTCCTTGAGCAATCTGAAAATCAAACACTCAGTAACGCAGCCTTGGTGGCCGCCGGCTCGAACGCCAACAACCTCAATACCTACGTTTTTTTTCCCCGACCGATCCACGCATACCCACCACCCCCCATCCAAAGTCACACGGAAAGTCCCTCACCCGTTCCTCGAACTACGCTTTCTCCTTGCGCGACAGAGGTTGTCATCCATGCACACGAAGCGACGTAAGTGAGAGCACACCTTCGAATTTCATAGTATCCAGCTCCTCATCATCCTGATCATCGCATTTAGTATTGTGAAGAGCAAACTCATTTGGTGTCCCGTCAATAACGGGAAGTCAAGAACGTGTCTTTCATGTCGTATTATGAGCAAATTGGGAAAAACTGCACCTGAGGTCGCCATATAGCACCCTCCGCCAGCTCAGGCCTTCGACATATGTGTCTATCCATGGTTCGGAGGCACCGTTCTTGACCGCCATGTGTATCCGAACCTCACCACGTCCTGGTGACTTCTCGAGCGAGAAATGTTGTGTGAGAGTCTACGAAGGACTAGGATGTTCACCGCGAAACCGAACCTCAAACGATCCACGCGTAGGTGATAGCTGGTCTGTAAGAATCTTGGAAAAGACAACGTGAGGCATCACGGGTCAGATAGACAGTAATAACTCTCCGAGGCATGCACAAACTCCACAGTTTGCAGGTCAGTATAGGTGTCGACCTCTTTAGACATAAAGAAAACAGCAACTTCTGCCGCATCCGAGTCACAGACGATCGTTTTTGATGGACGGCACGTTGAACGCACTATGCTTCATTCAAGCAGATTCAAGTTACCAGGTGCGCCTTCTTGTCTGACCACCAATTCAATGGTAGGACGCGGATGTTGAGCATGTCTGCCTCGGCTACTCGTTCGCCGGATAGAATGTCTGAGGACCGAGCACAAAGTGCTGACACAGAAGGCAAGGGATATTGAATGCGTCCAAGCTCGGATGTCTGCCATGGAAGGATAGAACGCGCAAAAGACGTCCAGGCTGAAGACATGCAACTTTTTTTTCCTCCTCGCAAGCCCTAACAGGATCCAAGCCTCCTTTGGTATAAATCAAGGGATTCAGTCCTCGCACGAGATCTTCAAAATGCTGATTTTGATTCATGAGAAAGACAGTACCACCGTGACTGGCATGATGTTCTGAGGAAGATGTCAGTGATTATTATGAATATCCGAGCGTTCACCAAATTGCCGGTCTCACGCCGAGGGGCCGTTGTCTTCGTTTGTGTTCTGAGCTGGCCCCATCAGACTTACATTAAGTGACTGGCTGAACTTTGGACCGTCGGAAACAAGTCGGAAGTTGGCCGGAAAATATTTGATGTCACGGTGTGTATGTCACGGTAACAGCGTGTTGAAGAACTGGTCTTACAACAGCCAGGTTACAGCACACTTGCTCCTGGTCGATATCACTCGTAGTCACTCGTGTTATTGCGAACGTCAAAGGCCATCTTCATGGCACCAAGTCCCGACTGCTGACCACCCACCATTCCTATAGCCCCGCCCGTTGCAATGAGAAGCGACATGCTCTACTTCATTGATATCGATATCGGCACTGGCTCTGCTCGTGCGTCTCGTCTCGTCGCACCGAACGATGAGATTCAAGTGCAAGCAATCGGCAAACAATATTGGGAGCAGATTTGTACAGTGGTGAACTGAAGAACATGGACATGTCGACGGTACTGCTGTTGGAAGTGGTGTGATTGACGTGTATGTCATATTTCATCAATATGCCCACTTCAATATGGATGCTACTAGGGTTGTAGGGGTCAATTCGAACTCTCAACCATACTGTCCTCTCTCGACGAGTCATGACACCGTCTGGCCGCTGTTGCTGGAACAAGCACTTGTCGTACCGTTCAGGTAAGTTACCTGGCGCAATCCATCTTTAATGCTATTGAAAATGTTGCAGACTCGAGAAGGGTGTCTTTGTAAAGGGTGTAAGGGACCACGTTATCGGCCGGCCAACTACTCTTTGGAATGCTGTGGGTTCCCAGTTTTACTCGCGGCGGGGATCAACAACTCGAAAAGGTATGTTCTCCTCCAATTCTGTATCTACTAACTATCACTCGACAAACAGATGTTCAACGAAATCGCCGACTCAGGCATCAAAGTCATCATCGCAGACTCACCCGTCGGTGACCTACCCTACACTTCCTCAACCGCTTTGCCGTACTCAAAGTCCTCTCCAAATTTGACCTCCATCACGTAGCTCGCAGCGTAGATGTGCTCAGTCAGTTGTGGGCCGAGCACGAGCAGAAGGACGGCAAAACCTAGGTCGTTGATATAGAGAGGAAAGAGCCTAGATAGGTTATATGAGGAGGACCACCCTGGCATGCATGTCCCATTCACAGTTCGCCGTTCTCAGGTGTGTGAATCACTGTAATGACAATGATAGAAATGAGCGCGTTCACAGTATTTATTGATCATGACGCGACGGAGTCAGAACGACATCGATATCCACAGGCTTAGCGCGGAATCCGAATCCGAATACAGCCTAACCAAGATGCGTGCTCCCCAGCTCACCATCAGACGGCACATGCGCATCGGCAGCATCTGCTATCGCAGGGCTCGGTGTTGGCAGGTTGACTGCTGCGCACTTCGCAGTAGTGTGCACCTGCTTGCAGCACTTCTTCTGGAACATCTGTGCGTTAGCAAGCATTGCTCTTGAAAGGCGGTAGAAGAAAGAGAGCATGCAGTGCGGATTGTATAGCAGATAACGTGAATTTTGAGACAATATCAAGCTTAAATGAACATATGCACATCGTATTTGGATGGGAGCACAGCATTGACTGCAGCTTAGTGAGTATCATTGCGAGTTTTCGCGATGACAGCACTATTTGCATAATTTCTCGATCTTGTAGCGAAACCGAGAAATTATGCAAACAGTACTTGCAATCTGTCATTCGTTCTGAGGAGATCCAAGGATGCTTTGACTCGGAGTGTGGATGTGCTTCAAGAATCAAGGGTACTGATGTCGGGGATTGGATCGTCGTGTACGTATACAGATTCGCGGAGTCTCAAAAGATGTTTTCCCTGCAGGGCTTGGCAGTGACCCAGTCCGTGTGCACTGTGCGCTACAGCAAGTACATGTTGCCCCAAAATTTGATAAGTTTGATCCAGAATCTTGATGCGACGGTCGATATCGATACTCGCAGTGATATGCAAGTGGCGCTCCGAATAATATTACGCGAAGGAAATGGTACTTGGAATATCAATTGCCTGCAGCCTGGTCACGGTGGTAAAGAGCTTCGATTGATGGGCTGTGCTGTGCGCAGCTACTGTGGTGACACACACAGCTACCTCGGCGAGGCTCGTAACGTGAAAGCCTCGCATATGGGTTCCTGATCTTAATTTGGTTATGTAAGTACCTCAACCGCCTCTCTTCGCTCTCCTACATTTTATATTCCATCTGACCTATCCTCTAGTCTCCTCTAGTGCAAGCCAGACATCAGACTAAGAAAGACAATCACCTATCCTCCCTGCCATCTGATGCCCTTTCCGCTGTTCCAGAGTTTCGGAAAGGACGCCCACATCACAATTCGACAACCACCCATCACGAGGGCGAAAGCTTCATCCCTGCGGCAGGCATCTCTAATCCCGTTCCTGCACCAATACCCTCTTTAAATTCTTTTCTAGTGCACCCTATTTCTGCGACCAGAGAACCAGATCTCGAAGTCTCCACCAATATGGTCTCCGCAAGACACCCCTGGGGTACATCCCCTGCCCGCGAAGCTTCCGATATCGCACAGTTAGTTTTTCCCTTGGTACAGGCCGTTGCAGGTCCAATTCCGCTCGTCGGTGCTCCGATACAGGCGGCTATTGGTGGATTATTGACAATCCTTCAAGCTATAGATATGAGTGCTTATTCAACGACGAGGAGATATCTTGATTCAAAGGGCCATCGCAGAGACGCGATCAGAATAAGGCGGACCTAGATGACCTGACATCGCGACTCTACGAACTATACTCCCATTTGTGCAATGCCCCGCTTGCCCGGAATCCTCTTGAACAATCCCGGAGAGATCTCTTAGCTAGGTAAGCCCCTTGTCGACGTGCGCTTGCATTTATCCGACATCGAGCCGCACTCAGGAAGCTCCAAGGAACCTACACGACGCTGATGGTGTGATGCCCATGTCCCGCTCTCAGCGAGTACGTGATCTCGTCGTTTATGATGCTTGCTCAATGCTGATTGTGCCACGGCCATGTCGCGCTCTCAGTCGGTGCGTGATGTCGTCACCCTTTGATTGATCGATGCTCATCGTGCCACCGCCATGTCCTGCTCCCAGTTGGTGCGTGACTCGTCCTTTGAGGTGTTTGCCTGATGCTGATGGCGCCACCACAATGTCCCGCTCTCAGGAAGTGCGTGATCTCGTCCCTTGTGGTGCTTGCTCGACGCTGATGGTTCCACCGCCATGTCCCGCTCTCAGAAAGTGCGTGATCTCGTCTTTTGTGGTGCTTGCACGACTCTGATGATGCCACGGCTATGTCCTGCTCTCAGTATGTGCGCGATGTCGTCCTTTGTGGTGCTTTCCCGACACTGATGTTGTAGCGGCCATGTCTCGCTCTCAGTTGGTGCATGATCTTATCTTTTGTGGTGCTTACACTATCCTGATGGTGCCGCCGCCATGTCCCGCCCTCAGAAAGTGCGTGATCTCGTATTTTGTGGTGCTTGCTCGACGCTGATGTTGCCACCTCCATGTCCCGCTCTCAGGGAGTGCGTGATCTTGTTCTTTGTCGTGCTTTTCCGACAATGATGCTCCTACCACCATGTCCCGCTCTCAGCAGGTGCGTGATGTCGTCTGTTGAAATGTTTAGCCCTTATTTACCCTGACATGACCAGGGAGATTCCTCATCTCACGTTCGTCAGGCCCCGGCCATACTTCCCTAAGCAGCTCATGTCCCGCGCTCATACGATATGTGATATTTTCCTTTCGAGGTGAAGAGCGAACACTGACTCCTTCATTGCACTGTCAGATGGTGTGTAACTCTATGTTAAGCTATATAACAGCATGCTTTTGTGCTGATTGCATGTAGCATATCATGGGTACTGTGGCATTGAGGAGATCGAGGAAGACATTGTCGAGGAATAGGGGGGGATACAATTTGTTTTTGTAGCAGAAGACGGGCGAGTTTTATGAGGATTCGACAAATGTAGTTTCCGGAAACTTTGGCCATGGCATGTACAGAAAATTATCTTTTATGACCGTATCTATTTCTCCTCCAGACCTGGATTTCGTCACCGTCCGGAATAATACCATGAAAGAACGTTTTGCCAAAGCGCTGGTTAGTTATGATATATCTGTGAATATAAACCGATCAAAACTCGCGTCTTTGATACAGGTTCGGCGTTCAGCTGACGGTGTTCGGTTCAGAGTTCGACCAGACAGTCGAACGTTAACTTGCGTGCACTATTGATACTGTCAAAGCAGTAACAACAGCGAGGAGAGACAGGAAACACATTTGTGGTTCGTTTGTGAGGATGGAATTTGGGATCAAACAAATCTTAAGGGGACAGAAGGAAGACGCCTTGCTTTTATGTACTGGATATATTGTCTTCGTGACGATGTAGGAACCTATCTACCTGAAATCCCCTTTCGATCATATGATATCTGCGATGCCAGCAGGTTGCCACCTTAGACCTACCTTGGGCAGCAAGGTCTATTAGCAATGTAGTGTGAAGCAAAACGTCACCTTGCGAACCAAGGCCGAGACAGTGAAGTTTGAGTTGGAACAGGTCGTATACACATGGTAGTAAGTTTAAGAACACTTCCGACTCATCAGTGAATTGATGAGTCCATGATCAGTGGTAGCCGGGGGAACTATAGGACAATACATCATTAATAACCATTGAAGATAACAGCTATGTACGAGACGCCAAGCTACCATCTACTGGTTCTTTCTCATACAAACAATCAAAAATCAAGCATTACGAGCCTTCTTCCCTTGATTATTTGGCGGAAGCGATGTTTCATCTCCCGGTCTGGGCCTCTTCTGCTTCAGGAGATTGGAGAGCGGACAAAGTTCTATGCCACTGGCACGCCGTTGCGCATCATCGAGATATGCTGCCGCTTTTGTGTGTATATCGTCCAGAAGAGCATCGTCAAGCGCTAGCAAGGGAAAATTCGCCTCCGCCTTTTGATAACTATCTTGGAGAGCGTCTGCGAAATCAGGAATAATAGGGCTCCAAACATTAAAGCACGTCTTTGAAAGGATATTTTCAAGCTTCGTTTGGAGTTGTCCCGCGTCGAGGAAGAAGTCCCGGCGTGATGTCCGGCCGACCGTACCAGGGAAGGCCAAATAGTATTCTTTCAACTGAGCATGTGCATCAAAGGAATGGTCGGCGTTCGCCGTGTTCGTGTCTGTGTGATAAAATAAAATCCAGGTAAATACCCACCATATGGATTCAATGTCGTGCAGGAAATTCATGCGAAGTGAAGATCGGTCGTCTAGACGGCGTGCATGACGTGTAAGGAAAAGGTAAATCTCGCTTTCTGCTTCCACCGCCATAAAACGCATTGTTCCCTGTCGACGAGTCAACAGTGAAAGAAATTATCTTCAAACAATCTTACCGTTCGAACATCATGAGAAGTGTTTGAATCTATCTTTTTTGCGTACTCGAAGTCACTCAACTTCCCCATACCACCGAACCAAATTGCGTTCCCGACGCTGAAATCGCGATGGACCCAGCCTGCTTTGTGCATATAACGCAAGGCTAAGTTGAATGAGCGACTGAGGAAAGGAGAGTGATAGTGGTTTGCTCACCCTGAAGTGCGCCGGACAAGCAACTCAGGATGTCGGCCAAAGAGGTGATATTGTTGAGAGCTACTCCGACATCATGGAAGATAGTGCGAGTATGGACTCTGCGTGGGATGCCAGTGTCTTTTCGCGCAATATTGCCCAATTTTATGGGAAAACAGGTAGACGGCCGACCAGAGTCGGGTACGCCGCCTGTGCTAGGTAAATGTGATTCACGTGTCGTGAACACTTCGTCCCCGATAGTGAACTTGTATTGGAAACCCTCTCCATCACGGATCTGCTCGACGGTGGGGTCCCATCCGAGCTCTTTCATAGCAGAAGACACAGGCGCCGATCCAAGAGCGTAAAAGAGCGAAATAACACCATCGATGTTCTAGATGTACCATGCCTGTGAGCACCCTGACGCACAGCGCGATACATTTGCATACCTGGAAGAGGTCGATCGGTTCAGTAACCGCAAGGAACGCACGATTGCTGAGCCACAGTCTCAATTGCGTGTCCTCGATTGTGATACCGAATGCAAAACGACGAAGAAGATCCTCGCGCATGATACTGTGAAGGCTCCAGACTATCTTCTCTTCGTCCTAGAGCAGGCTTTGTGAGCGGACGCCGACAAGATCTGTAACAACTTACATCTCGAAGAGACCCAATGTCTCGTACCTTCTTGAACTCGAATGGCACAGCAATATCCAACCAATGTATCTTGCGCTGGGTTTTTTCGTTGTTAAGTACAAGGTATCCATCAGGTCTGGAAGTATTGTTGCGCTGCGAGAGGGGTGTTAAGTTTGGGTTCCCTACAAAGAATACTCCACGATTCGGGAATTCTGCCAAAATTGGAGCAATGATGCAACCGAGGGGTTTAAACACATCCTCTTCCGACCCTTTCGATGTGGCAGGTGGGGTAAAGTCCGTCCATCGCAAGCCACTCTCGTCGTCGGTGAGAATCTTGCTCTCTGTCAAGTTATTGCGTATCCGCTGCAGATCTTGCTGAGAGGGCATGGCACCAACGCATTTCACTAGGGAATCGAATGGAACCCGCAGATACCTTCTAAAATCAGCGAGCACAACTGTATCTGGCGGTAGCATTTGTGATGGTGGTGTGTGAGGGGCTTCAAGTTGCATCATAATTCGATGAGGCAAGTAAGGACAATGTGAATCTGCGAACTGAAACCGTGATTATTCCACAAGAAAAGGATCAATATTGTTGCTGCAGCGTCATATTTAGAACTTGAAATCCTTGCCAGTAAATGAACTCGCAAGTGTGGCTACGCACCTCGCATGCGCAGGGACCAAGAGGAAGTCGTACTCTTCAATTTTTGATGTCACAATGTATGTGACAGCGTCGTGTGACCGATTTCGTTGAACAGCACACAAGCATAGACAATTTGACGTCAGACTGGTTCAAGGATCCCACTGATCAAAAGAACGTGGAATGTCGCACTAGACTGCTGGATAACACAAATGCGGGGAACTGGAGGAGTTACACGCCCAACTCTGCAACGAGGCATTGCACGGTTCTAAGGCTAAGAGTCAGTAGTAAGTACTAGGTTCACCGAGTCCTGACTCCTCGTTGATGTCATCATGATGCCACAGGTAGATTATAAATATCTAAGAGCAATCGATATCCCCACATCACACAAGTTCGCATCTATCCACGCTGCCATCATGCCCAAATCCGAGAAGACACGCATTTTCATCACAGGTGGTACTGGTAAGTTCTCACTGACCGCAATTCGACTCAACGCTGACCGTCCATTGCAGGGTATATTGGCGGATCCGTTCTGTCTGCATTATTGAACCACCCTAGAGCCAATTCATTTCAGATCACTGCTCTCACTCGCTCCCCCGAGAAGGTCGTACCGCTCAACAGCGTCGGAGTCGTAGCTGTCGTTGGCTCAAATAAAGACGTTAAAAAGCTGACAGAACATGCAAGTGACTCGGATGTAGTCTTTGCCTGTGTTCGTTACACCTCTCTTAAGTTACTTCATAGTGAAGGTACAACTTACCCCTATACAGGCTGACGCCGATGACCTTTCGGCAGCCAAGGCAATCCTCTTGGGATTGAAAAAGAGATACGACAAAACCGATAAGGTCCCTATTCTCATTCACACAGTGCGTATCCTCTTGTATTTCTTCACCTGCAAGAAGTGTCAAACTTTGTCAGTCTGGAACCGGTGTCCTAGCAGACGATGTCGCTGGGAACTACGCTACTGATAAGATATATTCCGACCTTGACATCCCGATGATCGAGTCACTACCCAAAACGCAACCTCATCGTGAAGTTGACATCGAAGTCGTTGCTGCTGGTCAAAAAGGTAATGTCAATTCTTACCCAACCCATCTGTTGTTCATGTCTTGTAACATAACAGGTTACGTTCGGACATATATCATTTTGCCTTCGACGATATACGGCATCGCGAACACATCATTGGTCAGACTCGGCGTCCAGAACCCCTACTCTCAACAAATCCCTGGTCTCATCAAAGCCAGCATCGACAGAAAACAGGGCGGCGTCGTCGGTAAAGGGCTGAATCTGTGGCCTAACGTCCACATCGAAGACGTAGCATCTTTATACGCCACCATTTTCGACGCTGCCATGAAAGGGCCAGGTGAAGCAGGCCATGGCCGCGAGGGCTTTTATTTCGGCGCAAATGGAGAACATCGCGTGGGCAGGATCTCGGAAATTGTCGCAGAGTTGTTGTATGAGATGAAGCTGGGCAGAAGTCCCGAGCCTACGGTTTTCACGGAGGAAGAGTTGATCAAATATTTCGGGGTAGGTTGTTGGATTGTGCTCGTCATTCATGGACTACTGATGAAACGATCATCAAAGGGCGCTTATCTTGGATCGAACTCCCGTGTACGGGCGGAACGAGCCAAATTGATTGGGTGGACTCCAGTGCATACCGTCGACAGTCTTTGGGCGAGTCTCAAGCCAGAGACCGAGGCGATCGTGGAGATGCTAAACGCTTAAATTGCGAATCACATAAATGAATAAAGAAGTTAGTAGGTTAGCGCTTTGTGAAAAGTTCTATGATTATCTTGGCACGGTCGGGACTCAGAACTTGGGACCTTCCCAATATTTAAGACCTTGCAATATATGGGTCAGCAATGATCTCCTCTTCCGGACCGTGCAAGCCGCGATGGTTTTGAACTTTGCTGGGCCAATAACTAACAAGAAGTCGAGTATTTAACCGCCAGGAGAATACAAGCGCCATTGGCTGAAATCTTGCATATAACATATACGTGCGCCGCCGCAGACAGAGATGATGAGGCACGTGGTATCAAAACAAGACGGTTTGAAATATGGCAGAGTGAGTAGCACGAGTACATAGAGCACGTCAACGAGAGGTGTAAAGGGATGCGACTCGTAAGGTACGAGACAATGACAGATTAATGACGACCATCTGTGTATTCAGGAGACAGACAACCAATGAAGAGCCAGAAGCGAGTCCAGAGTCCAGCCTGTCTGAGCATTATATCAGGGCGTGAGGGAGTTGACGTTGCAGCTGTGGTTGTACCACCAACCGCAGGTGCGGTAGAAGAATTGGAGACAGGTGCCTGTGGTTGCGAAGATGACTGTGTCTGGGTCGCACCATTGGATTGCTGCGTGGCATTGGGCTTGAGAGGCCGTAAGTTCGTTTTCCGTTTCTCTCTCGCTGAAGCATTCCTCTGCACAATTGTCAGGTCGAGTGGAACATCTAGGAAGGAGAAAAGACATACACGTTTTCCCTTTGCATACGGGACCTCAACAACTGCTGGGCTGCGCCCGTGCAACTCTATGCCTTCACCACTCTGTCCGCGCCGTTTCAAAAGGTTTTGAGCCCAATCGAGAGGAGAGGACGGTGATGTTTCATGGGGATTGGAGGGGCTGCGGTGGAATAAGCGGCTAAGAAGTGTGCTTCCTTGCGGTGTTGAGGACGAGTGGAGGCGGCTTCGTGGAGAGAACTGCGACCACGGAGGTCAGGATAAAGCTCGAAGTGACAGTAACAACGTACACGAGAATGATCTGGTGGGACATCAAAAAAGCCTGGGGGTACCCGATGGGCAGGTTGACGTCGTTGGGCAGAATGTCGTGTAGCATTTTCCTAGAGTGCATAAGTTTGAAGGCAATGAAATCTTTTATGAAGGTGTTACGTACACGGAGTGCCGACTTGTTGGTCTGGCAGAGCGCGTTCAGTGATGAGAATGTAATGAATGCCTGTCAACTCACCTTTGGATCCAACAGAAGTTCGTCGAGGTCAGCTTCTTTCAGAATGGTAGCAACATCCCATGAGTACGCGTTGGTGTCATCGCAGCCAGTTGTTAGTAGTTTTCCATCCGCGGAAAACGATACGCAGTTAACTTCACGTGCATGCTGGAGTGGAGAGCTGATGGGCTGGCCGTTGTCGAGGTCCCACAATCGCGCTGTCGAGTCGTGTGATGCGCTTGCGAGAATGCGGCCATTTGGAGATATTGCAATGCCTAAGACAATGGAAGTGTGCGCATCCAGAACTGCGATCATCTTCCAAGTTTTTGTATTCCATGTCCGAATCGAGTAATCGAGTGACCCGGAGATGAGCGTTTTTCCATCCACGGCCCAAGCCAGGCACGACACCGAATGTGTGTGTCCTTTGAGAGTTGCGACAAGCTCGCCTGTTTTCGCATCCCAAATTTGAATTGAGCACTCATTATCATCTTCAGTCCAGGGCTTATCACGTCCACCAGTTGCAATCATGGTCATGTCTGGCGAATAGATGGCTGCGTACACCACTAGATGTTCTGTCTTGATTGGTCCGGGTTCCAAGATTGTCTCTCCGTTCTGTACATCCCACTGCCTCGCTGTCCCATCATCAGACCCGCTCACTACTCGCTGACCATCTCGACTCCAACAGATGGAATACACTACCTGTGTGTGCCCCGTCCATTTCGCGATGACCTTGCCTGTCTCGATATCCCACAACCTCACTCCACCGTCACTACTCCCGCTGACCACTTTCTTCCCATCCGGAGACAACGCTATACTCCTTACTTCACTGTCTCCGTCCCGCCAGTCTTCTCTTATCTGTTTCCCGCTCTCCAAGTTCCATACCCGCAGCGAGCCATCTCTTGAGCAAGTAATCATCCGCTGTCCGTCAAGTAGGTGTATGGCTCCACGGACCCAATCGGTGTGTCCTTCAAATTTCTGGCGAGGCGTTATTGCTGATGTCTCTTTCTTTTTAGTTGCGGGTGAAGACATATTCCAGAATTCCAACTACCAAGTGCAGCGCCGTCTCAGCTTTCACCCACCAAATTCCAAATACATTACTTACCGAGGACAACAGCGACGGGCGGATAGCAGGGGGAGATAGGCCTTTCGGTCAAGTCAGAGTTAGGCTCACTACTTCCTGTTTTACATGCTTTATCCTCGTGTTCACAGCTTACATACAGCATTGGCTGTGCAGCTGAAGCGCCCAAGAATGCATCTGCCACTCCGTAATCCCTGTTGCTGTTGGATGGAGTACAAGTTAGCATTGCAGTTGTGCCTGCGCGTGTTCACGCAGAGTGTCCAAAGATGCAAGGTGAATGGCTTGGTGTCAAGCTGTGTTCAATTCTCCCAAGAAATCTCGCAACCTCCTACCTAGGATCCCACAGGCCACCTCCTGGGTCAGACACCCCGGGACATCTACTTTTACACACGTTACACTCATCAAACACACTTGTACCTAAGGAGTGGGTATATTGTTCCCACATAGTCGAAGTCAGGGCATACTGATGTTTTTGTTGTTCCTATTTAATCATTCTTTGCTTCCTTGCTCTGGCTAACTTATACACAGATCATATCACCGTTACACGGTCACTGAACCTCGCAGGATCATAACCGCAATGGACCACCAGTTAGATGATTGGCCGACGGACGCGTAAGTCTTCCTTGTTTTCCATTGACCTGTTTTGGAACTCTCCGTGAACTGACTCAGGGCGTGGTTTTAGCGACACTAGATATGTAGAGTCACTGCGATGGCACCCTGACTGCAACAATTGGGATGATAACTATATACTAGTACTAGATCAGTCAGCCTATCTATTCGATCCAAACAAGCGCCGAGTCAATGTTTTGTTGCATGCAATACAGCTGTATGTTGTCGCAATTGAGGCGAGCAATAGCCCAAAATCGATGAACTAGCTGCACGATATAGATATATATTCGACGACTCTGAGACGCAGGAAAAGAAAAGAACAGCCTCCCGAGCGGGAAATTATTCAATCTAATTCTGCAGTGTCATGTATTTCCGTTTCATTGGAACCATCGGCTGTTGTTTCTTTAGTGTAGATCAGCAATACAAATACATTCAAAAGATCTATACGAACTTCGATGCTGGATTCACACAATTATGACGGACAGGCTATAACGTTTCGACCTTAGCCCCCAACCACCACAATGCTCGTCCGCTTCACACATATCGTCCTCGCCATCCTGGCCCTTGCTGGCGTCACAGCTGCGTCTGCAGCCTCAACTCGGGGAAATGGCACCACGCGGGTGTGTTGCAAAAAGCTGGAGACGTAGGTCGACACCAGGTTCTGTGTCGTATTCACCATCCTAATTAATGCGCAACAACATTACCAACAGCTACTGACAAAGTTCGCAATGTACCAAGGTCAGCACTGCAAGCAATTGCAAGTATACCCGCTCTCTGCTGCTATAGTGTCGTAAGCTTGATGTCGTTTCATAAGAGTATGATCACTACTGACCTGCACACTCACAGAAGGGATGTTCTGCTGGAACATACTACGAGACCTCTTGAGAGATACATGATGGTGTATGAATTTGCCGTGATGTCGAGGTGGTTGTTCAACGTTCAACGCTCAGCGCCCAGCTATCAATTTGGGTTGGAGAAATTTGCACACTATTTCTTGGAAGACGGGGTAATCGACAGGCTATAACAAGTCTATAGCCAGACAACACGGGGAATGTCAGTTCTCGAATGAGCCATTATAACTGTACCAGACAGAACTTCTGATGTAATACGTCAGTAGCAACATTAATGAAGTCAAACCAACACTCACGCAATGGATTTCAGCGAGTGACGGGTGTTCGTTCCCCGACCTCGCAACAGTGCACTGTGCCATTCAGCTATAGGCACCACTGATGCGTGTAGTTTAAATAGACCTGGACTATCACTCGGAGGGGGTGCCAGACTGGGATTTTGGTTCGAAGTGACACAAAAGGATAAATATGGTTTAGGGCAGGCAAGTTCGTGTTAAGTTTCATTACTTCGCGTTCTTGCATTCGAAATCGATGGCAACAACTTGAACTTGAATATCAGGCATGAAAATTGAAGAAGGGAGGCCTCAGGCAGCCAAATGTTGATCATCTTCACATCATCTTCATCGCCCAGTCTCGAGGACAATCTGAAGCTGTAGTCGACGCGGATCTAATGACAGGCTCAATCATGATGATCAACGCTTCAGGTCGCAATATCTAAACCCACAACCTCAATTCGCTAACAGGCCGCGTACGCCAGGCAGTCAATACGAGCGATGTCAAGTGCACATGTGTCGAATGCATGTACACAGGGTTGGGCATGAATGCATGCAGCTCGAACTTCGAAGCCTCTCTATGCACATGGGATCCGAACTCGGATAAATTCACACTGAATTGTACGCGAAACTGGACGTAGGGTTTTCTTTGGGATCTGCCCTGTTCTGAAACAGGTCATAGGAGGTGCATAGCATGCGTTTGCTCCATCCTAGCACAATCATTTGCCACACGAGGCACACACGCCCTCAGGCTGATCTGCACGCCTCCAACCTTGGTATGTGACCTTTGAAATGTAAAGCATGCCCCCTTGTATATTAACTTCAACAAGAACGCGAGCTGCCAGGCCTCAGATTACTACTATGCTTCCACGGGAACCGTACAAGGGCTTAACGCGAAAGCTTGTGCTTGCATTTGATGTCGGGACCACGTTCAGTGGGGTCTCGTATTGCATGCTGGACCCAGGAGAGGTGCCTGTAATTCGAGGAGTTGCAAGGTCAGTAACTAAGTCGACCACCACGTCTCTTGCTCATGTTGGGATCGCAGATATCCTGCGCAAGAGCATGTCGGAGGTGACTCCAAAATACCATCAATCCTCTACTACGACCTTCAGGGAGACGTCCGTGCCGTGGGTGCTGAAGCTCTACAAGAGAGTATAATCGAACAGGCAGAAGATGAGGGATGGGTGAAGCTTGAATGGTATGTATATCGTCGATGTTAAAGCGTAGGCTCTATATTAATATCAGTCAGGTGGAAACTTCATCTTCGCCCCAAGCATCTGGCATCGTCTCACATACGTGACGGTCCTCTCCCACGAGGCAAATCCGCAGTAGACGTCCTCGCTGACTTCATGCACTACCTCTTCCAATGTGCTCGGACTTACATCCAGGAATCACATTTGAATTTCTGGAGATCGGTCGAGAACTCCATTGAGTTCGTGCTCACACATCCGAATGGCTGGGAAGGCCAACAACAACAACAGATTAGACGCGCTGTCGAACTCGCTGGTCTCATCTCATCTAAGGAGGAGCAATCTCACGTGCACCTCTTGACCGAGGGCGAAGCGAGTCTTCATTTTTGTGTTACCAACGTAATTGCATCAGATATATTCTCTCAAACCCCTATAGATGCGTCAGACTACTCCGACGAGGAAGATCAATCTGACAGCCAGGGAGTCATTGTTATCGATGCTGGAGGCGGAACCATCGATCTCAGTGCCTACTCTATGAAGTTGTCTCCGACCTCGTTCGAAGAGATTAATTGCTCCAGCTGAATGTGAGTTCCGCTTTCCTCCGTTCTTCCCTTGCTAAGATCTACTCAGGTCGCCTGCAAGGCTCAGTATTTGTTACTGATCGCGCTCGTACTCTCTTACAAAGTCCGTTAATAAATCAGTCGTACAGGGAACCAAAAACTGATAATCATGTGATTGCCCAGAAAAACTTTCGGGCTCGGACTACTCCAGCCCCAATATCATCGCACAAATGGGGGCTATCTTCGACACCAGCACGAAACTTCGGTTCCGTAAGCCTGATGAACCATCTTACATCAAGTTTGGCACCGTCCGTGACAAAGATCCAAAGTATAACATTCGATCAGGGCAGTTGAAATTGGCTGGGTTCGTCCATATTCTCAAAGATGCCTTCTTCACAACATTCACGTTTTAACGTACAGCCGGGACGTCGCGGACTTGTTTGAACCATCCATCAAAGCTATCTTCGAGGCTTTTGAGCAGCAGAGACGAGCGGCTTCGGCTCCCGTCAATGTGAGCAATATATTTTGCTCAACTAGGCGAATTGTGACATCGTGGTGAAGTTGGTTTGCTTGGTTGGTGGTTTCGCTGCCAGCGACTGGCTGTTTGCGAGACTCCAGGAATATTTTCTACCTCTAGGCCTTCGCTTCTGTCGCCCTGATTCCCATGTGTAAGCCCTCGAATACCAACGACTGCTCTTACTACTACTCATCAGATCACAGCAACAAGGCGGTTGCTGATGGGGCAGTTTCGTTCTATATTGACCACCTAGTGTCATCTCGAGTTGCACGCGCCACTTATGGCGTTGAATGCATCACTCCGTACGACTCTCAAGATCTCGAACACCGGATCCGACAACATAAAAGCTTCATAGACGCCACCGGCGAACTATGTCTCCCCGAATATTTTGAGAGTATTTTGCTGAAGGTAAATAAAGCATTTCCACTCATCCGGTACATGCTGAGCTGTCCCATAGGGAACTCAAGTTTCTGAGCTGCGTGAATTCCGGAAGTCCTTCCTTAAAATCCGACAATCGCCCGGTGCATGCAAGAGTCATAGCTCGGCAATAATATGCTACAATGGTGCCCTCCAGGACCCGCAGTGGTTAGACTTTGACCGGTGTATGAATTATTTGCGACTCGAGCATACTCATACTGACTTGATCCAATCCAGCTTCATACACCCCGCTCTGCACGATCTATGCCGACCTCCGCGAACTATCCAGAACACTTCATCCCAAAAAATCGACTTTAGATCAATCAGTGTATTATCAGGTTGAATACGACGTCATCATTCTATTCGGGCACACAGAACTGAAAGCGCAGATCAGTTGGAAGGATAAGGTTCGCCCTCGTTTTCGTCTGTCTATCCACTTTTTCGCTGATCGAGAACATTGTAAAGGGTGTTGAAACGCGGTAAGCCTAATTCATAGTTCTATGGTTTCGTCTTCTTATGCAATCCGTTATAGGAGTCCGGCAACTATAGTCTTCGGCGAGTAGTGTCAAGGCCGAACTGCAGCTCTTTGCACATGCTGCAGCTGCAGAAGCGTGTTAGCATTATATGCAGAACAGTCGTGCCATCTGAATCATCTGTATCCGTATGTGTTACCTCAAATATCACCGGACTTCGTATGCACAAACGTCTGAACAGCACAAGTCAGGTAGAGCACTGGCATGCTGAGGCGGTCCAAGGTAATATCAACCACACCCTCAAATTCGCTCTGACCATTTTGAGAGGAGATTGTTAGTCCCGCTTGAACAGATCCTTCCTGATGGCCTGACAAGGTTGATAGTTTCCACGGTCTATGATATTCCCAATATTGCTTAGACGTCTTTAACCCTGCTGCTTTATCAAGTTGAGTCTTCACCACGAGCAAGCTGCAGTCAGCTTTCGACCGAGTACTGTCACTTCACATGGTCATGCATCCTCAGCTCCGCACTTGAAGAATTCTTAGACTATAAGCGGCACACTTGCATCGCAAACGGTACTTGTCAACTTGATCGCAGAGGCCACTAGTCAATATGGTCCCAATATTTTCCACACGTATCATTGCAAGTTTACATACAGGTTCTCGAGCTGGCACTGATACATCTGGGCTTGTTTCCTTAGTACGTGGGCTAATGTACACTAACGTCCTCTCCAAATTTAGAATACACGCGTCTTCCATCCGCTCTTATAGTAACAAGTTTCTGTAATAGTCTGGGGAGCAGTAGAAGACTGGAACCCGACCCTCAAGACGGGCTCCTTGCTGTGGTGCTGCGCATACATGCAGGTGCTGTTCTCAACTGCTACGCCCAAATGCGCGCCTTTGTGCCAACCAGCGCCGCCCTGGATGTAGCAAATCTCCTGGACCTGACTATCTACAGTGACATAATACACGCGGATCTGCCACGACGAAGTCAGATTGATGAGGCAAGGAACGGCGGTCAACAAACTCGTACCTGTCGCAAGTTGTCCCATGCTACCGCCGCGATTGGCGTGTTGATACGGGCAGCGGGCATATTGCCAGTGGTGAGTTTGAGGGTTTTATAGGTCGTACTGTTTGGGTCGTCCAACTGCATTTCGCAGATCTGGTATTCTTTGTTCTGGTAGTAGACGCGGAATTTCCCATCTTCGTTCTGCACACCGGCCATAGTGGTCCCGACGAAGTTGGTGGGCAGAAGATCGGACTTGGTTGCTGATTCGGACATGTTTGCTGCGACCTGTGAAAATGCATACAGTCAGTCATAGAATTATGGATGTGCTGCTAACTGCGACTCACTGGTAGATTGGTCGTTGGTGTGATGATTTATGAAGCAGGCAATGAGTCTTGCTTTTATACCTCCAGGCAGCCCCTGTCTGGATCATAGTGCGGGTATCAAGGATTCCTTGGCCGGAAGAAAATGACATAGTAGGAGCCTTTGCTGTGTCCGGGCACGGTCACACCCATGCCCGGATCCCTGCCCAGACACCATCTGACAAGATCCGTGGCTCCAGGTGCGGTCATTGTGCGCCAGTCAGAAACAAACGTCAGGCGGGCGCATCATCCAAGGACCACGATTACTGTACATAGTCAGATTATAATCAGTCAATTTGCGCACTGGACAGCGCGTGATATACATCTGGGCCAGAAGTACTGAACCTATTATGACAGTGAATCTAGCCTCGAGTCTCGACGACCGAGGTTGATAATGCGGCTGTCAATAATTGTTCGACGGGGGGAGACCCCAGCGTGAACAATCAGTGTACTACAACGGGAAATGACGCTGTTCAGTGCATCCTTTGCTCGAAATCAAATAAGCCGCCGCGGTCTCTCGGCACAGATGTAACTGCAATCCAGAAAATCTGAGAGGTAAGCTGCCATCGTGCGCCAAAGATGACATTCTATGGGCACCCAGGCCTGTGTGTAATTCAGGGATGTAACGACTACAAAAGTCAGATGATAGTCAATTAATTAACTCACAGAGCAGTAAGGCTGTTCACCGTACCTTGTACTTATACCCGGTCTATACGGTAGCCGTAACTGTACCATCAGATATTCAAGCTTCAAGTTGACGGATGGGGACTAATGTTGGGCTAGGCCTGGCTTGAGGCCGAGAGCTGAGCCTACTCAGTAGGACCCGTACATGACCGTATGTGTGCGGCCGTAGACGGCTGGTGTTACAGTTACGAAGGTAGCATATCACGTGCTCGGTCAAAGTCCAGTCTCATGTTCTATTTTTGGTGTCGTTGCTCGTACCCGGTACTCGCTTATCAGTTTCATTGTCATAGCGCGTTGAATTCATTGCACACAGATTTCAAAATCGAATGTGGCGAGTGAGCTATAGCTACAGTCGGAGTGCTGTCATTTCATCGCAAACGGTACTTATCAACTTGATCGCAGAGGTCACTAATACTGATTAGTATCATTGCAAGTTTACATACGGGTTTTCGAGTTGGCATCTGGGACTGCATGTACACTAACATCCTCTCCAAATTTAGAATACACGGGTCTTGCCAATTGCAACGAGGGTTTCTCACACTACCAGCACCGATCTGACCAAAGAGACACTGCCATCCAGCCTGATCATCATAAAAGCACTAGGTGATTGTTTGTCTGCGCGAACTCCATACGCCCCATTCCAATATGACCGTAGTCGCAAATGATCCCTGTTTGTGCCAGCCGTTGGTCGATTGGATTCAGATATCCGGCTATTTTATAGGTTCGTGAAAAGTAAGTCAGATGATGTAGGGACGCATCATTGACTGTGCTTTCGCAGCTGCATCTTCTGTTATTGTAATATACGATTGGGGTGAGCGAGACGATACTTTCTGAGGGTATCATTAATATCTACACAATATTCAAGCATTAACGTTCGGACAAGAGGTCAGTTGACCTCGTGACCTGCGCAGTCGTCTCACTAAGAACGCTTTAACAGGTCGAACTGATCTGGGTGAGCAAAGTCATAGAAGCGAACAGTTTAATGCAGTTGACCTGGGGTAGATGCAACATTGGTCTCTCATGACTCTGCTATATGTCGGTGTGAGTGCCTCATGTTATAAGCGCAGTTAGCAAGTTGACTTGAATATATCTAGGTGCGCTATGTTGGAATACTACATTCTGTGTAGGTTTGCGAGGTGGATTAAATGACGCTCCACTGTACTAATGGGCCATTTCTCACCAGCGTCTACATCCTAAGTATGTGTGTGTCACAAAATGAATTTGTTTCTTCTGACATGCGCCATGCAGTGGTTTCCCCAGTGTCGATGACAGATCAAGTGGGTACAATGCACCGATGCTGTTACCATTCGACTACTAACTGCACTCCTACATAGGAGTGAGTGGTATTCTCAGCCAGCTCTTTTTTTGAACGTAACAACTGCAACAGCTGCAAGTTCATTTTAAACATTGAGTCCATCAATGTGCATCAGTAATTGGGGTTTTCAGGCTATATCATTTCCCTCACGACGATGTGGACGCCTGTCGTGATGAATACCACGCTAGGGGGTAAGCTGAGCTGCAGAACTTTACTGATATTTAATTGACTGAAACACCTGGCAAGTTATTATGATGATTCGGATACATGCTATGTATCAGCAATCCCGAAGGATGCTCATCTTCCTTGCTGTGATCTTACTGGCTTCCACAATCGCCAGCGGAATTATGACAGTAATTGCAAACCTAGGTGATTCAGGGGGTAAGCTTTAATTATTGATGAAAGCGTTGAGCACATGAGGCTCATGTATATACACCAGAGGAGGCCATCCTTTCTGGCCACCGTGTTTGTGTCACCAACAATAACACAACTGGGTTAAATCTGGTTTACGAGAGCTTCATACCCACCGCTGTATGGGAGATCCTCGCCTTTTGTCTCACAGTCTGGATTGTTATAAAGCGCTTCCGTGAATTGCGACAATCTACAACAGGATCAACCATCGGGGGATATTTCACGGTATTAACAAAAAGCCATGCATTCTACTTTCTGGCGTGAGCTCGGTGATTTAGATGTCGTTATCTTGTTTCGCTGAAGTTCCGCATATGCTAGCTTTGCTGTCATGGCTTGCTTCAGCATTGGCTTACTGTCTCCAAATATAATGGTACGGACCTGTAACTTGCATTTGCATCTGACCACTCCTCATCATGTCTACAGGTTTCAGCTTCTGCGGGAGCTGAAGCCTATGCCGGGGTTTTGCAAATCGCCCAGGGGTTGCAGATGTTTGTGCTGGGACCGCGTCTGATCCTTAGCGTTCGTCAATATCACGCTAGGCTTGTGGCCAGGTCAGACGAGGGAAGAGGCATGACGTCCATTGTTTTCCAGACTCGCGGAAATTCGTTGACTGGCGAAGATGTGTCGAGTAGGGGAGATGTGTAGGACTGGCCACCATCATCCAGGTGATAAACCCTGGGTACTTGGCAGGGAGCATCCATATGTTTGAACGTCTCATAGTCATCGAATATATTTATGGGTTATCATAGATTTTGCGATTTTGTGTTTTGCTAGATCAGTCAACGCGAATTTATTGGGGCCACGAGAGGTTGAGTGATTCGAACTTGAAGCGAGTGGGAGTGCTGTCATTTCATATGATAATACATCGCAAACGGTACTTATCAACTTGATCGCAGAGGTCACGATACATCTGGGAGACTGGGACTGTTTCCTTGGCATGTGCGCTGACGTCCTCTCCAAAATTAGAATACACGGGTCTCCCATCCGCCCTGATCATAGTAGCAAGTTTCTGTAATAGTCTGGGGAGCAGTAGAAGACTGGAACCCGACCCTCATGTACGGCTCCTTGTTTTGGTGCTGCGCATACAAGCAGGTGCTGTTGTCAACTGCTACGCCCAAATGAGCGCCTTTCTGCCACCCAACGCCGTGGGTGTAGCAAATCTCCTGGACTTGACTATCCGCAGTGATATAATACACGCGGATCTGCCACGACAAAGTCAGAATGATGAGGCAAGGAACGGTGGTCAACAAACTCGTACCTCTCGCAAGTTGTCCCACGCGCCCGCTGCGATTGGCGTGTTGATACGGGCAGCGGGCATAGCGCTAGTGGTGAGTTTGAGGATGGTATGGGTCGTACTGTTTGGGTCGTCCAACGACATCTCGCAGATCTGGTATTCTTTGTTCTGGAAGTAGATGCGGAATTTTCCATCTTCATTCTGCACACCAGCCATAGTGGTCCCGACGAAGTTGGTGGGCAGAAGATCGGACTTGGTTGCTGATTCAGACATGTTTGCTGCAACCTCAGGCTGTGAAAATGCATACAGTCAGTCATAGAATTATGGATGTCAGCGACTCACTTTGATAGATTAGTCGTTGATGTGATGACTTGTGAAGCAGGTCTTACTTTGAAGCCTCCATCCAAGTCCCAGTCTGGAGATATCACTTGGTCAGAGTCCAGTATGTTATCGATTGATGAATGTTTTGGTCCAAAGCCCCACAGACGTTACCGAGAGGAACAACAGTGCTACGGCTATTTGGTCAGCACTTCTTATTTCTGGTGTCTTGTTTAACTGAAATGATATATATTCATGTTTGAGAAGCTGAGGCAACCACCCAGACTACTCTCCTCCCTTGGCGACAGTCGAGTGAACATTACTTCACTCAGACCCAGTGTTTGGCCTTGATATATGTATAATGATTCAGATATATAATACAACTGCAACTACGCAGGCAAGGCTGCACCACCAACCATGCATTATGACAGCGGAATACCCACTGGAAATATATCTATGCATCATGCTTCGGTTGCATTGTTGAAGATAAGCAAGTTCACCGTCTTCGCGGGCAGATCAGCAAGCATGCCCGACGACGCGAGCGTGCGAAGAGCGGTCTTGAGCTCCAAGGGGGATATCTCAGCGGGACCGCCGTAAATGGGCGCGTTGACAAACATCTGCGGTGATGGCATGAACTCGGTCATCCAGCGTGGGAGGGCAGCATGACATAGGGAGTAGAACGAGGCATAAGGGCGCTCGAGGTTGAGGGTAGAAGGAAGGAACGTTGAGCTGAACGTAGGGTTGAACGTAGTGGAGGGGTAAATCGACAAAAGGTATGCAAGGAGGCCGGCGGTATGGGGAGAGGCCATCGAGGTACCAGAGAGGGTAGCTACAGCAGTTTTGCTACCAATGTACGTGGACAGGATGTTAAGACCTGTGATGTACTTGTCAGTAGCCGGTCTCAGAACAGGTGGAGAGACATACCAGGAGCGAAGATATCCACACACTCGCCGTGGTTGGAGAAGTATGCACGCTCATCACCAAGCGTGGAGGCGCCAACAGTCACAGCTTTCTCAGCTGCTGCAGGTGAGTACTTGCAGGCATCCTTGTTGTCGTTACCTGATACAATGGTCAGTCATGATCTTCTAAACATAATCGCGCGACTTACCAGCAGCAACGGCAAAATGAAGACCAGCATCAACCGCGCGGTTAACAGCAAGGTCGAGAGCAGGAGACTTTCCACCACCAAGACTCATGTTTGCAACTGAGCCTTTGTGCTTGGTCTTGCCAGTAGCGGCAAACTCAGCGCGAGCAGCTGCGAGCTTCTTCACAGCTGACTGAGCTGCCCACGCAACTCCCGAGACAACGTCAGACATGGTGCCACTGCCATTGGAACCCAGAACCTTGACGGCGATGACATTTGCCTTCTTGGCGACACCATACTTGCGGGAAGCAATAGTACCAGCACAGTGGGTACCGTGACCATTGCCATCCTCATCGACGTCATTGGCCGGGATGGTCTTGCCCCAGGAAGCGCGACCCTCGAATTCGGAGTGGTCGACATTGATACCAGTGTCAACGACGTAGACGTCAACACCATCACCACCTTCCGTGTCATAGAGATACTTGGTGAAAGTGCTGAAACCGAGTTTGTCACGATGACTAATACGGGCGAGACCCTTGCATATGGAGTTAACTCCACTGGAAGCAACCGGATTCTGCATAATGACTCACCCACGGCGAACCCTTCTGGGTGCTCATTTCCATGGTATGCACTATTTGGTCCTTCTCTACGAAGTCAACCTCAGGCATCCGCCGTACCTGTTCGATGACGTTCTCAGTGAACTCTCCGGCGTAACCTTTGATGTGTCCGTCGTAAATGTGACGGACGCCCTCTGCGAACTCGTGGCCGAGGAGCAAGTCAGAGGAATGAGCCATCTGGAGAAAGTTAAGGTGGTTCTGCATGACAGCTTGAGGAAGGTCATCACGAAGAACGACGATATACGAGTTGTTGATGGTTCCGTATGGATGGTCAGAGGCCATTAACGGCGCAACCTTGAATTGCGGCCGACTGGGAGGATTGTAAGTGTTGGTAGATAGTGGGGTCGCAAGGACCGCTGGGGCCAATGCCGCCGCTAGTAATGACCAAGTTGCGAGATAAGACATGACGGGCGGAATGAGAACTGTAGTGGGGATGGCGACCAACTACTTAAACTGCTTGCGTGGCCTTATTTGGCAATGTTTGCATTGTGGCATAGCAGCGTGTCAGTTCTGGCTCCTTTAGGACTCTCGGCGTTGCAGGGATAGATAACTTATCTATCGTAGTACCGCCTTCTGTGAAGGGTCAATTGGACAGCCTGGTTCTGAGTTCTTTGCACGCACAGGCATGGATATTTATCGATCTGCGTTTCGTCAACGTTGCCTCATTGACGTGGGTCTCCTTTTCTATCAATGATTCGGTTCGGTTTGTTCTCCGTCTAGACTCTGACCGACGGTCTCACACTGCACACAGCTTCCAGAGTTTCCGGAAGTTCGGAGTTTCTCCTCTTTTGTGATTTTCCGAGTCACGCATGTGCACACCCGATGAAGTTCCACGCGCCAGAGACTCCTGTGTGAGTGCGCACCCAGTTCCGTCCGTGGCATCACTCTCAGCCTCCTCCTACTAGCCAGTACTAGTCTACATGGTACATTTCGAGTCGAGTGAGGAGTTGTGTTCAACTATTTTAAAATGTAAATAAGTCTGAGATCTGAGAACCCGCGTGGCCTAATGTAGGTGTGGAGGAAGACGAAAGGCTGAAGAGAATGTCAATGGGGTATCCGTGTGCGTGCGTACACACCGACAAGGTACAGCCGCTCGGAGATCCCAATTCTCTAGTCATCAAAAAATACATATAGCTACAATATTTCTAGCGTCCTGACATCCATCATATCGTGAACAGAAGCCACGTCTCTGACTTGTGCGATGATAGCGTAATCTGACGCAATCCTCTTGTATTCTCCGCCGTGCTGCTGCGCGAGCAACAATGCGCCGAACGGCTGTCCGAGGCGAACAATCAATTGGAATGCTCGTGAGTTAGATTCCGAATCAACCAGCTCCTGTTCCGCAGAAGACCCGGACGGCGTTTTGTTTCCAAAGTCGGACAGTTCTGCAAAGTCAGGTAGCCCGAGCAAACACCGATTCCAGGGACGGACAAGCAAGAATGTCTGCAGAGTGGGCCTTGCAAATTGAATTAGCGGCTCTTTGGTGGTGATCATTAGGTCGTGAAGACCGTCTGCCTTGACTCCATACGTGAAATGAAAAGGCTCCTGGGTTGGATCATGCCCTTGTCTAACCTGTGCAGTGACTCGGAATGCGATGCAAGGCAGATGCAGTCTGCAGTTCGCGAAACGAGGAGCGCTCATCTTGTCAAGCTCGGTGTAAAGTTTCAAAGCCAAATCAGCAGCCAAAGTATTTTGCAGCGAAGAAACGGTTGTCTCAATCTCGTTTTCGTCCACTGATGGCAGGGTACATGGTGGAGCGGCGTATGAGGAAATGTTGGCCGGAAGACAACTATTGAACTCGGAGGATTCTCCGATCCAGTCGAGGGCAGTGATGTCCCCAGATCGAGCCACGATCTCCTGCAGGAGCCGCCCGAGTGCATTTTCCTTGTTCTCGCCATAAAGGATAGGTAGTTGGATGCGGAATATGCCAAACAATGAGTATGCGATGTCTTCCGGCACAGTAGTGACACGCTTAGACGCCCATTGGAGTTTCTCTCGAGCATCTCTCATCCCCGGTTGAAAAGTGACGAGGACCCGTGCATCTATACCCGTCGCATCCTCCAACTCATGCATGATCTCGACAGACTCCTTGTGGTTTGGGGAGTGGTCGTCGAGATATAGAGTCCAATCCTGTTGGTAGAAGAGAATGGTTTTAGGAGCCAAGAATTCCGGGACGGTCCATCCTCGGGTGTTCCAAATACTCTTGGTAAGCGCGCCAGACTTGGACGAATGCGGAACATCCGACAGGTAGACGATTGTGATGGCTGAATGGCGATACCAGGCAAACATGGAGTTGAGTGATTTTTGGAGCTCGACATTGTTGTACTGGTCGATGCAACATGAATCGACCCATGCCCAGTGTAACTTTGCCTGTCGGGCAATTTTACAGAATGATTGCAACTTCACGAGGCCGCCAGCTGCCTCCAACTTGTAAATGACCTTGTCCTTGATGTCTCGCAGCAGCGGCTCCTTCCCTTCCCACCTATGTGACAACATGGCAAAGCAGAAGTACATCGCCACCGCTTCTGCGATGCGCTCCGATCGGAGGTCTCCATGCTTCATAGTCAATGCCAACAGAAGCTCGTTGTATTCTGTACTTGTTTTGAAGGCGTTTGATTGCCCTTCTCGGTCACATAAGAGCCCGGTGGTGGTGTTTAACAGACGAAGCGGCCGCGGGGTAGTGTCAAGTTGAACGTCAACGGACTTTCGAATGTCACGTTCTACTTCGGATGGACTGACATACTGCTCACGCAGCTCTGAGGAAAGAGTTGAGCATCTGGACATGCGTGATGCATAGAGCTTACTTCGTATCTGCATGTCTTGAGCACTGTCCAATTTGACAAGCATCATTTCGAAAACCTTGATAGCTTCATCGTAGCGTTGTGCGCCATGAAGCGCTATATGCTTCAACTGGTAACCAATATGAGACGAAGGGTTGAGTTCGATGACCTACGTATTGCCCACGTTAACATTGGTTACAAAACAGTAGGTGGCATCAGACCTTTTGCGCATCAAAAAGCGCATCCTCCCATAACATTTTTTCCGACCTCGCTTTACTACGGTTTGCAAAGATGGTGTCATTTGCAAAATTCAGGTCAATCACCACAGAGTATAGGTCAATAGCCCTGTCGTAATTGTTTGCAGCGAATGCGGCATCTGCTTTGGGAAGACAGAGCGTGCTGCAATCTTGCCGGAAAGCTGAGTGAAAGGAGGGTGATGATTATAGCCCGCGTGACAACATAGACGACTTACCATCAGACCAATTAAGGCAGCGGGCCTTCGTGCTTTCATCAATGATATCCATCATTTTTCGGTATGATACCAGGGCTTCTTCAAGTTTACCTCCCTGACGAAGTGCGTCGCAAAGCTTCTGGTGTGCATTTTGCCACAAGGACTTCAGGTCCCAACCGAACAGCTGTAAAAAGCACGTGGTTAGGCATTGAACGCACATTCTGTGACATCATAGCATACCACCACCAGGTCCTCGTAAAATAGATGTATGTCCAAGTTTGATGAAAAAGTGCAGGAATTGACAGCGGCTGTGAAGTGATCAGTAGCTTCGTCGTGGCGCGCACCATTCAAGGCATCGATTCCGAGCTGAAAATGTAGATAGGCCTGACGTGCGGGGTTACATATATATCAGTGTAAATGCACAAAGCCTTGATGAAGACACTCACTTCCACGACACAACACGCGAGAGAATCGTTATTCGGACAAGCGGCAGCTAGCTTCCTGATGCGGAGAAATGCCTCCTCATGTTGATCTGCATTGAAAATAACGATGGCCTGAAAACCGTGATCAGGCATGGGGTATGTAAGAGAGGTTTAGCGTGCCTTGATCAAGAGAAGGAACAGAATGATTTTTGAATCTTCATTTGTGAACATGAACGCGAGGTCAAGTTCTTTCCTCGCGTCCCCGGCCTTCCCGTTTCCGCATAGGGCAATACCCTTAGAAATATAACCAGTCAAGGAGGGCTGCATGCTGACGGACTATTTCACGATGGAGGTTAGCGTTTCATAAGGAGCTCATGATGTGTCAGTATCTCGCCTTGATCGCATCCTGTAGCGCGTGATTCCAGTGGTGTTTGCGTGCCTTCACGAAAGAGCGGTTGGCATAGGAGATGTAGTTGTTGGCGTCAGTCTCGATCTCTTGTGTTAGAAGCTGTTCAGCGGTAGACAAGTCGCCCCCGATGCATGCATTGCGGACGGTCGCATTGATGGCTAGGATCTGATCAGGGACTTGAGGCTTGGTACCAAAAAAGATGCGAGATGAGATGACAAAGGGATATGAAATCACTGAGAACTTACCAACTCTGAGTCGGGTACTTCCCACTCTGAGATCATCATATCACTACCTCCGCTGAGGACGTACCTGCCATCTACGGAGAAGGTGACACATCGCGCACAGTTTGAGTGCTGGAAAATGGCAATGGTTTGTCGATCTGAGATCCGCCAGAGACGGACATTCTTGTCTGCAGATGCAGAAGCGGCGAGTGTGCTAGTGGGGTTGACGGCAATGGCATGGACAGTATGAGTATGGCCCGTCCAAGGATCACCGACCTGCGTCCAAGTCGATGAATCCCACTCACGTACGCTGGGATCCTTTTCATCGCCCGCCGAGAGAAGACGTGTGCCATCGGGCGTCCACGCGAGACAAAAGTTCCGTCCTTTGTGACCCTTGAACTTTGCGACACGTTCCCTAGTGCCATAATTATAAATGTGGATATCACCATTTGTTGCAATGGCAAGAATTTCGCCATCTGGCGAATACCGAACGGAGCGGACGACACTCGTACACTGGAACTGGTTTCCTTGTAACCAATGCCATGATTTCGTGCCCCACAGCTTAGCGGTTCGGTCTGATGAAGCAGTGGCCAGTACTGTTCCGTTGGGAGAAAAGTCCAGCGTGAGGATCCGTTCAGGGTGGGCTGCACCAATAACCTGCAGAGGTTTCCCAGTTTCTCCGTGCCAGGTGATGAGCTCTCCGCTCCAACCACCGCTCGCTATGAGTTGCCCATCCCGTGATACCGCGAATGCCCGCACCATCTCGTCATGCCCCACCATCTTCTTCAACATGACACCTGTCTCCAAGTCCCATAGACGAAGTGTCTTGTCCCACGAGCCGGTGATCATGCGTCGTCTATCGGGGAAAACTGCTACAGCGTGTATGTCATTTGTATGATCTCTAAACGTTCGAAGGGGCGTAGAGTTTGGAATGAGCTGCGACATTTTACTGGAGGTTGATGGTGTTGAACGGGGGTCTTGCTGCTGCAGAGGTGCGTGCGGTGTGCGTTTTGATGCTGCCTCACCGCCTTAGCTTTCCATAGACGCCCAGGGCAGAGGGTTTGCCCCCATCAAGGCTGCAATACGAACACTCCCCTTATCAATACGCGCCTTGGCATAATCATCCCTGCGCCTGAATATTGGTTTGCCTTGCGTACCAGATATCTCCACCATGACAGCTTCCGAAATGTATCCCCTCATATCGTGTTAGCAGAGTTGGCATTCCCCAGCTCTTCAAAAGCTGGCTGACTTTCCGGAGAGTAATTGCGGACGTCCCGCTGCTCCGACTCCCGCATCATTCCCTCTCCTCTTTGATGATTTCCACGCGCCAGAGACTTGTGTAGCTTCATTCCTCAGCATACGGCCCCGGGACAGCGTCCCCGGAACCAGTACTTACTTAGTCTAGTACATGTCGTGTCAGTTTCCTGCGTGTTCCCTCCGGGAATTAAGACTTGATACGTTGTAGGTGATCGCACGCCTCGGGTTGAGGATTCATGAAGGGGTTTCACCCGGGCCCAAGTGAACGTTTTCACCCAGATCTAGGGTTAAGGTTCGTAGGGTTCCGAATTTGGAGTGTACCTTTTCGTTCATTCAATTTAACGTCCGCCACTTGTCAGGCGACACGGAGTGCCAGTGTGGCTCGCAGTTTTTCACGACAAGTATATACAAAAGTGATCAACAATGACGCGACAGAGTGCAGGCACCACGGAAAATACCTCACAGTTTCACTCTTTGTCAACAGCTACTTCTGTCTCATCCTTGCCAGGCATGGTTCATGGCGAAGAACGGACACCTCTCGTGAATCAAGGCGACGTTGAAGCAGGTCACACGACTCATGCCCAGTATGGCTCTTCTCGCTCTCTGAGAACTGCTACTTCTGGTGAGCACTTTGAACTGTTTCTGAGACCCACTCGTAGAAGAAAATATAGGTACCGATGAAACTCCAAAGGATACTAGCAAGCGCAACTCGATGTTTATGAAACGAGTCCGATACTATGTTCCGTCTACGGCGTGGATACCTGACTATTCAGCTTCCCTGTAAGTAACATAATAATATCACCCACACAAACTCATGTTCGTCAGATTGAGTGGGGATCTTCTAGCTGGAATCACTCTTGCGGCTATGCTCATTCCGCAGTCTGTCAGTTATGGAACTTCACTTGCGAAGCTAAGTCCTGCCACTGGTTTGGTATGCCACTTGTGTCCTCCCTATACCATCTTCTCACGTCCACGTTTCTATTTAGTTCGCTGCCGCCATACCGCCGATCATGTACAGTCTTCTGGGAACGTGTAGACAACTCAACGTTGCTCCGGAGGCTGCGCTTTCACTCCTCGTTGGACAAGCAGTCTCTGATTATCGTCGTGGGGACCATCATACCCGTCCTGAAGATGCCGATGCCGTCGGCATTGCAGTTTCCACTGCGATCACGTTTCAGGTAAGTAAAGAAGCTATCAATTTGGGCTAGAACATTGTTTCAAAAACAAATCTATATGTCAAATTGAAACTTTGTAGGTTGGGCTATTTGCGTCCATGCTTGGATTCTTTCGGCTGGGCTTCCTGGATGTTGTCCTCAGTCGTGCGCTCCTCCGAGGTTTCGTGACTGCAGTTGCGGTCGTCATTACGGTGTGCGTGTAATTTTCATGATATAGATGACCCGCGAAGTGCTCAAGTTGTATCGCAGAGAACAACTCATACCTATGTTTGGCCTCGTTGCCTTAGAGGGTGAAGTGAATCCCGAGTCAACCCTTGACAAAATAGTTTTTCTTCTAGAATTTGCATGGAGTGATTACCACAAACCGACGATGCTGGTCAGCTTCGGGGCGCTGCTCGTGCTCATAATCATGAGAACTTCCAAAGGTTATTTCAGACGTACTTGGTGGATTGAACGGCTCCCTGAAGTCCTCATCGTTGTCGTGCTGTCTACAAGTATGTCCCTTGCCTTCTTTTTTCTGGTCCTTTCTGACTGGATTGTACAGTCATTTCAGGCCGTCTGCGTTGGGACGAAGACGGTGTCGATATCCTCGGCGTGATACCTATCAAAACTGGTGGCCATTTCTTTAGCTTTCCGCTGAAGCAATCCATAAGCTATATCAGAGGAACAACATCGACCGCAGTGTATGCGCATAATTTGCCTCACAAGTCTATCTATTAACATCAATCAGCTTGATAACCATCATGGGTTTCTTGGATAGTACCGTTGCAGCGAAGCAGAACGCCGATCGCTTTGGTTACTCCATCAGTCCGAACCGTGAACTCGTTGCACTCGGTGCTGCCAACCTTGTCGGATCTTTTGTTCCCGGCACGCTGCCAGCATTTGGCTCAATTGTGAGGTCGAAGATTAATGGTGATGTTGGTGCACGCACGCAATTGGCCTCCCTGGTCACTGCTGGTATAACGTTGCTGGCGACATTCTTCCTTCTCCCGTATCTATACTTTTTGCCAAGATGTGTCTTGGCCTCGATGTACGTGCCTTTTGTTTCCGCTTGGTCTGTGCCACTGACTTGTCTTCAGCATCTGCTTATTTGTGATATCATTGTTTGGCGAGGTTCCTCACGACCTAATGTATTATTGGAGGTATGATAATTCGTCTTGTATAGTCTTTGGGTGCTGACGACGGGCATGAAGGATCAGAGCTTGGACTGACCTTGCAATGATGTTCCTCACTTTCTCGCTCTCTGTCATCTGGAATATCGAGATCGGAATCATTGTCAGTCTCATCATTTCTTTGCTGCTTGTCATCAAGCGTTCCTCGCACACACGAATGATTATACTGGTATGTCATTACCCGTACCGTTTTCAGGCGCTCAGACGGCTTTGCAGGGACGCATTCCTGGCACTGATCAATGGGGGCCCATTGCTGACATTCCGGGTGCTGAAGATGTTCCTGGCATATTGATCATTCGTATCAGAGAGAGTTTGGACTTTGGTGCGCTCTCATACTTCTTATCGCGAGTACAGACAAAACTCACTTCACTTACCAGCTAACACGGCACAATTGAAAGAACGTCTTCGTAGACTGGAGTTGTATGGCCCAGAAAGAACTCACCCTTCAGAAGAGCCAAGGAGGCAGCCCGCAAGCACATTAGTATTCCATATGGCAGACGTCGAAACGTGTGATGCCTCTGCGGTGCAGATCTTCCATGAGCTGCTGGAGACATATCAAGTAAGCTCTTATGCCACTTTGAAGGCTTTATCTTATTCTATCAGAACCGCGGCGTCGAGCTCTTTGTGACTCACCTCCGTTCTGGTCCTCGAGAAATGTTTGAACGTGCAGGTATTGAGGAGCTCCTAGGCTCCGAGGCATTCTTTGCCACCTTGGGAGAAGCCATGACCAGTATTGGGCAGCGATGATGGATCCAACCTGGACGTGGTTGTTTGGCGAAGACTTACGACTTTTAACGACCGTTGAGTTTTTGACAAGGTAATACAAAGGGCACATAGACTATTGGTACTCGGAGAATATGGCGGAGCTTGCGGGTGGATCATACATACATATGCATGTAATACGCTTATATATATCGCATCTAGGGTTGAAACTCAAGAAGTGTCGGCAGCTATATATGTTCTTGGGCGCTTACTTGCTCATGTTCAGATGTCATCGATGTCATCCACCGCCGTAACGTGTTTTATCCATGTTCAAACAGCTCAACAACATCATGGCCCCTCGTGGTTGCATCATGCATCCGTGCAGATTGGCATCATATCATGATCTGCTAGTGCACTGCAAGCATTTTTTATCAGATTCACGTAAATGATCTACGTACGTACGTTGTTCGCTTCTCAGTAGACTTAATATAACCAGGACTAGCTCGGTCGAGTCTTGGGCGGCACTATAAAATCAATGATGAGTTCTTCTGCTAACTAGTGCCGTTCTTCCTCTTTTTGTTGTCCCTTGCTCTTACAGCCAATGCATTCTTTCCTTTTGCCTGTCCTTTCATTTACACTCAGCATCGCCGTCAGTGCGATTGCCGACCCCACTCTCTCTCCTTGGCAGCTTCACGAACAGCGTTCCCATATACCAGCAGGATGGACTCGAGCACGAAAGCTTCATCCGTCTGCGTTGGTTCCCTTACGATTTGCGCTTGCGCAGTCAAATATCGAGCACATCGAAGCGCTTCTCAACGATGTGTCACATCCTAGTTCACCCAATTACGGCAACCATTGGTCTGCAAGTCAGATCGCCGCCGAATTTGCGCCAAGCACTGAATCCATTGAGACCGTGCGCTCGTGGTTGATCGAAAGTGGTGTGGAACCACACCGCGTAAAACTCTCTCCCACCAAGGGATGGCTTGAAGTGGCTTCTACGGTCGAAGAGGCCGAAAATCTCCTGCTTGCCGAATACCATGTGTACGATCACGAAACCGGCACAAAACACATTGGTTAGTTTTGTTGTCATGCGGTCGTAGTGCTCTTTGACATAATTTTATTTTTTAACCACAGCATGCGACAGCTACCATTTGCCAGAGCATGTCGTCCCACATGTCGACTTTGTGACTCCTACCATACATTTTGATGCCAGAATCGAGAAGCGCAATTCGCAAAGCAGAGTCCCGATTGGCCAACCTGGTCAAGGTGGCTCCTCTCCCAAGACGACCGGTCAAATCGATGGTATTTTGGATCAAATTGAGGACTGTGATAAGCAGATCACGCCAATTTGCTTGAGGGCTCTCTATGGGCTTTGGTATCAGCCAGTCTCTGGCAACTCCAACAGCTATGGGATTGGTGCGTGCACTTCCGTCGTGCAATTCTGCTAGGGACTAACGAACTACGAAGTGGAGTACACCCCACAGGCCTATGTGCAGTCTGATCTTGACATATTCGCAAAGAATTTTTCAACTGGCCTTGAAGGTGTTTCCCCTACACTGGTTTCGATAGACGGAGGTACCATTGCATGTCATTCACCGCAGAGAGCAACTCACCAAGATGATTGTGTTAGGCGTCGTCCAGACTACAGAAATCGCTTTTGACTACAATGGAGAATCCAACCTCGATCTCGAGTACGCCATGACCCTGGTAACAAAGGGACAAAACATTACTCTTTACCAAGTTGGAGATGTAGTTCAAGGTATGGAGATGACTGGTAGGTCCACAATACCAGGCTGACTGCTCCGACATTTAGGTGCTTCTTTCAATACCTTCCTGGATGCCCTGGATGGAACGTACTGCACTTTTGACGGTGGTGATGACCCCGACCAGGATCCCGTTTATCCTGACACCGCCAGTGGCGGATACAGCGGTAAGTTTCACAAACACGACCATATTATAACCATATTCAGCTGCATGACCTAGGCAACGAGGATTGCGGAACTGTCAAGCCCGCAAATGTCATTTCGACATCCTACGGATACAACGAGGCCGACCTCTCTGCCGCATATGCCATTCGCCAATGCAATGAATACGCAAAGCTCGGCCTCATGGGCGTCACTTTCCTCTTCAGTTCTGGAGACTTGGGCGTTGCGGGTAACGGCGGGTATTGTTTGAATGCCGACGGTAATGTCGCAGGTTATTCAAGTATCATCAAACTCTAGACTCATTTTATGGCAGGTTCTCAATCCGCTGACGGTACAATCTTCAATCCCGGCTTCCCTGCTACATGTCCGTATGTCACCGCGGTGGGTGCCACCCAAGTTAGCCCTGGCAAGTCTGTGTGGGAGCCCGAAAGCGCGTGCGAGCAGGTCATTTACTCTGGCGGTGGATTCAGCAACTACTTCAGTATGCCCGACTATCAGAAGGCGGCGGTCGAAGGGTACCTAGCAGCTAATCCGATCTCGTACTCGAAGGATATTTACAACTCCACCGGAACGGTAAGTGTCTAAACAATTTAGTCAACGGCAAGGTTGACAGCTCTCACAGTCCCGTGCATATCCCGATCTTTCCGCCAATGGAGCGAACTACGTTGTTGCTATCGACGGAACTTTTTCGCTTGTTTACGGAACGTCGGCGGCTTCGCCTGTCGTCGGTTCTATCTTGACCATGGTGAACGACGCCCGCATCGCGCTCGGTAAACCACCCCTTGGGTTCATCAACCCCACTGTAAGTCATGCACTACTTTCCTGTGTTCAAGTTGTCGCTGACCTAATATATTTTCGAAGATCTACTCCGCTGGTTTTGCAGCCGGCTTCAAGGATATCACCAACGGAACGAACCCAGGGTGTGGCACTCTTGGATTTAATGCGACTAAAGGTTGGGATCCCGTTACTGGCCTCGGTACACCCTACTTCCCTTCTCTGCTTGCTAAGTGGCTGGTTCTTTAAGCTCATTCTTAGCAGAGGACTGTACTCGGACTTGGACTTTATTCATACCCGCGCTGACTACTTATTGGAATACTTACATTCGATAAAGCATATTACACAGGTTGTGATCGGCAATTGGAATAAAAAGGAATGCTTGGATCTGCCTATTTAACCCTTATATTGGACGCGACGCAGTGCTCTCTGTCTGAGATAGGCTTGTACGACTAGTTGCTCGATCCTGGTCGAGTAATAAATTCAATACGTGCATTGATAGGAGGGGGCAGTGAGTCACCTTTGCTTCACCATCATAGCTGTTCCTTGCCTCAGTACGCCCTTAAACAACTGTGCACCGAGACCACGGTATAGGGCGAAGAATCCACCAGTGGTATAAATTGCTTGGAGTGATGATTGTATTGACGCCTGTGATGTATTGTTGGTTGAACGAGTTCTACGAGAAGCTTGTACAACAGTCTTTGCGAGCAGCAGTGGGTATAAGATGATGACGGCTTTGTGAGTCGCGTATTAGCACTTGTTGAATGAAAACATCGAGAGATACAACTCGCCTATGGAATTTGCAAGCGCGCCACCTACGAAAGAATGAGCTGGGGGTGGGGAAGCGCGTTCTTTCCCCTTGAGCATCACTCGTCTGTACTGCTGGAACAAATAGAGTGTGACTGCGGGGTTGAGTGAAAGGAGAAAAGTGGATGAGAATCCTATGGTAATTATCGTAAGTGCTGATGCTTGAGCAAGCGCTCCTTGAAAACCAAACCTTTCCAGAATCCGCGTAACCCCTCTTCCTCGAAAATCTGTTGGCAAATTGCCGTGAACCGTGACGTTCCTCCTTGTGCTGAGGAATCATCGTTCACTCGAGCGGTTTGCAAGCGCACCGTAACGAGATTGAGAGGTGTCGTGATGGATCTGCTTGCAATGCCTGATAGGTAACCAATTGCAAGCTCCTGTGGAAGAGACAACATGGCTGCCCTCGATTTTCCATTTCCACGAACGACATATTCGCGCAGGAAGGAATATATGTAGTAATACAGAAAGCTGATTCAATGATGATGAACGACTCTTAGACGCAGGTTGTACAGTGTAGAAGCTGCTGACCTTGAAATCAAGGTAGCACCGGCGTCCGCCCCAATGCCGTCGTAGAACGACGATAGTCCGTGAGTGTGAATCTGCTTCCGTATGGATGTGCCCTTCTCCGTGGCCTGTATACGGGTGGTGATAAGGTCGAGTGGGTAAGTCAGCGTATTAGCGCTCGCTGATCCTAGTGAGCCTGATGCTGCCTGAACGAAAGGTGGTAGGACGCTGGTCATGATAACTTTCAGCGTCAAATTTGGGATGTTGGTTGGCAAGACGGAACCTGCGAACCGCAGTTACAGCGCTAGCGCAACGTAACGTCATTTACTCCAGCAGACAAGCGTCCGCGTCAAGAGTGGTAATCACATGCGAGCGATAACGACACAGTGGGAAAAAATTGTATGTCTACGAACTTGTCCCCGATCGGAAGTAGTGACATGTTTCCAGGCTGTCTCCAAGGATATCAGCGGCTATGTCGATCTGTCAAAGTCTGTCGTCGACCTAGGTACACGAGCACAGTGCTTCATCATTTCTATAAGACCAGAAAAAAAACCTGGTTTAATATGTATGGATTTCTTGACATTTTGCAGTTTGTGCAGATGGCTTTGCTGGGACCACGCTGGTCTACTACGGGAGACTAGACCACAGCTGACACTTAGTGTTTGGGATGTTATGTTAACGCTCGTGGCCGAGTCCCCTCGCCTTTTTGCGTAACTTTATGATCAGTCCCGTGCACTGTCTGAACCTCTCAAGGAGCCCGGAGTTACATCGACTGGCATTATCACTATTTGCTATTCTAAGGAGGGAGAGACAGAAGTCCAGAAAACAGGAGCTGGAGGAAATCGCTGCGCTCCGATGACTCCCCTAGACGACGACGACATGCTGCGATCGGAAGGTTTGCAAGGTGAGAGCATTGAACACATACGTACTAGCCCTCGTGGAATCCAGCAAGCGAAGTTGACAAGTTTGACATGCTTCATTAGGTGGGAGTTTCGCCTCTGGAGAAAATACGTGAAGGCGGGTTCCTTGAAAGCGTTCCGGTGTCCGAATTGATGGAACACGAAGAGTTAGAATTACGGGAGATGTTGGATGGTATTTCGGCTCAGCGTAGAGCCAGTTCCGGTCTCTGTCAATGAGCTCCACGATGATGACGAAGAGGACAGTGGCTTGCAAGGTGTCACTGAGAGCATTGGATCGCTGAATCTCCAGGACCGTGTCAATGCCCTCCCTCAGATTCACCCTACCATGCTGGAAAGGTGCGTTTCCCTATTGATTGTCCCTTCTCTCTGATGATGTTTCTTCAGCTCACTTTTTTTCTTGCAAGTCTATTTTATTTCAAGGCTTTGCACAGAGTTGGCGTCATTTTTCTGAATTACAGTTGCCACCCGAATTGTGAAATCGATGCGTAGTCGATGATGACACGTATGCAATTTATTACAGGTGCGCAATCCAACTAGACTGACTGATAAGATAATCAAGGCCAGAAATGAGACGGCGAACAATGATGCGGTCTATTGTGGCTGGTCAAGCAATGCTTGAAGCAATCCAACAGCATCCAGGCACTGAAGCTACCTATAGGTGCGATGAGTGTAGGCAGACCTTCAGAGCTACATTTAGCTTGAAGTGTAAGTTCTTTCGAACTTTTTTGTGGTGTCGCTGATATGAATGTAACAGACCGAAGAATTGCCAGTCCGTTCACAACGAGTAAGCATGACGATCCCCGTCGAGCTTGAGCCTTGCTGACCGAAAATATTGCTGATTCATAGATAGATTATGAGTCTATTGACCCTCCTCGAGCCACGCTGACCGAAGACACTGCCAATTTATTCATGGCGAGTTAGTGTGTTGAAGACCCTTACTAACCAAAGAACTTGCCAATCTGTTGGCAGGTCGTATGTCTGTTGATCTTCGGTCGAGCTCGAGCCATGCTGACTGAAGAAAATCCCTATTCACTGATAGGTCTTGAGTTTGTTGACCCACAATCGAGATCGCGTTAACTGAAGATGTTGCCCATGGGTTGACAGGAAGTGTGTGTTTGTTTCATCATCAAGCTCGAGTTATGCTGAGGACTTCACATCCATTGATAGGATGTGAGCGTTTTGACCCCCGTCGACGGTCGACCTCAAACCGTGTGAACCTCAAACATTGCCGATCTGTTCACAGATCGTGAGCCTATTGATGCTCCGTCGAGCTCGAGCTGACCAAAGACATCGCCAATGTATTGACAGAAAATGAGCGTGATGATCTCCTGCAGAGCCCAAGTCTTGCTCACCACGACAATTGCTCACATTGTCAGCTCGTGAGTGTACGAAATGCCTATCGAATTTGATCTATGCTGATGGCTAAATCGTGCCATCCCCAATGCATGTAAGACTCGAATGGGGATGACTTCGCTCACACTAGCCCGTAAGAAAACATAGGTGGTACAAATTTATTCATTGATACAAACATCATCGGTACAATGATTCAGGCATCAGGCGGCGTTGCCACAGCAGGTCCAGCATTTGTTTAAATGAATAGGTCCCATCCCTTTCGGGCAGGTCGAAGGCCGGCTTGAGTAACACGCGCCCAAGCAGGTTATGTTGTCTTCAGAAGAAACTGTGTCAACTGCCGTCACCCCAGCGGCAACGGCAAGGATGGTGAGGTAAACAATTTGAACGAGCTTCATGGTATCTGGTATAACTATGCATCAGCCTGTGATGCAGCCGTGCTAGGAAACCACGTACCCACAAAGGTTTGATTGTGCGATGTGCGAAAAGTTGCTATGGCAAGTCTTAGAAGAGCTATATGATAGATCAATGAAATGCGCATAGTGTAGCGTTAGAGGGCCACTCACTGCAAACGAGGTGTTCGTCTCTGAGACTTTTTCAACTCAACTGCGTTGAATTTATACTGTCGCGTTGTCGGCGCTGAAGATGAGAATGAAAACAATCACGGTTAGATCATGTATGGTTAAACCAATCTAGAACTTCATTGCTTTTTCGCCAGTATATTATCACAATTCCAATTCGAGTCTTCTTCGGCTCAAGGATTTTGATGGAACTTGGAAGTCAAGTTTGAATATACTGGAGAGTCGCCTCACCTGAAATTCGAACGTTGATGGTGATAGCTAAATCGAGTCAGCATTCAGTAGGCAAATACCAGGTCAACATTTTATCCAGTGCCTCGTGATATAAGTTCACGAGCTCCGCCACCGTGTTTCACTGACGTTGGCGGAGGCATGTGTGCGATTGAGCCTCTAACTTGTGCTGTGGTAGTTCCTGCCTGTCCTGCAAGGATCGTGTAGGAACTGCCCGTTACAGTGTTTGATTAGCATCCGCAGAGGCATGCGCGTATGTGCACCTGGGGGATCACATGTTATTCGACAGATTCCGTTCAAAGGGGTCCCGGTGATCGCAGGAAGAATAATCACATCGAACATCAAAAATCGACCCAGAACATCTCCAGGTTGTACGATAGCCCCAGAGCCTCGATACGAGCGCGCAGCCCTTGTTACACCATGTTCGCATAAATTATAATGCCATCGCTGGAACGAAACAGTTAGCCCACTTGTCACTACACATGAAGCTTTGAAGGCCCACCAACAGCCTCCACCACCATCTCCACTCCGGATCCGAATCAAAATGCTCACGCCGTTCGCCGTGCACAAGACCGCTAGTTGTGGATGATGAACGCCTGATATATTATTCCATTCAGTGGGGTTGCGGCTTGGTTGCGGTAAATCGCAGGAAGGATAAGTGCTTCTTTATGGCAAATTAGCGAGGAGATCCAAAATGTTTTTGCTGAGCGCTGAGCCTGAACTTCGACATGACTGTGCGAAGTTCGAACGGCTCCAAAGTTCATGCTGATACTGCCCCTGCTATTCTGCCGATCTTGTTCTTCGAAGTTATTTTAATGGTCCTCAACTTGCATAGAGACTGAGAACTTCTCATCTTCCTGTCCTTCTGTATCTATCATCCATGTCCTTTGCCATTAAACACTAAGTCATTCCCTTCATGATCGAACGATGTCTAGCAGCTACGTACCAATGATTTAAATTGATGGACATGTGGTCTACAAAATTCTGCACGTAGTAGATTTGGATTGAATATAATATGTCCTCGATAGAACACCCATGAGCCAATCCCAATCACGCTACATACGATCACTCACAAGAACTCAATAGAGCTATCGTTGGTCCTGGGCCTCCTGGAAACCTGCCTCGACTTGCGTGCATTTACACTGCCAGTGATGACCACTTCAGGGCATTCGACTCGACTCGAACTTGAAGCAAGTCTGTAAAACGTTCCCCGAGGTCAGCAACAGAGGTGCGCAGCCCAAGATGAAAAAGTACTTACGATACGTGCTGTCACTGTGCCGTCCATAGAACATGACAATATGAGAAGAAATCTTGGTGAAGTATAAGGTAAAACTCACTTCCGAGTTAATCGAGGATCCCGACATGAGGCATTGCATGCACATTGCACACTCATGAGTACCCACACACTTCCCTTATGCCCCAAACTGGCCTCTATCTGTGCGAGCTACATATGTCACAAAGTGGGTGTAAACTATGATTGACGAAGCTGCCAACTTCGATGGGTGTTCATGCCTGCGCGGGTGAGTCAGTGTATGAACCATGCTTCTATCTTGGAGTCATCTTGGAGTTGTTGAACTGGGGGTACTTAGTTGAAGTTACGTTGAGATACAGAAGGATTTGAGAAAGTCAGAAGGAACTGAGTTGACTCGCACTGATTGAACAGAAGATGATGCCGCACAAATGTCATCAAGACTTGAGTAAATGACTTTGCTAAAGAAGACGACAGTGTGAGAGATAGGTGTATGCGAAAGTAAGCTGACTACACCGCGAGAGTATCGGTGTACACCGTAATGGTAAAGAATCCATGATCAACGACTCGTAAATCTGTAATCGACAAAATCACTACAATGTAAGAGAACTACACACCAATATGAATGAAGACCATCCTCTGCTCGAGCGGCACTTTCGTCGTCACAGCGTGTGTAGCACGGTTGAGTGCCCAGGCTGCCTTCGTGCAGTCCATGACACCACCACCCCCCGAATCCTTGAACATATTCTCGTAGAAGGCTTCAACAACGTGTTTTGCGAGAATGTCACTGACCCCCCACAACGTGCCGATGACACTCTTGAAACCGGAGAACTGGAGTCCAGCTGCGAGGTGGATGGCTTCGTCGGGTGTCTCCTCATCGCCGACGGCGGTATGACACGCTGATAAGAATGCAAATTCAGCTTGCGGAGAATTGTTCTCCATGATGTCAAGCAGCGTGAGGGGTTTGTCTCTCATGGCGAAACGTGAGTTGTAAGGTTGCTCAAGGTCTTGCTTGCCGTGACAAGCAAGGTGCACCCAGGTGTTGCATCGCAAAGCGTTGAGTGCACCCGCTTGTGTGGCTTCGTCTTTTGAAATATGGGTGAACTCGACGTTGGGAGGAACGAGTGTATGGACAAGCTCAAGCTCGCTGTCGACAGCGGGGAGCACATCGCCTTGTCCTGCGCCCGGTCGACTTTGTCCAATTGCGGCGAAGGACGGAGTCGTACGCGTCTTCATCGCCTGCCGAGCTCTTAGAAGAGCCGAAAGTGTGGGCGTATAAGAGCAGATGTATAGGTCCTCAAGGCATGACTCCCTCCCAGAGCGATCTGCATTCATTCGGAAGGGGTTAGCTGCATGCAGAGGGATGGACGTGAAGGCTGCTGTCGGACACAGCCATATTCGAGATTGATACCGCAATTTTAGGTCATGCTGGAGGACGTTAACAATGGGTAGCATGATCTCATCCCACACCATCCTCAAGAGTACTCGCAACTTCTTCCTCGGCTCCTCTGGGCGCATACGCGTTGCGTGCCGGATTGCCGTAGCGAAATCATCCTTGAGCTTGTCTAGATGTGGTAGAGTGATTCGCGGGAAGCGAACGTGATGGGGCTCTCCAGAAGCCGGGACAATGATTGCACTACATGAGTATTTGCTGGCAACGAGGATGATGACCGGGCCACGGCACGCTGCTGCTTGCAGCTCTGTATACGATGGGAGGAGTAGGAACCGCGAGAAACCTTCAAGATCACGGATTTGAGCTACCGTAGCGTCCCACTGCTCCACAAGTTTCCTGTACTTTGTTGCTGCTCGATCAGCAGCAGCTCGGTCTGTGCTGCCCGCAGAACCTTGACCACCAGACAGACATTTGCTGAGCTCTGAGAGCTTATGAGCTAGGTTGGGATTCGTGGACTCGAGGTCTTCGAGCGGAGTCCTCAGGCGAGAGGCCAATGACCACTGTTGGCCACGACCGTGCTCCACGAGTTCGACTGCGTGTCGTGTATCATCACAGCGTATGGCACAGGATGCCGCATCCACAGGTAGTGATCTAGCATAATGGAAGGCAGCAGCAGCTTCGCGCCGTGAAGCTGGTGATGACCTTGTTGCCAAATGAGCATCCAGAAGTTCGAAAAATGTCGAGTAAGCCTCCAGTGCGGATCCACCACCATGGTGCTCTGCTATGACAGTCCAATTATATGACACAATGATGCGCCGCGCCAAGCCTTGTGTAGGGTGTCTCGATGCGAGTCTGAAGTTCTCTACAGCGAGTGACAAATCAGCGGGATTGTGTTGCACCTGGTAACGAGATATATAGGCCTTCTGCAACTGCAGGTAGCTACCACATCTATCTGGGTGCAGAGAATGTAAAGCCTCTAATGATTCTTGGCAGAGTCGAATAGCCTCCTCTATATCTTCATTCTTCCGAGTTTGCTCGAAATGAGAACAGAGAGCTGCGCTCAAATTGACAAGATTTATAGGGCGATCTGGATCGTCAAGCTCCCTTACACGAAGGGATTGACGATGCAGCTCAATGGCTACATAAAGACACACGATGTCATGCAATTTGACATATGCGTCGTAGTGCGCGAGGGCAAGGTTCATAAGCGTGGTTTTACGACGTGGATGCCCATGTGGGAGCAACGTCAGTGCCTCGCCCTGGAGGCCGATAGCCCGGTGGATGTCATCGGCATCACCGCGTTCGCAGAAACGGGTGCGGAGGGCGTCCCCTAGGTTGTCCAATGAGATATCACGAGTCTTGCGCCCGACGGGGGTCAGATGCACCACTTTTTCATACGAAGAGATGGCCTCGTTGAGGTCAGAAGATTCGCGTTGGTGTTCGAAGCGGCACACAAGTGACAAGGCCAAGTTATTCAGGTAGTCATTATGCCAGGGATGTCCCTCGGGGCACAGAGAAACGACTTCACGACCAAGTTGTATGCACTCGTCTATATCATCAATGCTGCCCTGGTGTTCAAAGCGTGTGAAGAGTGACTGTGAAAGATTGTGGAGTGATCTTGGACGGCGTTGACACAGAGAACAAAGCTCGAGCACGACTCGTCGAAGGTGGATCCCTTCATCGGACGCGTCGATGGGAAGATTGTTGCATGCGCTGACCACATAATCGACCGCGCCATTCACGCCGATGCAACGAAGGTAGGTGCCCTCTGGACAGAGGGTCAGTAACTTGCAGCACAGTTGCGCGGATTCCTGGATGTGGACAGCGGTGCGCTCCCTGTCGTAGCGCCAGTTCAATGCGAAAATGAGACGATAGAGAGATAGCGTATGATCGGGATGGGCCTGCGGATGCAATGCAAGGGCTTCGCGGAAGAGGGAAGTGATGGTATCAATGTCTTGAATACCCATTTGAATATAACCTCGAAGGCATGCCCACGCGAGGTTGGTGAGAGCCGCTGCGTGGTCAGGATGGTCGACCGGACACTGGTCAAGAACGAACTGAAATCGCTGCACAACATCATTCAGGTGAGAGACCCTCTTGCTGGTCCTGTATTCGGCAAATAGTGCATGGCCCGCATCTGTGTCTCGAGCTATCTCGCAGTCCACAAGGGACTACAATTGATATTCCTTCAGCAAAAGCTAACAGGACAGAGCCTGGCGTCACTCACGTCAAACAGTGCGCCGTTCTGATTGTCGCAGGCATCGACAACAGCGACTTTCAACGTGAGGGAAGGGCGGACACCACGAACAGGAGGGAAGGATAGTTCTATGAGATGTGAGCGGATATGTATGAATGAGAAGTAGGTTGCTCACCGAATGGCTCATCTCCATGATCGAGCAGCTCATTCCACGATGTTTTGAGTGTTCCGATGACTTCTCCATTGCCTAGCGTTCGATCGACCTCGTAGGACGCTCTGACCTCCACTGATAATGCAGTTGACGCCTGTGATGATCTGTAAACCGATGAGCAATTTTTGAATTATGTCTGAAATTTCCATGGACTTTACAGGGTAACTGTATCTCCCCACGCTATAGATCTCTTGTATGGTAAGACACTGATAGTTGATTTCCAGCGTCTGCTCGAGTCGAAATTGATGGATATGTAGATGCCAGCGGGTTGGCGCCGGGACGGGACTTTGAGATTTTTTGCACTAATGACTGTAGATAGAGTGTGAGGATCACAAAACAGATACGAAGGTGATACAGAGTGACCTACTTTCAAGTTTGATGGACTGGTTTTCTATGTTATCGGGCATGATGGTACGATGAAGCAAAACAATAAGAATCGAGGGAGGGCTTAGTGCTGGGTGGAATGAGTGGTAGGAGCACGTGGAGGGTAGGGGACTATGGATGGAGATTAGGTGTGAGAGAAAAGCGGTTGAGGTATATTTGTCATGCTAGACATGTATTTCCATGTTGTGGCTGTTCAGCATGATAGACGCTGGTACTATGATTCACTAAGCGCTGAGACCAAAAGATGACCTGTTACGGTTCTATTCTCTTCTCCTATATTCTATTCATTTCCATCGTTTTCCATCATATTCTATCGTACGATTCTCTTTCTCTTTTCTGATTGGTTCCTCATTTACAAGCTCCGCTTGAACATTCGTCTCATTCCTTATTTAAACCCTTTACTTATCGCATGTATTCCTTAACTTGACCTACGCAGACCAGGGCCTGCAGACTCTAGCTTTACTTGTGCAATCAAACTCTACTTTGATCTTTGATACCAGACGTCCTTGTGACGCCGAGCGTAACAAAAGGTCAAGTTACTTCTTTACCACGCCGTTCACTCGAACAGGCGTCTTGAACCAGCACTACGACATCTGAACCCAGACCTACGAACCTTCCCAGAAACCCCCCACACCAGACGACGACATGCCTAGAGAAATCGGCACTCCTCCCGCGCCTTTCAATGGCGACACCAGAACCGCTCAAGGATGGGCTCTCCAACTCGAAGCCTACCTTGACATGAACGACGAAATCTACGACTCCAACAAAAAGAAAGTCATATTCGCTTTGAGTCGTATGACCAAAGGCGAAGCAGCTAAGTGGGCCGAAGGACACCTCAAAGCAGCATCCGCTGCGAAGACTTACGGAACTTTCCTCAAATACGTCGAGAAGTTCAAGGGAACCTTCTTTCCCAAGAACAGTGCCCAAACCGCCATCAGGCGTATTTCCACTCTGAAACAGACAGGCAGCGTCGCTGCCTACGCATCCCTATTCCGCACCATCATCGCCGACACCGGCATCAACGAAGAAATTACCCGAACCATGTTCTTCCGCAACGGATTGAAGCGCGAGATCCTCGCTGCTATCCTTGCATTCGACACCACCCCCACCGACCTCGCAGGTTGGCTTGACAAAGCCCTTGAAGTCGAAGTGCGCAGGACGCTCATCGCGCCGCCCGCCTTCACCAAAGCCAGAGACCCATATGCGATGGATATTGACAGGACGGAGGTAGGAGAAGACGATGATGGTGAGACGACGAAGAAGACCCGCAAGACTTACCTGACGCCTCAAGAACGCGAGCGCAGGAAGAAGAACGGCCTCTGCTTCAAATGCGGCAAGAAAGGCCTCATCAAGGACTGCCCGAACCATCCCACGGTAACGGCAGCGAAGAAGACTTCCGTCAAGGACAACGACGAAGAATACCGCGAATTCCAAGAGTGGAAGGCGTTCAAAGCCCGCCAGATGAAGAAAGGCAAGGGTAAGGAAAAGAAGGAGGAAAGTAGCGACGAGGAGGATTTTTAGAACGGGGATCTGCACCGGTGTCAGACACCCCTAGAATAGGACTCTTAGTACAATCGATTGGCGACTCGAAATCTATTCGTATTCCGTTAACCATTGAATCATCTAGGACCGACAAAACCACCGAAGCAAGCGCGCTAATCGATAGCGGCGCAGAAGGGGAGTTTATCGACTGGCAATTCGTCCGAAGAAACTCCATCAAGACTCACTTTCTCGATAAGCCCATACCCGTACGCAACGTGGATGGCACGCTCAACAAAAATGGAAAAATCACACGGTACTGTAATCTATCCTTTTCTGTTCGCAATCTTCCCATGAAGACGCGTTTCCTTGTAACCTCTTTAGGAGGAGAGGACGCTATTCTGGGAATGACTTGGCTAAAACAAGAAAATCCCGATATAGATTGGACCGCCGAAGAAGTACATCTCCACGAGCGCAGTATTTCCGCTGCTAAAACCAGCGAAGAAGACATCTTTTATGACGCATTACAACCAGAAGAAGAAGACGTCTTCCACGACGCAATGGAAAGTATTCCAGAAAATCCTTTCTCCCATGACGACCTCCCTAACCTCCTAGATCTCGACGAAGACGACGAAGTAGTCGTATCAGTAAGAAAAGCTGACAACATCTCCCAAACCCTCGCCCAAGACGCCGCTAAACCCAAGAAATCCTTCGAGGAACTCGTCCCACCAGAGTTCCAGAAGTATAAAGACGTATTCGGTGACGTAGCTAATGGAACTCTCCCACCAGAACGCAAGTTTGATCACAAAATCGACCTCAAGGATTCCTTTGAACCGCGGAAATGCAAAATTTATCCGCTTAACGCCAAAGAAGAGAAGGCCATGAACGACTTTATCGACGAACATCTCGCTAAAGGTACCATCCGACCCTCCAAATCCCCGCAATCATCACCCTTCTTTTTCGTCGGCAAGAAAGACGGATCTCTCCGGCCATGCCAGGACTATCGTTATCTGAACGAACATACGGTTAAGAACAATTATCCATTACCGCTGATCTCTGATTTAATAGATAAACTCAAGGACACCCAGATCTTCACCAAGATGGATATCCGATGGGGATATAATAACGTACGTATGAAAGACTCCGACTGTTGGAAAGCGGCATTCGCCACATCCAGAGGACTCTTCGAACCATTGGTAATGTTTTTCGGCATGTGCAACTCGCCGGCCACCTTCCAGTCTATGATGAACGAATTGTTCGGAGACATGATCCAGGAAGGATGGATAATCATCTACATGGACGACATACTGATCTTCTCCAAAGATTTCGAAACCCATCAGATTCGTACCCATAAGGTACTTCAACGACTCCGCGACAACTTCCTCCACCTCAAACCCGAAAAATGCACCTTCAACGTAAAAGAAATCGACTACCTCGGCATGATCATCAAACCCGGCTCCGTCACCATGGACCCTGTGAAGCTTAACGGCATATCCAATTGGAAGACTCCCACGAAAGTCAAGGAAGTCCGATCATTCCTCGGATTCACTAATTTTTACTGCCGCTTCATCGCTAACTACTCATCCATTGCACGACCCCTAATAGATCTAACCAAGAAAGACGAACCGTTCTCATGGACCCCGGAACGCGAACACGCCTTTCTCAGGCTCAAAGAAATCTTCACGTCCTCTCCCATCCTCCAAATACCCGACAAGAACCTTCCTTTCGCAATCGCCACTGACGCCTCCCTCTACGCAACTGGGGGAGTTCTCTTACAGAAAGACGCCAACGGCAGCTGGCTTCCCTGCTCATTCCTCTCTCAATCCTTCAATCCCGCAGAACGAAACTATCAAATATACGACCGCGAACTACTCGCAATCGTCCGCGCTTTGAAAGCGTGGAGACATTACCTTCTCGGATCCCCTTTTCCCGTTCTCGTACAAACTGACCATAAGAACCTTCAATATTTCAGAGACGTCCAAGACTTGAACCGCCGCCAAGCACGATGGCAGACTTTCCTTTCTCAGTTTGAATTACGTATTGAACACGTACCGGGTAAAGATCTCATCATACCCGACTTATTATCCCGTAGAGCAGATCACCTTCCAGACGATAGCGTCGAAAAGGACAATCTCCAGATTCAACTCCTCCCTGATTCGTTATTCATTAACACAATTGACACTTCCTTTACGGACAGATTACGTATTTCATCCTCGGTTGACCCAGTAGTACACACAGCGCTAGAAGCGCTTACAGATCCCTCCATTCCCCCTCCTCTCCGATCCGCTCTTTCCGATTGGAAATTGAGCGACGGAATTCTTACTTATAAAGGACTCACCTATGTATCCCCAGGCGACCTTCGTCGCGAAATCACCTCCCTTCATCACGACTCCCCCACCGCCGGTCATCCAGGTCGCTTCAAAACACAAGAACTCCTCTCTCGCGACTTCTGGTGGCCCGGCCTTTCTACCTTTGTCAAGAACTACGTCGACGGTGTCATGCATGGTATGCAGTTCATACCATGACATGTGTGCTATACAAAAGATAAGGAAGGTATAATGAACTGTACTCTACCATATCACCAAGTGATTCTATCATTTTCCATTGATTCATCAGTCTGTTTTCTGAAGCCTCATTTCTCGTGTTTCATTTCTCGTATCATACACGGGGATTTCTATGTATTTCTATTTTGTTCTGTGACCTTCCATTTCTTTCTATTTTTCTTGGCTTATTCATCAGACTTTCTCACTAGCTGACTGATCATGTTTGTAATCAGGTCATGTGACTGGGAAATAAGGTGATTTGTAAGGATTCAGCCTGACTCATCATGTTTTGTCATTGATTCGTCATGGTTTGTAAGACTTGCAACTGTATTTATAATCTTCTTAGTAACCAGGATGACTCAGCTCACCAAAAGGCTTGGTTTGTAAGCACAATCTTACCAATCCATGAGATGACTCATGCCTTTGACTGATCATGCTTTGTAAGATTTCACTGTATTTATAATGTATTTAGTAAACAAGCTGACTCAGCACACCAAATGGTATGGTTTGTAAGCACATTCTTACCAATCCATGTGATGAATCATGCTTAGTAATCTGGCCTCCAAAAAGGTATAAAAGGAGCCCATTTTACACCCTGTGAATATAGCTTCCCACTTTACACATAAGTGCAGGCCATTGGTGCCTTGAAGACATTGAAACTTCCCACTTTAAACCTATCCCACTATTTGGAGAGTGAGATTAAGGCAAGACATAGTCAAAGTGCCGGTGAAGTACGAATTTAAGTTAAACTTCCACTCTAAACCTATCCCACTATTTGAGAGTGAGATTAAGGCAAGACATAGTGAGGGTGCAAGTATCATTTCAACAAAGTAACTGCTAGTTATACGATTAACTAGGTTGCTCGCTATTACTATTTTATTGAGCTAAGCTCCACGTATACTTAACGAATACCTCTCTCTTTTACAGTTAGAGAGACACGAAACAGGAGAACACGACAAAGTTGAAACAGACTTTCATAGGTTGAAACACGACCTACTAGGGTGAAACATACCTATCATATTTCTATCCACAACAAATCCACAGTTGCATTTCTATATAGTTTCTTCAAACAAATAGAGGTAACTTGTTTACTCTTTGACCACCCACGAACGACACGTTATCAACCGAGAAGTAACAAAAATCCGTTGACCGTGGACTTGAGGAGCTGGCAACTTTTAGTCTTATGAAAGTGTAGTTGTGATTGTCACTGCATTTTTACACGCTTCTATATAAGACCCTCAAGTAACAAGACAACGGCTGTAGCATCTGCCAACAGAACAAAGTAAACACGCACCCGTCCTCCCCTCCTCTCCAACCGATTCCCGCTCCCCTCTCCAATCGCCCTTTCGCTCAGGTCTCGGTCGACCTCATTACCGACCTTCCACCTTCCGACGGCTTTGACAGCATCATGGTCACGGTGGACCATGGCCTTTCGAAGGGGGTAATTTTCACCCCTTGTACCAAGACGATCGACGCTGAAGGCGTCGCAAACATTTTCTTTTCCAAAGTTTTCTCTAGATACGGACTTTACGATAAAATTATCTCTGACCGCGGACCTCAGTTCGCTTCTAGATTCCAGATCGAACTCGGAAGACTCCTTGGATACAAGAACTCCCTTTCCACTGCGTTTCATCCCCAGAGTGATGGAGAGACCGAACGAGTTAACCAAGAGCTCGAAGTCTACCTCCGGATCTTTTGCGGCAATGACCAAACCGGCTGGGCCGCCATGCTTCCCCTAGCGGAATTCGTCCATAACTCCCGTCATCATTCCGCCCGCGGCACCTCCCCTTTCTACCTCATGATGGGCTACCACCCAAAACACCTCCCCGATGTTCATCCTAAATCCGACATCCCTAACATCGAACAACGTCTCTTCATGCTTAACAAAGCACGCGATGAAGCGCTAGCCGCTCACGAACTCGCACGAAACACAATGCGCCAGCGCATCTCCTCCCGATTCACCCCGTTCGCTAAAGGCGACAAAGTCTGGCTTGAAGCCAAGAATCTCCACCTTGGGTATCCTAATCGCAAACTCGCTCCTAAACGCGAAGGACCCTTCACTATCACCGACGTACTTTCCCCAGTCACCTACCGACTTGCTCTGCCCGCACAGTGGCGTATTCACCCCGTCTTCCACGCCGCCCTCCTATCCCCTTACAAAGAAAACGATATCCACGGCCCTAACTTTATCGCACCACCACCTGATATCATTGACGGCAAAGAAGAACAAGAGATCGAAGCCATAGTTGGTCATCGTGGCTCATCTTCTAGACGATCTTACAACGTTAGCTGGAAAGGCTTCCCGAGTTCCGAGAACGAGTGGATGACAGAAAGGCAACTAGGTAACGCTTCTGACATTTTACTTGCGTATAAACGCGCACATCGTCTTTGACATTTTATTTAGTATTCAGTGCATACTACTTCCCTTAAAACGGGGGTAATGTTACGGTTCTATTCTCTTCTCCTATATTCTATTCATTTCCATCGTTTTCCATCATATTCTATTGTACGATTCTCTTTCTCTTTTCTGATTGGTTCCTCATTTACAAGCTCCGCTTGAACATTCGTCTCATTCCTTATTTAAACCCTTTACTTATCGCATGTATTCCTTAACTTGACCTACGCAGACCAGGGCCTGCAGACTCTAGCTTTACTTGTGCAATCGAACTCTACTTTGATCTTTGATACCAGACGTCCTTGTGACGCCGAGCGTAACATGACTGGTCGACCGTTAGCGGGAGAACCTGTGCTAAAGAAGTGGGCAATGTCAAGGCTTGTCAAGGTCAGTCACTGATCAACGAAAGTAGCATGCCAAGATTATGCAAGACTTGGAGTATCCTGTGATGCTTGCTACTCCTGATCTGAGTCGTACGAGTAGTCTCATTTAGCACACTAAAGCAAAAGTAAAATCGAATACATTCAGAAAAAGCCGAACGCATATACTAAGTCTTTACGATACCTGTGCAACATGTCTGCCGTTCAACGAGACGGCTTCTTTTCCTGAGCAGCAGGAGACTCCTCTAGCTACTACCAGCAAATGGCAGTCCATTTCTTGATATACTATGAGTCTACGACCTTCGTCCACTTTCAGACAAAGCCGCAAGACGAAGCACAGCCACCCATTACTAATCAGTACGCTTTCGCCGACGGTCTTTTGGTGTTTTTTGTTGTAGGGCTTTATGATAGATGGTCTAATATGCCAGTGTGACTAGGTACGAGTGAAACAGATTATACAGTTAGTAGGTCCTAGTTTGGGGTGCCACTTGGTAGGGGTCCACTGAGAGTCAATACCCATCTATCTCTACATCCCCACATTGCTCTTCCACAGGACAAGCACGTCAGACTACTCAGCAGCCAACTGAGCAATGCTATACCACGATGTCTCTTGCGCCGCCCCCGTCATCAACATGGTAGTACTCCTCGGACTGTCCTTCCACATTAAACTGATCATTCTCAAAGACATCTCACTCAACGCCACAGTCGACGCGTCCCGTTCAGACTGTTCCTCCTGGCTCGTTGACATCGACCGTCCCCCAGGCCAGGAGGTTCGCCTCCCCTGGCAGGATGCGTGCTGGACACTCACCGAATGTCGGTACTACATCCAACACCTTTGGCTTCACTCTACCCCCGGCTACAGCATTTTCACAGCCCTATATAAATCACAGAGGTGACATGGGTTATCATTCATATCAGCCACCATCCACCCAGCCACGTCAAGATCTCCCCCGCCATAATTCACGTTCTCGCCAGAGTTCCCAGTCCCAGCGTCATCAGCGTCATTATGGATCTCATACCCAGGATACCCGTTACTCGCCATCCACTAATTCTCTTGCGCTTGGATTGTCGGAGACAATACCACCTGCAATTTTCAAGGTCCTTTGAATGAATTCAAGGCGCATTTCAGGCGCTATCATTTGACAGGGCCGCAAGATTCACCAACTGAATGTCATTGGTTGCACGTATCACGGACGTGGCAATCCAACCGGTGAGCATTACCCATCTATCTTTACATCCCCTCATTTCTCTTCTACAGGACAAAACAACAATTTTATTCCAACGATGCCTAACAACGCACCACAGAATAACTACGCAGATCCTCTGGCGACCAATATGAACCAATATTACGGCGTCCCTGCTCACAACCCCCCAAGCTTTGACATGTATGCCCCTCGTCATCATCTACGCCTAACTACTTTGCTCACAACTACCCCTACATACAGAAATCTAAATGGAAACGCCACTTATTTAACTCAACACATCTCGCCCAACACAGATCTTGCACCTTCCAGCTATTCAGTTACCATGTCCACATGGTACAAGTGCTGGTACCAATGCTGTTGCTGCCTCAGGTGAGTTTCCCGTGCCCTTTGCAATTTCATAATCAGCCTCGTGCACCGTCTGAACTACTCAAAGGGCTCAGAGTTATGTCGACTATCATCACCGTTTTCTATTCCTATGGAGGGAGAGACAGAAGTCCAGAAAACGGGAGCTTGATGAGTTCCACGATGACGACGAAGAGGACAGTGGAGATATGAGCTGAACACAGGCATCGGCGGAGCTCACGAGAGCAATGTCTGCGTTGATGGGTGTAACGACTACAAGCGCCACCTTGTCACCTCTGTAAGTCCTCCTTGGCTTCGGACATGAAGACCTGGAGCCTGGAGCCTTGCGGAATGAGGTTTCTCAAGTGTTAAGCTGTATCCGCCACATTTCATTATGTTCAGTTCCCTGAGATCCTGGCGTCGGGAACATCACGGAATTACTAACATTCAAGTGAACTACTATGGTTGTTGTCCGGCTGTATTTGCTTGAAATGAGATGAACGAGAATCTGCTCACAGTGACACGATATTCTCGTAAGTCGTGAAAGCAGGTTATTTGCACGGTTGAGCGGTCACTGAGATCGAGGACGCTCTTCGTCGCATGTGGAATGCGGTGGTTTAAGACTTTTCCTTGAATCGCGTCATAGTCCACCCAGTGAGTGGGTAGACAATGCTGCAATTATTCTCGGCCTCGACTGTTGGCAAGGAGAGGAATGTCATAGAATTGCAGACATGGTGGGACACGCTTCGAAATTGACTGAATGGGAACTGGGGTAATACTCGAGCATGATATGAATTGCAGAAGACTTTGGAGTGGAACATAGCATGAGAGGGATGCGAAAAAAACGGTATGGCTCGGAAGTATTGACAGGTACGACGGTGACCGGAATGAAAGGGGATCGAAGAACAGTAATTTGTGAATATGTACCAGTCAACAGCAATACGACGTGAGAGAACTACACACCGATATGAATGAAAACCATCCTCTGCTCCAGCGGCACTTTCGTCGTCACAGCATGTGTAGCACGATTGAGTGCCCAGGCTGCTTTTGTGCAGTCCATGACACCCCCATCCTCCAAATCCTTGAAAAAATTCTCGTAGAAGGCTTCGACAACGTGTTTTGCGAGAGCGTCACTGACTCCCCACAGCGTGCCGATGACGCTCTTGAAACCAGAAAACTGGAGTCCAGCTGCGAGGTGGATGGCTTCGTCGGGTGTCTCCTCATCGCCGACGGCAGTATGACACGCCGACAAGAATGCGAACTCGGCGTGCGGAATGTGTATCTCCATAATATCGAGCAGCGTGAGGGGTTTGTCTCTCATTGCGAAAGAGGAGTCATAAGGCTGCTCAAGGTCTTGCTTGCCGTGACAAGCAAGGTGCACCCAGGTGTTCTCTTGCAAAGCCCGAAGCGCACCTGCTCGAGTGGCATTGTTGCCAGAGAGAGTGGTGGGGTTGGCCGTTGCGGGGACGAGTGTATGGACAAGCTCAAGCTCGCTGTCGACAGCGGGGAGCACGTCACCTTGCCCTGCGCCCGGTCGACTTTGTCCAATTGCTGCGAAGGACGGAGTTGCGCGCGTCTTCATTGCCTGCCGAGCTCTAATAAGAGCCGAAAGTGTGGGCGTATAAGAGCAGATGTACAGATCCTCCAGACATGACTCCTTCCCAGAGCGATCTGCGTTCATTCGGAAGGGATTAGCTGCATGGAGAGGGATGGACGTGAAGGCTGCTGTCGGACACAGCCATATCCGAGACCGACACCACAATTTCAGGTCATGCTGGAGTATACTAACAATGGGTAGCATGATCTCGTCCCACACTATTCGCAAGAGTACTCGCAACTTCTTCCTCGGCTCCTCTGGGCGCATTCGAGTTGTGTGCCGGATTGCTGTAGTGAAATCATCCTTGAGCTTCTCTAGATGTGAGAGTGTGATGCGCGGGAAGTGCACCTGGCGGGGCTCTCCTGACGTCGGGATAATGATGGCACTGCACGAGTATTCACTCCCAATGAGAATGATGACTGGGCCATGGCGTGCTGCCGCTTGCAAGTCTTCGTACGAAGGTGGGAGTAGGAATCGCGAGAAACCTTCAAGATGACGGATTTGAGCTACCGCAACGTCCCACTGCTCCGTAAGTTTCCTGTACTTTGTTGCTGCTCGATCAGCAGCAGCTCGGTCTGTGCTGCCTGCGGAACCTTGAGCGCTAAACAGATACCTACTGAGTTCCGACAACTTGTGAGCTAGATTTGGATTCGTGGACTTGAGGTCTTCAAGTGGACTCCTAAGGCGAGAGGCCAACGACCACTGTTGGCCACGACCCTGCTCCACGAGTTCAACTGCGTGTCGTATATCATCACGGCGTATGGCACACGAGGCTGCATCTACGGGGAGCGATCTGGCATAATGGAAGGCAGCAGCAGCTTCGCGCCGTGAAGCTGGTGATGACCTTGTTGCCAAATGAGCATCCAGAAGCTCAAAAAATGTTGAGTAAGCCTCCAGTGCGGATCCATCACCATACTGCTCCGCGTGAACAGTCCATTTATATGACAAAATGATACGCTGCGGCAAGCCTTGCGTAGGGTGTCTTGATGCCAGTTTGTAATTTTCCACCGCAAGTGATAAATCAGTAGGGTTGTGCTTCATCTGATAACGAGACAGATAGACATTCTTCAGCCACATGTAGCTGAAATATCTATCCGGGTGCAGTGAAGGCAGAGCTGCAAGTGACTCTTGGCAGAGTCGAATGGCCTCTTCAACATCTTCATTCCTCCCAGTTCGCGTGAAACGAGAGCGGAGCGCAGAGCTCAAATTGTTAAGATTTCTATGGCGCGCGGGATGATCAAGTCGCATTACCCAAAGGGATTCACGATACAGCTCAATGGCCTCGTGAAGATCTTCGATGACATGCAATTTGTCATATCTGGTGTCGAGCGCGAGAGCAAGGTTGGCAAGCATGGTATCACGACGTGGTTGCCCAGGTGGGCGCAACGTCAGTGCCTCACGACGGAGGCTGATAGCTCGGTTGATGTCACCAACGTCACCATGTTTATTGAAACGGGCGCGGAGGGCGCCCCCCAGGTTTCCCAATGAGAAATCACGATTTTCATGCCCAACAGGGCACAGGCGCAGCGCTTCTTCGTGCATAAAGATGGCCTCATTGAGGTCATGATAATTGCCTTGGTGATCGAAGCGGGACTGGAGTGACGAGGCCAAATTATTCAGGAAGGTGTTGCGGTCAGAATGTCCCTCGGGGCACAGAGAAACAGCTTCACGTCCAAGTTGTATGCTCTCATCTATATCATCAATGCTGCCGCATTGTTGAAAATGTGCTTCCGCTGCCTGTGCTAGCCTTGTGAGGGAAAATGGACGATGTCGATGGCCCGGAGGACTGAGCTCGAGCACGACTCGTCGAAGGTGGATGCCCTCATCAGACGCGTCGATGGGAAGATTGTTGCATGCGCTGATAACATAATCGACCGCGCTGTTTACCCCGATACTACGAAGGTAGGTGCCCTCTGGACAGAGGGGCAGTAGCTTGCAGCACAGTTGCGCGGATTCCTGAATGTAGACGGCGGATTGCTGCTTGCTGTAGCGCCAATTCAATGATGTAATGAGATGATAGGAAGATAATGTGTGGTCAGAGTGGCCCTGCGGACGCAAAGCAAGGGCTTCGCAGAAGAGGGAGGTGATGGTATCAATGTCTTCAACATCCTCTTGAATATAACCTTGAAGGCGTGCCCAAGCGAGGTTGGTCAGAGCTGCTGCATAGTCAGGATGGTCAACCGGACACTGGCCAAGAACCAACTTAAAATGATGTACAGCATCATTCAGGTGATAGACAGTCCTGTATGTCATATATTCGGCAAGTCGTGCGTGACCCGCATCTGTGTCTCTAGCAATCTTGCGGTCTAAGAAAAACTACAGTTGGCATTCCGTCAGCAAAAGCTAACAACAGGTGCTAGCATCACTCACATCAAATAGTGCGCCGTCCAGATTATTGCAAGCGTGCACAAGAGCGGCCTTCAGCGTGAGGGAAGGGTTGACACCACGAATAGGTGGGAAGGGCAACTCTACGCAATGTGAGCAGACGAGCGTGAATGAGAAGTATACTACTCACCGAATGGCTCATCGCTATGATCGAGGAGCTCATCCCACGATGTTTCCAGTGTTCCTATGACTTCACCGTTGCCTAGCATTCGATCGACCTCGTAGGACGCTCTGATCTCCACTGATAATGCAGGTGACGTAGGTGGTGATCTGTGGACCGATGATGAATTCCCGAATCGTGTCCAAAAGTTTCCATGGACTTTACAGGGTCACGGTATCTCGCCACGACACAGACCTATCGAATAATGGGACTCGGATGGCTGATTTCCAGCGTCTGCTCGAGTCGACATTGACGCATATGTAAATGCCTGCGGGAATGCGCTCAGAAGGGACTTGAAGATTTTTTGCGCTGGTTACTGTAGATAGAGTGTGAGGATCACAAAACAGATACGAAGGTGATACAGCGTAACTCACCTTCAAGTCTGATGGATTGACTTTCAATGCTACCGCGCATGATGGTACGATGAAGCAAAACAACGAGAACTGAGGATGGGCTCACTGCTGGGAGAAATAAGTAGTAGGAGAAAACGGGAGTAGGGATATGGGGACTGTGGATTGAGTTCGGCTCAGAGGGAGAAAAGAGCTTGAAGGTTCATGTGATGCTGCACATGTATTTGCATAGTCTCCCCTAGCCAGACCGGAACTTAAAGATAGTCGTTCTTCTGTATTTGCATGAAGTTGTCGAAGGCTGTTTGGCACGATAGACGCTGTCATGACTACACTAAGCGCTGAGACCAAAGAGATGACGACTAGGATTAGCGGGACAACCTATGCTAAAGAAGTGGGTGATTTCAAGGTCAGTCACTGATCAACGAAAGTGGTACGCCATGGTTATGCAAGACTTGGAATGTCCTGTAATGCTTGCTACTCCTGGACTGAGTCGTAGTACATAGTAGACTCATTTAGCACACTAAGGCAAAGGTACTAGAATCGATGTATTTCGCAAGGTAATATTGCAAACAATGCATACCCCTGGAAGCGATACACGTAGAAGGAGCCGAACTATTTTCCTGAGTGCGATTGAGCTGACAGCACTGCTAGTACTTGACATGCATGGGGGGAAGATGATGGAGAGCGTCACGGTGAGAGTTCAAAGCATGACTGTGATCATGACCAGAATGAACACGCTAGTACTAAAACGATGATTAGTACATTATGAAATCTTTACGATACCGGCGTCTTTTCCTGATCAGCGGGAGACAGGCTCCAGCAAATGGCAGTCCATTTCTTGGTTCGAACTTCGAACATCCACTTCTTTAGTCACGAGACAAAGCAAGAAGAAGCACAGCCACCAATTCAAGTAACGTGACTGCCTTCGTCGAATTCGATTATTCGAAGGATTTAGTAATACCACCAAGGCCGACATGAAATTTGAAACACGGAACAAATTTGCCACGGAGAGAAAGCTAGTGAAAGAGGCTTCTCTCCCGCACCTCCTCTTCCCCTCTTCTCACATCCCCAGGTAAAAATTGCTTCTTCTTCTCCTTCTTCTCCGTCACCACTTCATCATCAAGACCATCCGACATGCGTGGCACAAGTAAGTTGACAGCATCAATTCTCGATATCGTAGACGCTGGAAGGTCATGCGTTTATGCCGTGCAGTTTCTCATCCTCCGCCTTTTCTTCACCTTGAGCTTGGCAGAGGCGCTCGTTCGGTGACTGAAACCCACTGGAAATCTGAATCCATCACACGAACCCAGGCGATGTTATCCAAAACGCAGAAGGCTGGAAGGTCAAAATAACCACAAGCAAGAAGGCACACATCTAGGGGAGTGAGTGTATTGATCCCTCGTCGAGCTCGAACGATGTTAATCCTTGCGTTGCGTTCATAGTCCGTGAGCCTGAAGAACCCCCCCCCTCTCGACTCGGAGCGCTAAAATCACTGATCGAAGAATCGTCAATCCGTTTACAGCGAGTGAGCGTGACGATTCCTGTCGAGCTCGGACCTTGCTGACCCAAATATTTGCTGATCCATTGACAGATTGTGAGTCTATTGACCCTCCGTCAAGCTCGAGTCACGTTGACCGAATAAATTGTCGATTTGAACACGCCAAGTAAGTTTGTCAATCCATGTTGGCTGGTCGATTTCAGTGACAGTGGAGAAGGAGTCTTTCACGGATGTGTGAGTACAGTATGATCTGTCCATCTCGTTACCATCCAGACTAGCTAACCAGTTTATCAATGCGTGCTCGGTTGCGCTAGATAGACTTAGAGAGGGGCACCATTTCCCAGTCCGGAAAGCTTGTCCAATGTGCATATAATTATCTTTGATCCAACGCATGGACTATTCTGAACGTGTGCTATATATAGCACTCGAAGTGTGCAGACGCACTGACCCGCAGCACGTAATGATATTGATATTAACTCTTTACAGCCACGTGGAAGTCAGGAATGCTTCCTGCCTTAAGGCTGCCACTGCCTCTGCATCTGATTCACGATCCGCCCTCCACGCTCTCACTTCTACGGCTCGTGCTATTTCCTGCAAGGCAATCGCACAGCCTCGGTGTGCAGGGGGGAATGCACTGAGCAGGGCCCGATGAGTGAGAATCATGTCCAGATATTCGCCTCCCGTCGTCCGGAAATGTGATGACGCGGGGTAGGGGTAAGGGAATGGAGAGAGCACGTGGGATTCGGGGGCGAGCGAAGCGAGGATGGATTGGAGGAAGTGGCACGCGGGAAGTGAGGAGTGCGGGACTGTGATAGAGGAGGTGGGCAGGTGGTTGGTGGTGGTGGTGCTGTGGTCGCAGGAGCTGGACTTTGAGCTTGATGATTCCGCGTCGGACTAGATGGGTCGCAAGTTAAATGGCGAGAATTAGATAGATCTTGGCCGCACTCACGTGGTAAGCTGGATCCTCTATGTTTGCAGCGTCCTCGCTTGCCCTTTGCAAGGCATAGGGGACAGCAGGGACTGTTGGATCGTTTTCGGGAGCCTTTCTCCATTGCGGAGTCAAGCTTACGTGTGACAGGAGGGGCCCAAGCTCACCTTGGTCTTGCCTTTCGACAGGGTCAGCGTTTGTAGAAGCTCACATAGGTCGAACTCGGCGCCGTATACCTACAACATGACGAGCGTTAGAACTTGCTTCTGAGAACTGATTCGGCATTAATGTTATCTCACTGAAATTCCGTGGCTGTGCGATTCATCGTAGTCCGTCACGATCACGGGACCGATGGGAGAGTCCATGTCGATATCCATCAGTTATGCAATAGACACGAGTGGAAATGCAGGAAATGCGCAAAGAAATCGGCGTGGGTGTAGGGAATAGATGAGTTGATAGAATGGATCGCTCGTGTAGTTGACAATAGCTATATGTAGCCGTTCTCCGAGGGCATGCGGAACCGGCTACCCTGCCTCGTGTATCAGGGAAGGATAAGAAGGACTTCTGTTATTGGACAGCTTTCCAAATGTGGGGAAACAACGCGGCACAGGGCACGAGATCTAAGCCAGAACCCTCATGGCCGAACTGGCGAACATGCAGGTGCTTGCAAGGTAGCCGAGGTGCACTGTGCTGGGCATGGCAGGGCGCAAGTGATGCAAATTACAGGCAATGCGATAAATCGATTGGTGGGTGCATAATCGTACACATCTATAGCTAGTTGAAATCCTGCAAATGCCAGAACAGGCATACAGTGCCGCAGAGGAGGATAAGGGCGCCAGGTACACTCTGAGTCACTGCCATATCCGTACCACAACCAGATATTTTGGTACGCATGCTGGTGTGATAGGCACGTTACACTGGCTGAGAATATCATGATCCAGACCTATAATAGTGTACATTCGTCAGTATCCACTCGTCAAGGCATGCATGCAGTAAGAATGAACATGATTCAGAGAGAAGATCATCGATCCTTGCTGGTAAAGCAAGAAATTCAATCATGCACGAGCGTCCAACGACCTCGCGTCAAGAGAAAAATGGATACATTTAATTCATCAGACACAGTACTTGCAAAAATGCAAAAATTCGAATGTCTAGGGAAGCACTTACCGACGGAGACTCGGAATTCAGGCCAAGCGTCTATCATGGTATTAGAAGTAAGTAGCAGCGAGGAATTTTGGTTGTGTGAAAACTTGGGACCCGAATAAACTCCGATTGTCCTCCGAGCTGATCAAAGAACCCGCACATGTACAAACTTAGTGCCGTCTGTACTGTAACCAAAGAACAGAACCTTTGCAACTGAATATCTATAGAGTTGACTTGTACTTTGTTGAACGTTGGGCCATAAAATTTGAATCCAGTGATTCGCAGTGCGCATTGACTCGGAGTTGACAAACCTGTGCAACAGGCATCCAATTCTTGCGACTCCTCGGAGGCTGCGCTTCATCTAGGTATCGCACGTCGGGCGGTGAATCAGTACAATTATCAGCTTTTGTTGCATTCCCTGGGGCCCGGTGATTTGCCTTGACCTTACGCCATCGCCAAGTCCGACCAAGAAGCTTATAGCCAGTGGCACAAAGATCCGAGAAAATGCGTGTATATGGATAGCTATAGGGCCCCAGTCCCATATAATATACTACAAACGAGTCATATTGCAAACAAGAAGAAAGAAATGCGGCAAGAGTCTGTGAAGAAATGCGATGCGGTACAAATAGTCAAACAAGAAACCGACCCCGTCGAAGCACACAGTGAAGATATTTTTCAACCTCTCCCACTCCTACTAGACCGGCGCTTACAAGGGAAGACGCTGCTTCTCAGTCATGGAAGCAGGCTGAGCGACGACGTTCTGGAATAAAACAACAGTTTGTCAGCACTATTCAGAAAGGCACGATGCCAGGACCGACGTTGGAGAGGGTACCATAATTGGGGTACTGACTCTGAGGTAGGTGCGACTGACTCACCTCATCGTCAGCAAGGCGGATGCGGCTATTATGGGCCTTGGCACGCGCGCTCTTGACAAACTTGGAGAGCATGAACATGCCGAGAAGGAAGACAGCAGCGAGAATGGCAAAGACAGTGCTGGAGATCGCGTCTTGGGAGCCAATGTGGAGCCAGTCGTCCTCAAGACCGGAGCTGCAAGCAGCGGCCCATTGCTTCTGGCTGGTAATGGCATAGTTCTGTAACAGTGGTATTGAGATAGATCACTTCAACAAAAACTGGCGCAGGTACATACCTCGATCCTGTAGATGAACTCCGTTGCAGCAATGTCAGACTTGTGGCCGAAAGCGTGGTGGGTCTCGAAGTCGCCGCTGGTGCCGTTCTTGAACTTGATCCTGACGAAGTCACGGTCTTCAGGTGCGGGTCCGCGACGGAGCTCGAAGGCAAGAGCAGAAGCGTAGTTGGCTGCAGTCTTTGCGTCAATCGACTGAATGCATTGAAGTGAGATCATACGCACGGATACCCTCAAGATCGGGGTTCTCCTTGGTCATCTCAAGCATGTGGAATAGGGAGATGAAAGGATGGTAGGAGGTCTCAATGAGGAGGAATTGCAGAGGGTCACCGTTGAATGCAATGCGCTGGAGGGAGCTCAAGACCGTGTGGAGGATCGTACGGCCAGCCACTGAACAAGGATAGGATTAGTATTGAACAGTGTGCGTGAATCGAAATTGGCTCACGGTTACCAATACCACCGACATCCTTGTCCGAGAAGATGGCGTTCTCGTGGTAGTCAGCGAAACCACGAGCCTGCTCAACCAAGGTGGGGGGAAGGCGGTGAGCGTAGGTCTTGTTGTGAGAGAGCTCAGTCGAGACGTAGTCGTAAATCTAGAAAGATTTCAGCTTGACATCAGCAATCGAAGTTAGATGGCTGCGCACATTCCACTAAATCACAGAGGTAATCAGCATTTGCATCAAAGAATAAGAGGTATGACCTACAGCATTCTCGAGAGTAGTAGGCCGGCCGAAAACATAGTCCCTGACAGAATTGAAGAAAGGACCAGCAGCCTTTGCGGCCGCCTTGAACTCGGACGATGAATGAACGTTGGAGATGTGTTGCTCGAAAGCCTGCAGGTCATGGTTAGATTGCAGTTCCCCGAGTCTGAAGCGTTGTATTGCTTACAGGGCATTCGGTCCAAGGCTCAAGGGACTTGTCGTTACCGGGCTCGACAGTCTCGATGGGAACGTACTGGTAACCACCAAGAGGAGCAACGACGGTGGTCTCGTTAGCAAGGATGATCTTGTTGGCAGGGTTGGGAGGGAAAAGACCCTGGAGGAGGGCGATAGCAGAGTCAAAGATCACGGTACCCTCACCGCCAGCCTTGGCATGGACGTGGACCTCATGGGTGTCCACGAGGTCGGTCTTCATGTCCGCGATATATGAAGGAGAAGACGAGGACATGTAGGTCGAACGAAGAAAGGCTCCGAGCTGGTGAGACTCGGCCTGTAGTGGATGCTACATCAGCTAGAGAACTTACGAGACGTAAACCAGTGACTTACAGCACCGAGGGCGGTGCTTTCGGTGTAGGAGCCCTCATAGGTCTTGGGGTCTTGATAATACTCTGTGCGGTCACCATTACGGGCGATGACAAGAACACCAAGAACGTCGGTCATGTTTGATTTTGGGAGTAGGTAGTCGGTGAGGGCTAAGGAGTTGGAGAGAAGTGCTGGTCTGTTTGGAAATTGTTGGCGTTCTCGTCCTTAAATCATGGTAGGATGCCAGCCCCTGCGCTTGCATGCCTTGCAATTGTCTAAGCGACGAGGCTAGATCACATTAGCTGAGGCAAGGAGAAGGCCTGGAAAACGCAAGGAGGGAACAGCACGGAGCCAATGCATAGAAGCTCGCGGAGAGCATGGCCATGCTGTAAATTGAAAAGTGCATGCACACGCTAGCCTTCTTGACCCGCAGGGCCTGAGTGGGCAAGCTGAAAACTCGAAAAAGGTCAGGCCTCCTGTGCGGATAAAGAGATTGCCGTTCTGCTTGAATGACATGAGGAGTATCGTGCAAAGATTGTGGCCTCAACGTAGATATTATGCTCTTTCGGGGGCAATGTCCAAGTGAGGGTCAACGTTACGGGTGATTGATTGTGATGGGGCGCATGCTAAATGAAACTCCGTTTACTTTTCTGGGTCGAGAATTGATGAATAACGGACAGCCTGATCATGATCCAGCCTCACCAGCACCACGAGTCGGGATGAGCCCCCTTAAGACCACGGAGAGCTTCGGTCGTTCACGTCAAGATATATTTCCGCACATTTGTATCAGAAATCGCGAAGGGCTCACCCAGTGCCATTGCAAAGCAGTACAAAGAAGAGTCCTTAGTAGGCAGCCGCAGAAAGTTTACACAGCAGAACGAAGGTAGAGATCGTTAATGAGCAGGGGATCTGAGCTATGTCTGGCCGAACCTACAGGGTAGATGTCAATAACGGGGGAGTCGTGGACATACGCTAGCTGGCAACACCCCAGAAATGAAAAGCATGCGGCTGCCCACGAAAGGATTAGATAACTTGAACCATTGCAGGCATGCACCTGGACACACGCAACATTAATATCGTTTTTACGTGCGAAAGACAATAGAATCTATACCCATTACCGACTAATCAACATATGGTAGCCTCATGGCGTCGCTCTCAATAACATCCTGAGTGCTCGCGGAGATAGTCTAAGACATGTATTATTGCTCACGCCCATAAGAAAAGCAGAGTCGACCATGCAGATACATGAGAAGGCGATCGTGAGTGAGGAGTTGGCAACTTCGCGTGCATGAAGAAGTCCGACATTGCAATGGAAGTCGCAGCGTAAGTTGCGTAATGTAGAGTCGCCCGGGCCCGGCTATCAGAGACCGCGACACAGGACTCAACGGCGAAGACGCACCACTCCCAAGTCTAATCGTTCGCGGCATCGCAAGGTGGGATAGTGCTCCCCCACACCACGGGCAGCGTAAGCGGCAACTGAACTATAATTCGGGGGACAATCCGACTATAACTAATCACGTCGATTGACATCACATGCCTTTCAGCTTGGGTGCCAGTGAATGAAGGTAACGTTGGCCGCATTCGATAAGCTCGAGTGTCACAGTTTCACATTACCGATCAGTATATGGTCCTCTCAAAAGAATGGTCAAAGTTTCGGTAAGACGACCACTGTATCGTGATGGAAGTTTGTTTAGGCGCAGACGTAGATTTCTCACGCCGGCTGTGCATGTTGACTGCGTGTTTAGACAATGGAATCAAGTATGCTACCTCATGTTACCGGCGACCGCTAGCACTGACCTCCTTCCATATTGCTAGATAGAGCCCTTGACTCACATGCCATACAAGGTTCTGGAGTACGCGTCAGGTGTGGCAAATCTAATCGGTGTAGGTGACAGAAAGATGTGGCGTGCCTCCTGGTCTCTGGCTAGAGATGGAAAAAGGCGAGAGGACGGCGAACACCAATCGACTGCCCGTCGTCGTTGCCATTGATGACGACCAATCTGTGAACACTTCGTTGAGTTGATAGGTAAATCTGAGAGTGGAATGGGGTTGAGTTGTTCAAGCTGTATGGCCCGAAGTACAGACTCCAACGTTAACGATGGTCCAAGTAAAAATAGACATCGGTTGCTTCCATTGGCGATGTAATTAGGTCATTGCCGTTGTGTTTCAAGAACATTAGAACCAGCGAGGCGGGCCGTCCTTCAAAGCTTTATATTTATCTTCCAGTGCGCTGGCTGTAAGCCTTCGCAAAGGCGATGCACCAAAAGTCTTTCCCCTGGGGAGCTTTCGCATAACGGAGTTTGATATCGCGGTAAACGCCCCGACGCTGTCCTGACATCCCTCTAAGCCAGGCAAATTCGGATCTCTATTGCATCTTCTAGCGTCTTGGGGCGCGAGTGAACCAAATCAACGCCCCGCTGGTACCACTCCTTCCCCACCAGATAGCCATACAATTCTACTATGACTACAGTGTTGAAGAAGCATTAGAATACAGATACAGTTCCAACGCAACGGGCTTACCTTGAATTCGCGATCATCAGCAGCGACGTCATGTGACAACTTACAATTTGCTTCCAAGCAGCGTGCTGCGTGAACAAAAACAACACAGTTGCGGCCACCGAAAGCAACTGATAAACGATACAACACATGTACGATCATCATCTCGTTGTATCCACCCACTTGACTCAGCCACAGCTACAGCAAAGGATTACTGCGGCGAGCGCCTTCTCGTGGATAAAGTTAGGGTTTGACGGGTCAGGAGCTGCACAAATTCTTGAGTGGATTTTAGAGGTTGGGCCGGACAACCTGATCGAATTATAGCATGTTTGGATTTTGGAGAAAAGAAGAAATCTCTTTCTCCAAGGCTGCGGCTGGCTCTGCTATAAACACAACCAAACCAAACCAAACATGATGAAACATCAGGTCCAGTAAGTCGGGGAGCGGCACCACAATCCGTCGTGCCGACTCATCAATGTCATTATTCATCGTCTTGCAGCAAAGTATCCGATCTATCGAACCCCCAACGAACAACACTCTGACTACGAGCTGAAGTGGAATTTTGCGTTCATTTCGCAGTGCCGCTTCAGAGAACGCGCTTACACAATTTACAAGACTTTAAGGGAATTGCGTTTGGGAAGTCGTGGATGTGTGACATGATTATCATTCGACTTTGGAAGGGTTAGGTTAGTCAGTACCATATACTCAAAATCGATGGCAAAAGATTGCCCTTCACGGGTTCATTGAGGTGCGTGCCAATACAATGTTGTCAGTCTCACTTCTGGGATTTGCTGAAATGAGCACCACTGTGTTTGCATAGCCTTTATACTATGCGATCAAACACTAGTCAAACTGATCTTGGGATTTTTGATAGGTTGGTCTAGTGAACCATGAGCGCGTCTTCCTATTAGGTGGGCCAGGGCGGCCAGTAAACGCCAACTAAGGAAGCGTATAGGGACTTACACAGCTGAGGGATGCCTTGCGAAATCATCTGCGTATGCGGCGCGATTCGATAACAGCGCATAATGTGCGCATTGCACAATGACAATGTGAAAGCTCAGTCGAGGACCTGCACGATGACAAAGAACTAGCGACATTGATGGCTGGGCAATGACGAGGTCAGTCTGCGCTGGAGATCCCTAAACAACAAATGATTTGCCGATAATCGACGCTTCTGGATTGGCTACTCGTCGAGAAGGTTGTAGGTCAAGAATCGATCGCTGTGAATCAGTCTTTCTCCGCATAAGAAACGATAAGCACACTTTTCACCACGAAGACGAGGACTGCGCTGGGTTTTGGCTGGGTCGGTAATAAACTTATTCACAAAACAGTTTTACCATATTTCTGCCAACGCTCCATAACTTGTACGTCTTTTCAAATTGATGGGCCCTTAGCTTGCGTGTATGGGCTAGTTCCCCACTGCCTCGCAAATCTTATTTTAACCCACGCCTCTGGTTCGGAGGTACCGCGTCATTATATCCAAACTCCTGCCTTCAAACAAAACGTGTTGAATCGTCCGTCATGTCACAGCCTTACACCCACAGATGATGGCTTGGTCGGCCATGTCTTCTGTTGGTGGTAGTGGCGTTGGCCATGGCCGGTCCTCTACACGCATCCCAACTTGGAGGATGGTAAATTATTGCTGTGCGGAAGATTCCCCAACCTTCTTCAGCTTTCTGAAATGATCCCGTGGTGTGGGCGGTAAGCTATCAGAATTTTGCTAATAATTACTCTTCGAGGGTATTGGCCATGTCAATTGCGTCATGTAAAGCCTATATACTATAGTATTCTCGCATCAAGTCTGTTTTTACCCCGGTGCCTTAATATTCAATTCATCCCAATGATTTATCTGTCTTAGGCTTCCTTCGCAAATTCTACCGTCTGAGGCATTAATATTCCGAGGATATCAATATCAATTGACTTTGATTTTATTTCAAGAAGTAAGTATTGTATATTTTATAATGGGCATGCTTGGTCTCTAGGTTAATCTGAGACGAAGTGTGTAAATGTTCTCCCGGCCTGCTGCACACACGACCAATAAGGCACAATTTAAATGTTGGTTTTGATCCCCATATTTCGTGTTTCTAGCTTCGTCGAAGAGGAAGCCCCCTTTCCTTTGGAGGAATGCTTCTCTACCTCAAACTGCGGTCGGTGGGTCCCGCTTCCTGGACCGCAGTATGCGCCACGACTTCTTGAGGCTCTGCATATTCCATGCTCAGCCCGGATCTATTTTTGGCTACCAGGCAAATAATACGTTTTGTTCAAATTCAGCGGGTTCAGACGTTCTTTCATCCTGTAATTACTTTGCATCATGCGTACGGGTATCGTTTAGCGTAGGTCGCCGCGCAGGCCAAACAGAGAACGAGTAAGGTGTGCAATAGGGTTTCAATGGGGTAGATTGTTGGAATCAGGAAGCGGGTGCTTGCTTCGTTGCTTTTGCGATAAGATTGACGTTTCGCAACGCATTCTGTCACGGTGGTGGGCTACTCCAAGTGCCTATCGGCTGAGGCCTTGGGGCTGTGTCGTCGATCTCGTGTGTACGAGTGGGTGGAAGTATTTAGGTGGTAATAGGGTAATTGACGATTAGGGTGGGTTATTTGAGTGTGACTTCGGAGGCGAGTGAACGTGGCCCATCTGGGAGAACGGGACTGTGAAACTGCTCGTGGTAGGCCCGGGTGGGGGCAAAATTTCACCTAGCGTGGGTTTTAGGCGACGTGTGGCGTTGACGTACCTGGTCTGGCGCAGGTGCGGGAGTGCCGGGGTCCTTGGGCAGTGGCTGGAGTCCTGGCTCGTAGGTAGTCGCTACTGCATGTTGTGGTCGGTCCTCGATAGATGGAGCCGTCGCCTCCCGCTATAGAGGTTTGGCCTTGGGTTTCCCTTGTAGTCCGTGCCGGTCCAACGTATCTTGCTAGATCCGATATTTGGTTGTCCTCAGTTCAGCCTTTGGGCACGATAAGGATTAATGTTGTCTGTACCCGTCAAATTTTACAAACTTTTGCAGATCGCTCTGCTTGGTAGCTAAACTAGGCATGTACATATGTGTATGAAGTACTATGAACAACTTTTGAAAACGCGTTTGGTCTATTCTTCCCCGAAGTTAATGGGCAATGACGTGTGTCAGTCTGGGCTGCAGATCCATGGACTGGATGATTAAATGATTTGTCAAACACCTCTTGATCGCTTGTTGAATTCTAATCATCCACCTTCCGACGTTCAACCTGAACTTGACTCTAGGTCAAGAAACTATCCATGTAGGTCTCTTTCTTTTTTTGGGTCTGCATAGGAAATCGAGTCCAAGTGTGGTACCAGGGACTGATCATCGATCGATGACCATGGCTGCCCCGAACACGTTGCTACTATTAAATTTATGCGATCGATTCCTCGCCCCACGAACTTAGCGGAGACTCGGACGTTAACTGATAGGCGCTGGGTTGGTAATGACTTGATCGCGAGAGGGGTTTGGTAACTGCCAACAAATCCCACAACAACAACTTACGTTTTTCAATCAGATCCTTGTGAAGCTCGCACGTTTCGAGCAATGAGCACATGCGTAGTGCCAATGGTGAGCTAGTTTCTACCTGCCAGTGCCATACAAATTGGAGGGGTTAACATCGCTTTGACACTCAGTAATTAACATTTTAGCTGGGTCAAAGTGCTACATCATCGTGATGGGATCCCATGCTCAAAACGTTCGGGCATCTCCTCGCTTGCCGGGGCTTATCACAAGACATAATAACCAGAAGACCAGCGTCTTTTATCTCTGTTATTTTCTCCCACCCACCCAACGCCTCTGGTTCACTGATCTGCGTGAAGTTGTATCTACACGTCCCGCCATGCCGCCGCATTTACTTCAACTTCTGCCGTTCCTGTACATAACTTTCAATCGAGGGTTTCCAGATCTCCCCTTATTACCAGACCCTTGGTGGCCGGTATAATCACGCCAATCCACGCATCCAAACACACGGCTTCCATGGTTGGGCTGCACCCACATTCACGATGCACTTATCCTTGAGTATTCCGTGGTTGCACAACTTACGCTGCGCCCACGTCACGATACACTTATCCTTGGGTATCCCGTGGTTTGCGCTGCACCCACATTCACGATGTACTTACCCCCGGGCACTCGAAACAGATTTGTTTACATTTGCTCGGTCTGCAGCGATATCTTCTGGAAGGAGACCTTTGAATTTTTCTGTTGGCTGGTGTTCTCGTTCGCCACAATTCCTTTGCCCTTATTTAAGGCCAACATCGCAGGTACAGATGTTCCATCTTCTTACCCATTGCTGACTCCCCCGCATGGTAGGAGTTCTCAGACTGCCCTTCCTCATCACACTGATCGATTTAAAAGGTTGTTTACTCGGCGCCACACGACGAGGTCGCAGTATCGGAAAGTGCATACCATCACAATTATCAGGATACAATGCCAAGCCTTCAGTTAGTCTCACTGCCAATGTATGCCCCTCGCCATCATCTTTGAGTAGTTACTTTGCTTACAAGTACCCTGATATACAGGCAGTATCCACATTACTACACTCCCTACGCACCTCAATTCTCGTCCGGCACAGATGGACCCTCCAGCTCCGAGTCCTACAATGAGCCATCCTCCCGCCGTGAAGAATTCGCCCATAATTTGGAGGCGTATCATGGCTCGTCATCATCCCGTTCACTGCCAATGTATGCCCCTCGCCATCATCTTTGAGTAGTTACTTTGCTTACAAGTACCCTGATATACAGGCATTATCCTCATGACTACGCTCCCTACCCACCTCAATTCTCGTCCGGTACAGATGGACCCTCCAGCTCCTACCATGAGCCATCCTCCCGCCGCGAAGTGTCCTCATACCATGAACCATCATCCTACTCTGGATCATTCACCCATAATTCGGAGGCGTATCATGGCTCGTGGCCACAATGGCATGGCTCCGCCATTGGTGATCCGCAACCACCCGGTCCTAGTGTTCCAGAATACCCAGTCCCATCAATGACACCTCTACCCCCGGCTACAGCATTTTCACAGCCCTATATGAATCACAGAGGTGACATAGGTTATCGTTCATATCAGCCAACATCCTCCCAGCCACGTCAAGATCTCCCCCGCCATAATTCACGTTCTCGCCAGAGTTCCCAGTCCCGGCGTCATCAGCGTCATTATGGATCTCATACCCAGGAAACCCGTTACTCGCCATCAACTGAATTCTCTTGCGCTTGGATTGTCGGAGACAATACCACCTGCAATTTTCAAGGTCCTTTGAATGAATTCAAGGCGCATTTCAGGCGCTATCATTTGACAGGGCCGCAAGATTCAGCAACTGAATGTCATTGGCAAGGTTGCATGTATCACGGACGTGGCAATCCAAACATGACACTCATGCGGCGCGATAGTGCATGGCGTCACGTTCGAGAGACACATCTGGGGATCAGGAGGGTGATCAGGAGGGTGATCAGGAGGGAGATCTGATGAGGAGAAGCTGGTTTGTATATCTTTGTATTATTTAACCCTCCCTATCATCCTCTTGGTGCAGCTACCATCGCTGTCATCCGTTCTTTTCTGATGCTATGTAATATCACCAACTACAACTCACAACATTTTGTGAATCCTTGTTTATTGTCCTCTGGGGCAAAGCCCAATGTTGGACACTACCTACACTATTTATCCTATGTCTTCGTACTACGTTTTAGGATACTTCGCCGTGGCGCATTTGGTAACACCTTGTTTTTTATTCAGTCTGCTGTCAGGAACCTTCCTTGTTTCTAGAGGTTAACCAGCCGACTCTTAGCGATCCACGACAACAGGCCTCACCTGACAGCCATTATATATCCAGGGATTCAAGTCTGATGCGTTCTTTTCGGTATCAGAACGGATGGGAAGTTCGATGTCCTAAACTCTTCATGAATGTCACGTGTGGAATAAGTACCGCCACAACTGACCTTACGTTGTTCGAGGCTTCAAGCTTCGAGCATCGTATTATGCTGTGAAAGCCTCCAGAACTGCTCCCGAAACGTCTTTTAGAAATTTCCACTGAAAGCTCTCCGCCATGGCGTGGAATAGCGAATAACAGCCAAGGGGTTAATAGTTCAGGGGTTTGAGCCACAGGCATGGCTGTTGCCACCGAAAGCGAAAAGATTACAATTATTTTAGAATGAGATTCATCAATCCACTGGATCGTTCAGTACATGTCAGGCCTGATATGCAGCAAGTAACGTGCTGTGGAATAGACTCTGATTGGTCCGCTGAATGCCGATCCGGGCGAGGATACTGCAACGAATACCTAGGTAAGGATATATGACGTCTATGATCTCGCACGGGGCGACGTACCAATGGCTGTCACCAACTTGAAACACGGTAGTGCTGCATGTGGCGGGAAGCCAGACGGACAACCAGCCAGATGGTCTGGCGCATACGTGCCCCGCGGAGTCAGTTCCCAAGCTTGGCCGCAAAATAAGCAAGATAGGAAAAGTAATTGGGATTAGCTTGAAGTGCAACTCACCTTTTGGCTCGTCTCTGAACAATCTAGTTTCCTTATTACTGACGTACTGCGCCAGAATAATCGGAGACAACGAATTTTTGGGAAAGCATCCTGCAGGAGTCCTTAAATACAAACAGCCCTTGATTAACGCTGAAAAATATCAGAGGAGCGTCTAAAAACTCAGAGGAAGAAACGTTGCTGATCACCGATCGACATACTTTTCAGCCATTTCCAACAAGTCCTAGTATGTGTGACCTCATGCTGTAGGCGGTTGATAGTATTCACGCGCCAGTGGCAGGTTACTGGAAGTTCCAAGGTTTAATTGCACGCCACTTTGGGGGTAAAAATAGTTATCACAACAGATGGGTAGCTACGTACTTAGGGTCTGGAGTTCGGAACAACCAAGATCAATGATCAGGCGGGAGCCGACACCGCAGTCGTGATGCGAACCATGCTGCTTGCTGTATTACCCTACCAAGCTAATGCCAACATCGTCTCATCAAGGGTCGTTCCGCTTAGCCCAGAACAAAGGTCGAAATCTTCGAAACTTGATGGGTATTGACCGAAATATAGATGACAACTAGAACAACAAGTTGAGCACACAAGAGCAGTGTCCTAGAACAGAAATTAACCTGAGCCACCTTTAACTTGATCACGCACGATTGTCATGTTCAATCTAGGGTCCATCGTCAATTCTCAGCAAATTTCACAGGCGCTATGGGCTCACAGGCTCAACTGCATCTTCATCGCCTGCACGCATGCCTGATTCCTCCTTGGACGCCGCCTTAGCACCAACATCTACCCCCTCGAAAGAATGGGACCATCGATGTTTCGGTAAGACGATCGACCACTGTATAGCTTCGATTCGTTCCTATTGTGAGCGTGTAACTGAGTGATCACACACGTTGTGAGCTGGAGCCAATAAATACAGAGTTACTGACTGAGTATTTCTGAGAAGTCGTTTCTTATAGTTGCCCCAAGATTCAAACAAGAGCTAAGTCAGAGTTGGTTAGTTGCAACTTGCAAGTTGTAACGTTTTTCTTGATTCTTGAAGCTGTAGTAAGCTCGCCTCGACACGTGACCCTCTCGGCGGGCTCCGCTATAAACGGGTCCCAAGCGCGAACAGCTTGTTGAAATTAGCCGAGTAGCTAGAGAACGCTCTCACAATCTTACAAGACTTTAAAGGAAAAGTAAGGTTGGGAAATGCCCGAGGATCCATTGATTGATCATCATCTTCTCAAGCAGAGTGATATATTGATGTGTGGAATGGTAATACGTTTCACCACTACTTACGTTTTGACTCTTGTCAGATGCCATGGCCCCAAGTTGGCAAGTTGGCACATGCGCGCATTGTGCCATTGAATGATTGGGCTAGTTTCCCTCTGCCTCGCAAATCTATAAAGTACTGGAAACCTCTTCCATTCTCTTCGTCTCGCGATGTGGAGAGGCGTAGAAGGTCAATGGGAGCGATCGAGAGCATCGGCACCCCTCTTCATGGTTTTTTTCCGATGTCTTCGATGGCGAAGTCCATGCATGATCGGGCGTGGTTTTGGATGTATTCTTCCTGCCAATCTCACTGATCACCGCGGCACATATTTGGTAGTGTTTGTCAGGCGTGGGAACGAGCCACCAGCGACGTGCGGTAGCCACGTATAACTTGACCTGGATCTGGATACATTCTTGTATCAAGTCTGTGTCCCCAGTGCCTTAATATCCATCCCGTGTCATCTTCAAGTTCCTTCGCGAATTCTATGGACCGTCCGGGGCATTCCGAGGATATCAATATCGATCATTTTATCTAGAAGTACTGTCTTTTCTATAATGAGTTACGACAAAGAACTCAAAACCACATCTTGCGGACACGGTTTCGAGGTCAACAGCTGTATAATTGAATATACTTGGTTTTTGGCCTGTCTCCGTGTTTCAAGTCTCTAGCTTCATCGAAGGCACAATAGGAAGCCCCGCTTTCCTTTGGAGGAACGCCATCCCGAGCTCAAACTGCGGTCAGGGGTCTCCGCTTCCTGTACCGCGGCTTTCTGCCGACTTATTGAGGTTCTGCGTTTCATGCTGGACCTGGATCTATTTTCTGTTGCTAGGCAAATAACACGTTCGAATTCAGTATGCTCTTTCATCGTGTGGTTCAGCCTTTGGACGATGATGATCTGTGTGAATTGAGTGTGGATTGTTGTACCCGCACAATTTTACAATTTTTTGGCTGATCCCTCCGCTTCGTAGCTAGACTGCATGTACATATGTATTTGAACATATAGAATCAGCGAAGTTAATGAGAAATGGTGATGGCAGATCCATGAACAGGATTATTTGCAAATGAATGATCGACGCTTCTTAAGTGATTGACTGCTCGTCGAGTGTTCGGTAAACATTATCATCCACGTTTCGACGTTCAACTTCCTGAACCCCAAACAACGTTGCTACTATTAAATATGATCAATTGCTCGCCGCGAAATTAGCGGAGATGAGTCCTGATGGGCGCTGGGTTGGTAATAAATTTGTTCGCGGGACATAATCACGGTTTTGGTAGCTGTCGATCACCCAAAAAACCCACAACTTGAACTTCTTACGTTTTCAATCAGATCCTTGAGGCTTGCATGTTCGAGCAGAGAGCACATTCGTAGTACCAACCGTTGAGCCAGTTGCCCATCTCCCACACCAATCGATGAAGTTAACCTCGCTTTGGTGAAGTTCAGTGATCAATCTTTTAGCTGGGTCGGAGTGCTACATCAACGTGATGGAAACCCATGCTCCAGATGCTCGGAAATCTCCTTTCGTTACAGAGGCTTATCGCGAGATCAAGCACATAACAACAAAAGTCCAGTTTATCTCGTAACGTTATCTCACTCGTCCGCTGCCTCTTAACTTCGGTTGTTCCTCGACACAGATCGTCGAGCACCCTAGTTCCCAGTCCTGCTTTTATATAGTAGCCGGAGTAACTTGGGAGTAACCACGCCAAACTTCTGCATTCGAAAACACGCGTTCCATGGCCGAGCTGGAGCCGTTTCCCTCCCGTACTATCCAAGATCCACCTAATCGCGGATAATTTGGCACAGCAAATTTATTCAATGGCTTGGTCTGGCGGGGGATTTCTTCTAGAAGGAGACAATTAGATCATTCTGTTGGCCGGTTGTCCCGTTGGCCATGGCCACTCCTTCACAAGGTTGAATCCTTTCCTGAATTTAAGGTCAAACGTCGCAGGTACACCTTTACCCTTCTTGCCCATTGCTGACATCCCCAATTCCTAGGATTGGTTGGCATTTCTCATTTATCTTTACATCCCCTCACTGCTCTTCCGCGGGACAAGCACGCCATATTCAGCAGCCACCCGAGCAACGCATCACGATGTCCTCCCCTTCTTACCCATTGTTTACTCCCCCAATGCCTGGTACAGTTGAGCACTACCCATCCATCTTTACATCCCCTCATTGCTCTTCCACAGGACAAGCACGTCCGACTACTCAGCAGCCAACTGAGCAATGCTATACCACGATGTTTGTTGCGCCACCCCCCGCCATCAACATGGTAGTACTTCTCGGACTGTCCTTCCACATTAAACTGATAATTCTCAAAGACATCTCACTCAACGCTACAATCGACGATACTACCCTTCGACGATGAGTTCGCAATATCTGAAAATACATGCAATGACGATCATTCGAATACGATGAACCTCAAGTCGCGGTTAGTCTACCACTGATTTCTCCTCTTAATGATCATCTCACACCGTGATCAGCCATCCTGGTCGGACAAATTTTCCTGGCTCGTCGAGCCACGTCGCCAACATGTCCATCTACGCCGCCAATCATACACAGTTTAACACTGCCACGACGGACAATACAGCACGGCCACAACTTCCAACAGTCAATACAATACATGACAACATGTATGTTTCAATGATGTCTAACAACGCACCTGGGCCACAAAATGTCTTCGAGCGTCCTCCGGCGGTCCACATGAACCAGTATCATGACGTTCCTTCTCACAACCTCCCAAGCTCTCATGGTGCCCCGTACCACAACACGGTAACAGGGAGATCATATTCCCCAGCAATGTATGCCCCTCATCACCATCTACGACGAATTACTTTGCTTACAGCTACCCCCATATACAGGCATTTAGACGGCAATGGTACTTATTCACCTCAATACATCTCGCCCAATACAGATCCTGCACCCCTCAGCTCCTACCCCGATCTATCGTCCTATCCTGACCAATCCTACCATGGTCACGGGGCACATCATAGCTCGCACCAACAGCAGCGGAACCCCGCCATCGCTGATTCGCAACCAGCTGGTCCTAGTGTTCCATATCAACCAGCCACGTCTATGGCACTTCCACCTTTGCCTGCAGCATCTTCACCGCCTTCCATAGACACCCAACACTCACCCGCTACACACTCTTGCCGCTGGAGTGATGGAGACCACGTCTGTACATTTACAGGGCCCCTGAATGCATTCCGCAAGCACTTCAGAAGCAGTCATTTGACAGGGGCTCAAAATTCGCCATCTAAATGTTGTTGGCAAGGTTGCACGTACCGCAGACGCGCCATGCCAGACGTCGAAGTCATGCGGCGCGACAGTTTGTTGCGTCACGTTCGAGAGACGCATCTAATGAAAAAAAGGGGTAACTGAAGAAAAGTATCTGATTTTTTATGTGTGTATTATTCATCATTCTCTTGGTTCGGGGCATTGAGGGAAGAGCTCAAGGCTCGTTTGTTGATGCACTTGCTATCATCACTATCATTCGTTCTTTTCTGTTGCTACGTAATAATACTTATTCCCATAGCCCACGGTTTCATGTTTCGTGATACTTCGACGCGGCGCACTTGGTTGCATCTCTTTTTTTTCAAGTCTGCTGTCAGAAACCTTCCTTCGCAAGTCATGTCGACAGCCATAGCTATCATACGTCTTGGGATCATAGTCTAATATTAGAATGAAAGCGCTTGGTTTTCAGTATCAGAACGGATGTTTTGATGCCCTGAAGGCTTCGTGAACGTCACGTATGATATGGTTACCGGTAAAACTGACCTGACGTTGTTGAAGGCTTCAAGGGTCCTTCACTCGTATATCCCTGGATCCGAAGGCGATGAGTGGTCGCTCGAAAGAAATACTGCGGGCCCTACTTACTGCAATGTGCTGTGAAAGCCTCCGAAAGCTCTCCGCCGATGACCATGGAATTTCCAGCGGAAAACAGCCAAGGGGTTTGCCGTTCAGATTCTAAGAGCCACCGGCACGGCTGGCTGCCATTGCAAGCGAAAGATCTGTATCGCTTCATGGCCGGCTAGGCCAACAGTCATTGGTGGCAAAATCATTCGGAACTCCAGGCAGACTGAGGAAATCCTGTGAAGTAAGTTCCAATAATTATATAAGACTGAGTTTCGATCCAGTATATGTCAGGGCCGTTTTGCAGCAAGTAATGTGCGGTAGAGTAGACCGCCGATTGCTCCGCGGAACGACAATCCGGGCGAGGATGCTGCAACGAATTCACAGATAAATATAATATGGGTGATGGCCATGATCTCACACGGGGCGACATGTAGCGGGAAGCCAGATAGCCAAACAGCCAATGGGTCTGGCGTATACGTGCCCGGCGGAGGCAGTTCTCAACCTTGGCTGAAAAATAAATAAATAAGTTAGACATCGAGAGCAATTGGAATTAACTTGAAGAGCAACTCACTTTGATTTCCTTATCACTGACGTACTGCGCCTGAATAATTGGACCACAAAATTTGGATGAAGCATCCCGCAGGGAATCCATCTTAGGCTTATATACATAATAACGCTGGAACCTGTCAGAGGAGGTTTTAAAATTGAGAGGAAAAAAAGTTGCGGCCAGCCAATCGGTGTACTTCGCCTTCTCACCATCTCCAACAAGACCCAGTAGGTGTTACCTCATGCCGAAGGCGGTTGATAGTATTCACGCGCTAGTGGCAGATCACTAGAAGTTCCGAGGATATTTGCACGCCACTTTGGGGGTAAGAATAGTAATCACAACAGATGGTGGCTACGTACTTGGGATCCAGCAGAGCTCGGAACGGCCAAGATCAATGATCAGGAGGTGCCGACACAGTAATCGTGATGCGAACCATGCTGCATGCTGTATTATCCTACCAAGCTAATGCCAATAGTATCTCATCATGGGTCGTTCCGCTTAGCCTGGAACAAAGGTCGGCAACTTCGAACTTGATGGTATAGACACAGTATCTGCATCTCCTAACACTGTAATCGCATCCCCAGCCATTGTCTCGGCAGTCATTAAGAGCAAATCCGACACCTGACTATATTGACCGAACTATAAGCGACGACTAGAACAACAAGTTGAGCACACAAGAGCAGTGTCCCAGAACGAGGGAAACGAATAGTGTACCACCTACAAGTTGACCACGCACAATTGTCATATTCAATCTAGGGTCGATCATCATCAGTGCTCAGCAAATCTCAGAGGCGCTAGGAGCTCACTCAACTGCATCTTCATCGTCTGCCTAATTCCTCCTTAGCGCCAACATCTACCTCATCTATAGCTTCGGTTCGTTCCTAATGTGAGCGTGTAATTGAGTGATCACATACGCTGTGAGCTGGAGCCGTATACAGAGTTACTGACATCTGCCAAGATGAAAATGATGGAAGTTGGTTACTAAGGCACAAACTTAGATCTCTCACGCTGGCTACACGTCGACTGCGTGTTTTGGACCATGGAATGAAGTATGTTACGGCGATAGCTAACACTGACCTCCTTCCATATTGCCGGATAGGGCCCTTGACTGCTCGACTCACACGCTATCGAAGGTTCTGGAGTACGCGTCGGGTGTGGCGAGCCGCGACCCAATCGGTGTAGGTGTGGCAGAAAGATGATGGGAAAAAAAAACATATCAACTGACCGACCTATGAACAACTTCGTTGGGTTGATAGGTAAATCTTATGGTGCAATTGGGTTGAGTGTTGTTCAAGTTGTATGGCCCGAAGTACAAAGATTGGGCCGTCCTTCAAAGCTTTACACCATTCCTCCGGCGGCGCGCTGGTTGCCAGTAAGCCTTCGCAAGAATCGCGGGGAAGGTGAAGCGCCGAATATGGGATGTGTCTCGCTAGGAGACAGGACAAGTAGAAAACCAGACCCCACCCCCTCCTTGCCCTTTTCTCCACTTCATCCTGACCCACCAAGTACCTCTGCGCTCCCTTCGTTGCCACCAAATCCCGAAATGCCCGGAGACAAATCCGTTGCTCCAAGCAACTTCGCTGCTCAAGCGCTCATAGGCGATCTCGGGACTTCCTCTTCACCAGCCCATATGACCCCGAGGCTCTACGCCCATGTTAGCTTCATGAAGAGCGCCTCGACACGTGACCTCCTGGTTGGCTCCGCTGAATATGTTTTTGGGGAGCGCTGAAGTGGAGTAATATGCTTGGTGTTGAGCTCGCACGTAGAGAACGCTCACACAATTTTATAAGACTTTAAAGGAAAGTAAGGTTGGGAAATGCCCATGGATCATTGATTGATCGTCATCCTCCTAAAGTAGAGTGATGTTGATGGTAAAATGGTAACAACACTCTTCTTGAGAGGCAAAGCGTTATGTACTCAAAATCGATGGCATAACACCCCTTCGCGGAGCTGTGTGCATGGCATGCCATTGCAATGTTGTCGATCTTCTGAGATTCGCTAAGATGACCACCCTCCGGTCAGACGCTAAACATACTGATCAATGTGTCTCTGGAGAAGTGACCACCTTTTCGTGACCTGTCTTGATGCAGACTTGTTATTCTTATTGGCCATCGTTGAAAACGCGCCCATGAAGAAGGCACAAGACAATCGCTGGTCTAGTAAATTTAGACAGAACACTTCAGTAGGGCACTACATAGTAGAGAAGTCTTCCGTGCAGGGAAAGACCTTTCTTGACCAAGCGAGGCGATAAGGGAGAATATGACGACTACTTCTTCATCGCTTGAGGTGAGTCTAGCAACACTGGATCGTCATCTGTAACTAAGAATTGAGCTTCAAATAAGCATGCCTCGCCCGCAGCGATCCCTGACATGGGTTGAACAAAGAGCACGACCAAGGAAGTGTATAAGAACTCACATAGCTAAGGAATACCTTGAAAAATCATTTGTGTATGCGGCGTGATCTGATAACAGCGCATAATGTGAGTATTGCATAATGTCAAGCTCAATCGAGGACTTGTACTACCTTAAAGTGACATGCATTAACGTTGAACATGATGGCTAGGCAACAACGACGTCAGTCTGCGCTGGAGATCTCCGAATTAATGATTTCCCAATGATCGGCGCTTCTAGATTTGCTGCTCGTCGAAGTTGTGGGTTAATCATCGACATTCAACCCGTTCGAAACTCTAGGTAGGTCAAGGAATGATCGCTGTGAGTCGGTTTTTTCTCCACGTAGGAAACCATAGGCACACTCTGGGAGATCGAGTCGAGTGCACATCGCACTGGCAGGAACCGATTATTGGATGTGGTTCACCCAAGCAAGTTGGAATAGAGTCATCGGCTGGTTTGCTCGCCGCGAAGATGAGGACTGCGCTGGGTTGTGGCTGGGTTGGTAATAAACTTATTCGCGGAACGGATTTACCATAATTGGTAAGCTGCCAACTTTTCACTACAACTTACGTCTTTGAGATGGCCCTTTGGCGCATGCGCGTTGTGCCAATGATTGGGCTAGTTTCCCACTGCCTCGCAAATACAAGGAGTGAAGTCTCTTCCATTCTCTTCTTCTCGCGATGTGGTAACTAATTAACTAATCAGAGTGTACTAGATCATATGACTGGACTTGAAACGAAAACGTTCACGATGCATTGACGCAGGTCCTGCTCCCATACTATTCAGGGCACTCGGACATTGCCTTGATTTTCCCTTGTCCTTTTCGCACCGTACACACATAATAAACCAGAGCTCAGCGCTCAGCGCCTTTAATCTCATTTTTTGCTCCCACTCACCCGCTGCCTCTGGCCATGCTAGAGTAGACTCATTTGCATCAAGCGTCACAATGCATATCACTTCAGCATAAGATATTCCTCGACACAGCATCCTATCACCGAGGGACTTAGTTGGGATTATCTATCTATTGGTCATATTTTATTGGCCGGATTAATCGTACCAACTTACTCTCGCCTTCACAAAGCGTTCCATCGATCGGCTTTTGCCTTCTTTGTCAAAGGTGTCCACATCCTTGGGTCGTATCACAGCCATTCAACTATTTTGATGATGGATTGGTCGGCAACGTCTAGAAAATGCCTTCAATATGCCCTGTTGGCTGGTGGTCACGTTGGCCATGGCCAGTCCTTGGCCCGCACCCCAACTTGGTTCGCACCCCGCGACCCCGACTCAGAGGACGCTTTGATCCTGTACGAATATCCGACGGACATTTATTAGATCGGAGGCGAAACTTTTTTACTTTCCCCCCTTCTCTTGATTTTTCTTCAGCAGCCAGAGCAATATTCAATCACGAAGTTCATTGCACCTTCTTCTATCTCCCAAGTAGTCCAACTCTGCACCATCGACATGGTAGGAGTTCTCAGACTGCCCTTCCTCATCACACTGATCGATTTAAAAGGTATTTTACTCGACGTCGACGCCACACGACGAGGTCACAGTATCGGAAAGTCCATACTATTATAATTATCAAGATACAATGCCATCCCTTCAGTTAGTCTACTGCTTCCTCTTGATAACAGACGTCTCACATCGTCGCTAGTCGTCCCGTTCAGACTGTTCCTCCTGGGTCGTTGACATCGACCGTCCCCCAGGCCAGGAGGTTCGCCTCCCCGAGCTGGATGCGTGCTGGACCCTCACCGAATGTCGGTACTACATCCAACACCTCTGGCTTCCCCGCCGATACAACGAACTACTCAAACATGTCCATGTACCCTGACAACTTGAATGGCTACATGAATTTGAACGTTCCATCCAACGGATATTCTCCCCACCGCAGGGAGGCAGCTACTGCCACCCTACGGCAACACCCAACGCCATCTTTTTCCACAAACGAAAAATACGCTCAAGCTAACGCTGCCGTGATGGACAATCCAGCACGACCACAAAACAATTTTACACCTGCTAATCCCATACCTTACAACAATGGGCCATGGCCACAAAATGCCTCAAGCCATACGCATCCGGCGGCGACCAGTGAGCTTCAATCTAGCTCGGATTATGGCGACCATTTCTACAAACCCGCAAGTTTCCATGGTTCCCAATCCCCCAACACCGCGCAAGAATTTTGGCGTGCTGACACTCCGGTGGCAAGGAGGAACCTCCCGTCATCCCGTTCACTGCCAATGTATGCCCCTCGCCATCATCTTTGAGTAATTACTTTGCTTACAAGTACCCTGATATACAGGCAGTATCCACATGACTACGCTCCCTATCCACCTCAATTCTCGTCCGGCACAGATGGACCCTCCAGCTCCTACCATGAGCCATCCTCCCGCCGCGAAGTGTCCTCATACCATGAACCATTATCCTACTCTGGATCATTTTCCCATAATTCGGAGGCGTATCATGGCTCGTGGCCACAATGGCATGGCTCCGCCATTGGTGATCCGCAACCACCCGGTCCTAGTGTTCCAGAATACCCAGTCCCATCAATGACACCTCTACCCCCGGCTACAGCATTCTCACAGCCCTATATAAATCACAGAGGTGACATGGGTTATCATTCATATCAGCCACCATCCACCCAGCCACGTCAAGATCCCCCCCGCCATAATTCACGTTCTCGCCAGAGTTCCCAGTCCCAGCGTCATGGTCATCATGGATCTCATACCCATAAACCCCGTTACTCGCCATCCACTGAATTCTCCTGCGCTTGGATTGTCGGAGACAATACCACCTGCAATTTTCAAGGTCCTTTGACTGAATTCAAGGCGCATTTCAGGCGCTATCATTTGACAGGGTCGCAGGATTCACCAACTGAATGTCATTGGCAAGGTTGCACGTATCACGGACGTGGCAATCCAAACATGGCACACATGCGGCGCGATAGTACATGGCGTCACGTTTGGGAGACCCATCTGGGAATGAAGAGGGGTAACTGAAGAGGAGTATCTGATATTTTTATGTTTGTATTTTCCAACCTTCTTTATCGTTCTCTTGGTGCAGGGCGCCTAGGCAGAGCTCATGTAACATGAAGGCTCATCCGTTGTTGTACTTGCTCCCATCTCTATCATTCATACCTACCCGCAGTTTCATGTTTCGTGCTACTTCGCCGTAGCGTACTTAGTTATATCTGTGTTTTTGTTCCAGTATGCCGTCAGGAACCTTCCTTGTTTCCGAATGTTGACCAGCCAACTCTTTGAAAGTCATGACGACAGGCCTCACCTGATAGCTATTATACTCATCTAGGGATCTTAGTATGGTATTAAAATAAAAGCGCATTGTTTTCGGTATCAAAACGGATGTTTCGATGTCCTGAACTCTTCACGAACGTCACACATGCGGAGTAATCACTGCTACGACTGACCTGGCCTTTCTTTGAGGCGACCTCCGATCCTGTATCCTTGGATTCGAAGTCGATGGCTGGTCGCTCAAAAGAGATATTGCGAGCACCTGCTGTGAAGGCTTCGGAAGCTTCTAGTTTCTGTCAAAAGCTATCCGCCGATGGCCATGGCCATGGCATTTACCGCAGATGACAGCCAAGGAATTCGCCGTTCAGGGTTCTAAAAACCACCGGGATGGCTGGCTGTCATTGCAAGTGAAACAAGCTGTATCATTTAACGGCAGGCCAGGCCAACAGTCATTGGTGGCGAATTCACTCGGAACGTTGAAGAATCCTATGAAATGGATCCCCAATAGTAGTAATAGGCGGAGATGCATCGATCCAGCAGATGTAAGGACTGATATGCAGCACGTAATGCGCTGCGGAGTATACTCCGATTACAATCCCGGTCAGAATACTGGAACGAATACGCAGGTAAGGATATATGATGGCCATGGTCTCACACGGGACATACCGATAGATATCATCAGCTTGAAATGTGGCACGCGGCAGTGCAGCATGTATCGGGGACGCCAAACATCCAAACATCAGAATGGTCTGGCGTATATGTGCCCGCCGGAGGCAGCTGCCAAGCTTGGCTGCAAAATAAACAAGACATGAAGAGCAGTTGGAATTCACTTGAAGTGCAACTCACCTCTCTGGACAACCTGATTTCTATATCGCTCTATTGTAGTACGGCGCCAGACTAATCGGACCACAAAATTTGGGTGTAGCATCTGCAGGGGGGGCCACTCGTCCTTTAAGTACAGACAGCTTTTGATTAACGCTGGAAAATGTCAGTCTAAATTTCAGAGCGTTGCGGCCCGCCAATCGGTATTCTTAGTCTTCCCACCATCACCAACAAGACCTTGTATGTATCACCTCATGCTGTGGGCGATTGACAGTATTCACGCGTCAGTGGCAGGTCACTGGAAGTTCCGAGGTTTATTTTCATGCTGCTTTGGGGATGAGAATAGTTGTCGCAACAGATAAGTAGCTACGTACTTAGGGTCTGGAGTTCGGAACAGCCAAGATCAATGATCAGGCGGGAGCCGACACAGCAATCGTGATGCGAACCATACTGCTTGCTGTATGATCCTACCAAGCTAATGCCAACAGTATCTCGTCATGGATGGTTCCACTTAGCCCGGAAGAAAGATCAACAACTTCGAACTTGATGGGCAAGAACAGCGCATCTCCTAACATGGGAATCGCATCATCCCTGGCCATTGCCTCGTCAGTCATTATGAGCAAATCCGACACCTGACTATATTGACCGAACTACAGGTGACAACTAGGAACAACAAGTTGAGCACACAAGAGCAGTGTCCTAGAACAGGGGGGGAAAATACTGTACCACCTTCAAATTGATCACGCACAATTGTACTATTCAATCTAGGGTCCATCATCAATGCCCAACAGATCTCAGAGGCGCTAAGGACTCACTCACCTAAATCAGTACTCAACCGCATCTTCATCGTCTGCACGCATGCCCGATTCCTCCTTAGCGCCAACATCTACCTCCATTTCTTCCGCCTTTGATTCGCGTTCCTCCGTCTTTTCTTCTGACTTAGAGTCACGCTCTTCTACCTTCGAGTCAGAAGGCTTGGGCACATCAGAGGTCATTTCCTCGTCCTTGCCGACCTGCGTTTTTTCGTCTGCCTCGGCTTCATCTTTCTTTTCTTTCTTCTTTCTTGCGTCCTCATCGGCAACACGTAGTCGGAGCTGCTTGATTTCGTCAATACCGGCAGTGCGTTCCTCGCGGAAAGTGGACCATTCGGATTCGGCTGCTTCCTTGACCTAGGCAACGGGGATTAGTCTCGCAGTAATTGACATAACAATGACGAAGGTGGATATCATGCTGTCTGCCGCGGTGTATTAACAGATGCTAAGCTCACCTTGAATTTACGCTTTTCTAAAAATGCTTCCTGGGCTGGTGTGAGTATCGCAGGCAAATAAAAGAGAGGTGGGGGATGTGATCGTGTGGGCAGAGCTAGAGGAGTTATTGATGACGGCTGGTCTTCCATGGAATCAATGGATTGGATGTCGTCAGATGTACATAGGTAGTGAGAATAGAGTGGTAAATGGGTTCTTCGTAGCTTATGCTGCAAGACAAGGTCGTCGGCTCTTGAAAGATGGAGGATATTGAAGTAGCACTCACGATTGAATCTTTGAGTTGAAGTTCTTCTTCCTTTCGATTTGCAGCGTTCCTATCCTTCTTGGCCTCTTCAGAGCGTCGAACTGAGTCGGTCTCCTTCCGAAGCTTAGCTTGCAACCGCTGGTCTATCATCTGGCGCTTTTTAGCCTACAAATAAATATATATGTCATTACAATGAGCAAACGCGTGGATGGGTTATGTTTACCGCTTCACTGGCATTCCTTTCCTTGTCCTCAATCTTCGCCTTGTTCAGCGTGCCAAGAACAATACCAAACATGCTCTTGCCTCGCTTGCGCTCGCCGACACCAAGGTCAATACGAGGCCGCTTTCTTGCAGGCTGAGAGTCTGGTTCTTGTTCTGTGTCCATCTTGTCCCTGGTGTCAGTATCAAGTTTCGATTCAGTTGTCGGTTTCCTGTTTGAAATTATTTAAGACGCGAAAAGTAAGATATAGCATACGGCTCACAATTTCGTCGACATCGGTCTGGTGGTAGCGGGTGAACGATACTTGTGACGGAAACTGGGCTGATTATGTCACCTTTGATGAGAAAGGAAATGTGACACGTGGCTGACTTCGTCCATCGCCGCCAACGACGACCGAAGATGCCGCCCAAAGCCAAACTTGCACCAGTAAAAGCAGGCCAGACGTCTTCCAAGACTCCTTCAAGACAACGACCTTCACAAAAGCAGCACCCTGCTCCACTAACGGACAGACTGAAACGTTTGTTTACTTCCCTCTGCGCTCAAATTGATGGTGGGCACTTTGCAAATGCGATTCGTACATGCAACAAGAGTTAGTGATGCAGTTTCAAAACAATGATTCGATATTAACGAAGTCCCCAGTCTTGCGCCTAGATCCAAATGATCGCGATGCACTACGGACGAAGCTTTTCCTGCTTCTCCAAACCGAGCAATATGACACTGCCCTTGCTCTTATCGCTGAAATAAATGAGCAGTGTTCATTTGAGCGGGCATATGCATTATATCGTGTTCATCAAGAAGAGGATGCTGCTCAGGTGCTAAAGGAAATCAAGAGCAGTGGGAAAGACACGGAGCAGAGGGGTGCGATGCACTTGGAGGCTCAGTTGGTAGGCATCTTATCATTTCGTTTCAATATGAAGATGGGAACAATTTATCCGGCAGAGCTATCGCCAAGGATCTTACCAGTCATCCCTGGACATCTATAGTGAACTTCTTGAAACGGCTGATCCTGTACGTTACACCCTTTTCAGGTAGTTGCCAACTCATTCACACATCTGTGCTGTCCTTCAGTCTTCGGATGAACATGCAGACATCCTCACTAACCTACCAGCCTCACAATCACACCAGGATTTTATCACCACTACGTTTATGCAATCTATGTCTCAACTTCCCAACTCAATCGCCTCGACGTTAGAATCGGCGCCGCCACCTGTTCTCTCTCAACCAGCTTCAATCCTCGTTTCTGTGGAAGAACCCACGAAAAAGCTGGAGGCTGGGGAAATCAAGAAGAAAGTGCGAACAAAACGTGTGCCGAAGGGAGTCATACCAGGGGTGTCGCCCGCACCGGATCCGGAAAGATGGCTGAAAAAGTCGGAACGAACTACTTATACACAAGGGAAAAAACGGAGGGGTGCGGGAGGTGGCGCAACACAGGGTGCAACCATTGGTGCTGAAAGTGGGCCTGTTTCTGCCGGCGCCTCACACGGAGGAAAGGCTGGGGGGAAAGGCAAGGGGGGAAAGAAGAAGTAGCGTAACGGTAGGGTATCTGACAAGCTTGTCCTGAACTCTTAATGCTGTATTACAAATTACGAGCAAGCTATACTTCTCGATTTCGTGATACATATGCGCATGCAGATGGGAGATCTAGAGAAGGTCTCGTTGCCAACAACTAAATTATTGTCAATCATGTCTTCGAGTTCCAGGAAGTCCGATATCTATGGATCGCATCTATTAAACGGCAGGTCTGCGCATAAAATGGTTTAATTGTTAAGAAAGTACGGTGGAGTGACTGGTTGGATGGCCGCCGGGGCCCGGCATGAAGAGAATGCCGAAGTCATCGTCGACTCTAATTCGCGGGTTAGAAAAAGGCTTGGAAAGGAATGTCAGGAAGATTCTGCAGGTAAATGGACGGATCAGAAACCTGCCTTGTTGCAAGGGGCATCAGAACGCCGCTTCGAAAGGGGGACAAAATACTCGCCCTTCCGGCCGTAACATGGGTGCGGAAATGGCATTGCGCATATGACTGTTCCACGGAGCTGAGCTCCCTGCAAAGAGAACAACAAATAAGATTTTAATCGAGAAGCGGAGCACCGTACCTTTTCGCACGTCGTCCCTTTTTTGGGTGTCCCAAGGAGATTAACCACAGAACGATCCGTGAGTTACAAGAGTAACTATACCTATATCGCACGTAACATTACCTTGCTTCAAGACCCCAAAATTAATGATACCAAGATACCATATCAGACGGATCTTTGCAGACGTGCTGATGCTGTGCTGATTGATTTGCAATGCGATTTCACGTTTTCATGTTCCTCCGGTCACCAGACTGTAACTTGTGCTGATTGGTGGGCGGGGTTTCACTGTAAAGTTTAATATTCGATGCTTTTCTGTTTAATCCCCTGGGGAAGGGCGGCGAAACTTGGGAGAATGCCATGTCGATAAACCGGGGTGGTTGAGTCTACAGCGGGCGAGAACCAGATACTGTCAATCCAATCTCCGTGAATAGGGAATAGCGGGGTATGTGATTTTGAATCTCAAATTAGATGTATTCAAGCTAGTGTACTCATGTCATTAGGGAATTTCGGGGACCCTTTGCAAACTATCTTGATCGTTCTATGCCCCAGTAAGAATGCCTGAAGTCCACGAGTCGGAAATCAAGATGAAGTCACGATTGCAGGGGCAGAGGTGACAACTGCGCTGGCGCTAGCACTTGCGGTGGGAGGACAAAGGGCAGTGGGCATTGGGGCATTGATGGCATTCCATGCATCAGGGTATGTACACCCGGCGACTTGTGTGGCAGCGAGACTAGTATCGGACGAATCAAACCATCCGTTCCCGATAGTGACCGAACTCGGAGGACTTGGTGCAAAGGTAGGTGGCGGCAGCTTCGGGATGGCACTTGTCGACGTGTAAGTAGGAAGCAAGGATTGTGTAGCTCCTGCAGCAAGCCCAGCAATAGATGTGGGAGGATACTGGCCGTACGAAGACACTAAGACAGGATTGATTGTTCCCGCACCAGGCCCACCGGTCTGATAAGGCTGATAAACGCCGTCGAAGTGTTGAGCGGTGACGCCGAGTGCAGCGCAAGTCCCAGTAGCCATGCGAGGATCAGCGGGCATCCATCCTTGTTGTAGCCCTAGCTGGTAGGACCACAGTGGAGACGCGATCGTATTGTTAGACGACGGCCCAATCTAGACAAGACATGTCGATTTCCTGTGCTCAACCAAAAGTTGCAAGGTGTGATGCGTACCTTCCACGTCCAGAAAAACCAGTCCTGAAGGGCGTCCATGCTCGCCAGTGCGAATTGCTGGAGCCCGGCCTTCATGGTATCATTCCACTGGGACGAGTCTAAAAAGAGGGAGCATGACGGCGCCACGTCATTTGCGTTGTTCACCCCGCTGAGGTACAGCCCGCAATCATTGAAGCCATTGCTAAATTCGCCAGCGAGGGTGACGCCAAATGCTGTTTGACTGCCAGCGGTGTGTTAGCTTGGTAGTGAGATCTTAAACTCGAAGATTACCTAGCATTCATCCCAGTCGCCCACCTCGAACAAGCTGAAGTTGGCCAAATGCCGCCAGCACCCAGCCCAGTACCAGTCGCAATGGGCGAGCTAGTAGACTGACCGTCGAACGCGAAGTAAGGGTGACTGTCCAAGATGATCCGATCAGATCCCTCCAAGAACCCTGCCCATGATGAAAGACCTTGGAAGCCATCGTGGATTGCGATATACGGCCCATTGCCTTCCCCATAACCTGTGATATTGCGAATCATATCGTGGGCCTGCATGTAGCTGATAGACATATTTGTTTGTGAGGATTACAGACAGATGACAGCATGATAAGAACGTACAACGATGTCATCTGATCCATGCCGATGACAGCAACCCTAGCTTCATTCATGATACCAAAGACCGGCACAACGTTCCTCCATTCAGGCTGCGAAATGAATTCAGCAATGATTCTGATGTAACCGAGAGCACGTTGCGCGTTCGCAACGCCCATGACTCCGTTGAGAAAGTTGATCTGCCCAAACTTGCCGGAGTGGTTGAAACCTAGGCATCACATTAGGTTGCCCAACAGCGATCCTTGGAGAGAAAGCGTACCATTCTGAGAGCCAGGAATCGTATGAAGATCAAGATTGACTCGAAGGCCATACTTCCGTGCCCATTGAAGGACTCGTAATATATAGCTAAAAAATCATAGTAACGCCCATTAGAGCGTGAACTCAGATACTCACACCGTAACTCACGGCCAGCAAACCTGCTCGAGGAAAGGCTCAGAATCCCACTTCTCGATAGCCCAAAAAGGTATGGGCAAACGTATCCAATTCAACCCAGCACCAGCGATTTCGGCGATGTCCTGTTCGGTCTGTGACAATTGATCTGTTTAGCGTCACATACGAAAATGTTGATGAACGCACGATAAACGTCTTGTAATGCTCCTCAATCTGATTCAATCCGCCATTGGTAGTATCTGCGGCCATGAGTGTACTTAGTGACCACTCATCGATGGCTTCTGGATACCTCTCGAATAGAGCAGGTGAAATGAACGGCTCAAGAACAAAGAGGCCGCCGATATTTACGCTAAGAACTCATAAACGTCAGACTCTCATAGACGGGAAGACCATGCTGATTAGTCTTACCCGTTTACTTTATTTGTGCCCCAGACCCAACTTTCATTCAGCGGTGGCGTCCATGAGTTAGAACGTGCATTATTGTTGAACGGATCATTAGGATCATCTATCCCTGTGAGCATTGTGTCAGCAGCTTGCACAGGAGAACAAAGGATCACAGGACATCCTTCAAGAATCCTGCGATACAAGAAAAAATGTACTCACAGTAACCTCCGAAAGGATTTATGTATGTGAAAGTCGATCCATCCGAGGTCGTAACCGTAGAACCATTTCCCCCGTATGTTAGACCGGCATTAGGGCCAATGGACGAAGGGACCGGAGAACTGGTTCCTTTGGTCATGTCTGACTCTTGGTGCTGATGTTTGATCACAAGAAAGTAGACTGGTACCACCACCGCAACTGCCGCCAGAACCGCAGAGAGAAACAACAGCACGGGGCGTACATATGCAGCACCCTTTTTTGAAGGATGCGAGGATTTAATTTCCTCCCCATAGAGATCTGGATGTTGAGATGGTAATAGTGGAGAAGAATTGCATGAGGTGTTGATGAAGGAGTCGCGGGGAGTAGTTGATGTTTCGGGTGTTGAAATCCAAAGTTGTTGATTGTTATTCAAAGGAGTGTCGGGAGTAGCCAAAGAGACCTCTGCAAAGCTGTCAGGTCTCGATGTCATTTCAATCGTGCAGTAAAGACTAGGAAGGGGACGAGAAAAAGGTCTTGACACTAGGAAGGTTAGCCGCAGTATAAATGCATTTTGTAATTCGGTCCCATGATCGGCAAACGGAGGTTAACCATATTTGTGAGTCGTGACTCAATGGAATTCACTCCGTCGTGGAACCACCTACACAAACTTGAATGTTTGCTACTAGTATTGCAATTCGACCGTTAGAGTACATTCGCTGCGCCGGAATATCAAGTGGATAAGTACCACACGGTGGAACAGTAAATCGTGGCTCAGGGACATTTGCAGGCAGACGACGCGACGAAAGTCACCGAACTTTGCAGATCGTTCCGATCGAAAGGCTGGACGTTCGACTTCGATTACCTGGGCCACTGGCAGCCGCATCGAAGGCGCTGACTAATCCTTCAGGAAAGCAGTTGAGGCAAATGACAAATCTCGGGCCCTGTGCCATTATGTAACCAATGCCATGATGCCATAAGTAGGATTATTTGACGAAATTTACACTTGGCAGGTAAAAACCGTAAATGGGAATCTGTCGCGCCCGCCCTCCCGACGTTCGGTTTCCTGTCGTTTGGTTGCTTAATGTCTGGAAACATGGCACTAAGTATGAAGCTTTGAAGGTTTGATGGGATTTGGGGCCTAACCACAAGGGAACTCGGGCTTCGTGCAGTGCACCTACTTCAGGTGGTGTATAGGATAATTATACAAAATGTATGTCCTGCAGTGTAGACGAGGTTGTGCTACGATCAAAAAGAAAATTGTATGGCCTAAAGTTTGTGATGATATTCACGTAAGATGCGATCACCTCCCATCGTTGACGACGTCCTGCAAGATGGGCCGGCCCTTGAGGATCCCCTCTTCTACTCTCGGAGTTCTCGGTTTCTTCAATGACGGTTCGTTGAGACTAGCCACTGTTTCAGTCTCCTTACTTCGCTTCGCAGGACTGCGGATACTACACCGTTCGCTTTGGAACGCCGGGTGCTTGACATCCGCATTGACAGGTAGTGTCAATATCCAGCCCCGCTCGTCCATGAACGCTAAGAACACAGACAAAAGTTCAGTTGAGCTCAAGGTCTTTCGGGAGCCGATGATGATCAACTTCGACCGCGCACGTGTGAACGATACGTTGATTCGCCGCCAGTCCTTGAGCAACTCTCCAACCTGCACAAGGAGTGTTAGCTCGCATCGCAATTGTATGGTTGCCAATAGCACATACCTGCCCATGGTCGTTGGATCTGACCATGGAGATGATGACACAGTCCTTATCACGTCCTTGACTTCTGTCAGCTGTGAGGATCTCTATATTCTTCCTATCTTGAAGAAGGTGTGATAGAAGTTTGATCTGCTGGCGATAAAGAGACATGATTCCAATCTGGTCCTCCTGGACTCCTGATCTTAAGAATGCTTCGGTAATCTGATACACAAGCTTGGCCTCGACATCATTTTGGACGAGGTCCCCGACTCTTGAATCCCGGGCAGGTGATTGATCTGTGTCAAGGAATACAACTTTGCAACTATTGGGAAACGCGGTAAGTCAACATGCCGCACCACATGCATTGAACCGACCTTTCTGATAAGAGATACCGCAACCAGCAAGATTCCTTGCACAAGCACATTCCCGGATCCAGTTTGCCGGTCATACACCCATTAGGAAGAACCAGAGTGCGCTTCGCCACTTCCTCTGATCCACATCGCAGACGATCTCCATATATGAGCTTATTTGACAACTGCATGATGTCCTCGTTCATGCGATATTGATATGTGAGATCGATAACCGCGTGTGGATGCGCTTCAGAGAGGCGTCGGAAGAGCGATGTTTCCAGGCCACCTTTCCGAGCAGCGGGATTACGGACCTAAACAATCATAAAGGAGAGACCGCGATATGCAACAAAAGAAACTCACTAGGGGGGGAAGCTGGAAATGGTCTCCAACCAAAACGAATTTCTCGGCAAACCGAAGGGGACCTAAACATGTGGGCAGAGTAATCTGAGAAGCTTCATCGACGATGCAAAAATCGAACGTCCTGCGAGAAAAGAGGGCACTAGTGCAGAGACGGAAAATGAGCGCAAGCAAAGACATCGACAGACAAACATACTGATCAATTGTCAAACATGTAGTAGCAACAACAGGTGGGGTAATGACCTGGTTCTCCAATTCCTCGACCGTTGCAGGCAACCTACGCTCAGATAGTGTAAATTTGCGAACGCCAGGATGCACCTAAACACAAATAATGAGCAAATGTACGAAGGCTCATAGTGCCGGAGAGATGTACCTTATCAGCATTACCAAGTCTTAAAATACTGAAGTCTACATCCTGCAGCTTGAGCAGTATCGTGTCCACAGCCGAGTGAGTGTACGATGTCAAAAGGACTGTCTTCCCCATGGCCACGATAGTCCGGATAAGCGCAGCAATTACGGTCGTCTTTCCCGTGCCAGGCATGCCGAGGATGAGTGCGTAATCGCGTGCACTCAAGGCCCGCTTCATCGCAGCAAGTTGACTAGGGTTCATACCCGAGCTGGCGAGGACATACTCCGGAACATGTTGCAGGTTATCCGCGATGGTCTCTTCGTTATCGAATAAAGGGCGTCGCAGGTCCACGACAAGCTCTAGACGTCTGGCATCCCCCTCTGTATAGAATAGTTGGGCTAGATTGTCTCTTATCCGCGCCATGCTGCCCGATAGCTCGTCCTTGTCAATTCGGAAGCGGACAGCTGGTCTCGCTCCTCGAAGTGTCTCAAGTCTGGCTTCTATCTTGTCCACACTTAACTCGTGATCTACGCCTACGACCACGGCCTCTGGTGTTAGCTCCACAATGAACCCTCGTGCAAGAGCAAGAAGATCAGGCTCAACGGAGATTGTGATAGCATCTCCACGGCTCATGTGCCCGTTCAAGAACGAAACGTCCTGAACAGCAGAAGCCCGAACGAAGCAATAGGTATACTGGTGAATCTTGCCACTGTTTGGAACTTTGGCCGGCTGGAATGACGTGTCTATAACCATCGAGTTGAAACATCTGCCTTTCTCCTCGCGTTCTTGAGCGGTCATACACCATAGTTCTTTTCTAAACCGAGTGCCGTCTTGCTCCTCCAGCGAAATGAGCTCCTCCCATTGTTTAAAAAAAGTAAGATGGGAAGGTTTCAGATGTGAGGTTTTGAGGTCGTACAAGTCTGCAATCGGTGAGGATACATCAACAACGTTCTCAACAGCCTGTGGCCATGACATCAGCGGAACCAATGGAGCAAGATAAGAACCAAACCTTGCGAAATAGCATACAGGTATCTAACGCATAACACTTCCCACATAGTCTTTCGTCGTCGATCGTAGGAGGCAGAAAAGGCTCTTCGATCGCCTTTTCCTTGCCGTGTGTATTCCTGCGCATCATGTATGCTGCCATTTCATTCCTTGCACCTATGAGTGCTCGAAGCTCGTGGCGGCTTTGCGGGACACGGACGACCTCCTCGCTCTGGGTGTAGTACAGGAGCCCGCTCGGAACCTCGACACCGTACCGTTCTGCTATAAGGAGGGTGTAAAGCATGGTTTGAGCGCGATGTTCCATCCCTGCTACTGTTCTACCAGTCTTGATCTCAAATGGCATTATATGTGTGCTCAGTAAGGGTTCCTTCTTGGCATACTTATCGAGCGTGCCCTCAGCAATGACCGCCTCGACGGTGGCATCGAGCTTGCCTTTCAGTCCATAAGTCGGAGACCAAATGTCTTCTTCCACATCATGAAGTTGTGATATGGCAAGAAGAGAACTTTGATTTGCAGCCGCACGGGTGTTGGTGAGAACTGCTTCAGGCTACAACAAAAAAATTAATAGTCAAATATGCGCAGTTTCGAGGAACGATTACCTTCGGAGTCTCAGCGATGTAGCGTTCAGAGAACACTCGAAGTCCTTTTGAACGGGCCTTGACTTCACGTTTTGCTTCGTCAACGCTGACATTGATCTTGACGAGTTCTGCAAGGTTCTTCTTGATGATATCCTCAGTGTGTTCTTCAATGAAGCGGTCGTCCCATCGTTGTTCGGCCATACATATTTGCATAACCTCGTGAACCATGTTACCCCATACGAGCGATGGGGTGATATCCAAGCTCGAACGGACGAGCCCAGAGAGAAGTGGTTTGCGCCTGCACTGTGGTGCGTTAGATAGTGCAGTAGCTGTGATCAAGAGGTCTGGATGATTAATCAGAAAATTGGATTTGGACGCTATCTTAATCGTTCCAAAGGAATCAAAATCGCCAAGGACATTGATGGTATTCCCTGGATTGCGTTAGCATATAAACGAAGCATGTAAAGGCGAATTACCTTTGCGAATATCTGCATCTGCCCAGTCGTCGCAAAGGATCACTGTTCGGCGATCTCCACTTGGTTGGACACGCACAGAAAGAACCTGAAATAATCTCTCGTGACATAATGCAAATCATACAGCTGTGGGTTTTCAAACCTTTTGAAATACGGCCGAACTGTCCTCTCGAACGTCATCAACTACACATCGTGTGCACGTCTCTTTGGCATGTCGCTTCACAGGCATTGCTGCCGTCTGTGGAGCTTCAACAGAGGTATCATGGTTGGTAGAGTGTTGGACTTGACCTTGGACTTCACTCGAGGCTTCTTTGGAGTCAGAAAGTCATCTTCCATATCTGCCCAGTCCCAGTTTTCAGCGCCTTCAAGAAGCGCTTTCACATCCTGAGCCGTCTCATCGACGGGGGGAGCAGTGGCAGACAAAGATGCGGATCTCCTTACAACAGGAGAACGCTTTACAGAAAGCGACCCACGACTGGGGGTTTTCTTCTGCCGAATCAGAGCAATAAGTACCTCCGAGCAAAAACTCACCTTCATTGGCGTCTTCCCGAAATTGGATTTCTTTGGTGTAAGAAAGTCTGCTTCCATATCATTCCAGTCCCAGCTTTCTGCGCCATCGAGAAGCATGGAAATGTCGAGGTTATTACTGTGAGAGCCAGGACGGCTGCCCGCATGTTGTGAGGGCGTTTGTGGAGGGATGGAAGAGCAAGAAGCTGTTTGCTTGAGCTTCGGTGGATGCTCCGGTCGGAGTGCTGAATCGAGACCTGAAAGCAGATTCTTCATGAAAACATATTCGTCGGGAGTGTTCGGTATCGCTTGGGGCATGACAAACTAGAAAGATGAGAGGTTTGAGAACACGGTGAGTCCCTTCGAGGTGGCGCGGTAACGTGATTATCTGCCAGAATGTGGCGCGACGCGTCTGTTATCATTTATTTGGCTCTCGCGTTCGAACTCCGCGAACATTACCCATATGCTGGCACACAGGAATGCATCTCATAACCAACTTGCAGGCGCTCACTTTGAGAGTGAAGAATGGGTCAGTGAGCAAAGTTCCAGAGTCGAATTCTCCGCAGACTCATCGCCGCTATTGTACTATTAGTACGTATATCCCCTAAGCCCAGGTCCCTAATTCGGCCGCGGGTAGGAACGTAACCACTGCTAACGATCTTGGTAAGATTTGAGCTTTACCTAACTTGCAGAAACCCATCCAGTAAGCCATCACGATGTGCTCGGTATAGGTCATCACAAGTCATCGCGATGTGCACATGGTCTGTTTCTCCACAAATTACGTCCACTGCCACTGATACGGTGACCTCATGGACGGGCGTAAACGATTTAGCCACGGTAACAGGTAATATCGAGTTTCCAGACATTCAAATTATTATCGATGCGAGTAATACTGCACCGTGACGGTTAGGCTACTCCTCATAGCCGTGTGTCCGCTGTAAATGCGCCATCATAAAGCCCTTATCTTGGCAACACCCAGCTATGCAGTCATTTCATTTTCCAAGCTTAGGTGCCCCTGATCACAATTAGCATTTAACGTCAAGAGATCACAGGGAGATTCAGGTAAGCCGAGCATCCAATCGCAGACTTGTCTCCCACTTGAAAAAAATAATCCAAAAATGGACCTCTTTGCGATGTTTCATCGTCCGACTTCCTCTTTCGATCGCCATCATGGGACTCTTACCTCGGTCCTCCGTCACCTCGTGTTTCCCATGTGTACAAGCCAACGAGGCAAACATCATCTTCGTTTACATACTTGAATTTCCCTCGGTATTAGGCGCAGCAGAATAGACACACGGCCTTTTCAATCGGTCTCTCGCAAGTCCTGTAACAAAGGCTATCACAAGATTAGCAGAACATTCGCCGTGCATCAGTCAACATTATAACCTTATCATGTTCAGCAGCCTTTCTAGCACCCTCGCAGCAGCAGCAAGTGCCGGCGGAGTCAAGGGAGATGCCAAGAAGTCCATATCCCCAACACTTCGCGCAGATATCTATAGCGCCATTGATCAGGCGAAGCCCTGGCTCATTGGGGGCACTGTGGGCAGGCAAGCCGGCGATGGCGTCGCATACCAACCCATTATCGCCAGAATCCACGTACACTTCCCTGATATGAAAGTGGGTTTAGATGCATCACGAAACGTAGAGCATGAAGCGGCGGTTATCGTCGCTGGCATCACAAACATGATCCTCGAGATGAGCAAGTGGGATGGAATGGCGGGAGCTATGGCCATGCGTACGTGGGTTGACGCACTTGGCGATGCGCACAGCAAGATAAGCAGCGCGTCTACCGGAGCGAAGGGCGGTTCTCGGAAGGACCAAGTTGGACGAGGAATCACCAGGGGCATCAATCAATTGACCGACGTTACCCTCATGACAAGAGAGTTTGCGGCGAGAATACAAATCATCTCGCTGTTAAAGAGCGGTGAGTTGAAATTATATCATTCATTCAAGACGGCTCGTTTACGCCCACCACTCTGCTTCTTCGACAATTCCAGTAAATACGAAGATCCACGGCGCTGGTAGTGATGAAGCAAGACAGGGAGAAGCGCTATGGAGCTCAAAGTTCATCTGAGGTTCGGAGAGTGATAACATCGAATTCGAACTTCTAGACAAACAGAAAACTAGCCAGTCAGAATGCTTCGTTGTAGCTTTGTTTTACGCCGATCATTTTTGCGTTGCAGATATGCACTAGTCTAGGATCATGGCATCGGTCATCATCGGATGGTCGTGATATCTGTTATTGGCAATCGTGCAGGGGTAAACGTTTCCAACCGTGGTTAAATGGGGTTACGCAGTGTCATGCACCCGACGGAAGGCGTCCATCGCGACTCATCAATCAGAATAGAAACGAGGAGTTTCGAGCAATTAAAAACCTGCACATCGGCGCAGTTATACATATATAATGACGGACCTACTACACTAATCAGATGTGACCACATGACAATAAGGGCGGCATGAGTTGCCCGTGGAAGCCAAGCGAACGCAACATCACGTCCATTCTGAGATGGGTGAATGCCAAGGGACCCACAGGGACGAAAACGCAGTCTGGAAGTATCTGGGCTGATTGGAGGACTCCAATATGTATAATAACAACCATACAAGCAGAACATGCCAATATAACGATTGTATGTACAATAGTTTTACATGATCTGACGGAAATGTAAGTGTCGGGTCTGCTCATTGGGTAGGTTACTCACATAATTGCGGATATCCTTCGGGAAGCTTGACGATGACGACTGTGCCATCATGTCATTTGATGTCGCCTCAGGCGAGTCATGAAGGTTGATCATGAAGTCATCGAGGGAAAAGTTTTCCAGGCTAACGTCCAATATGAATGGTTCATCCAGCCGGTTTTGCGTGTTGTATTCATGGGACTGAAACCTCCCTGGCTCAGAGAGGCCTGGCGTCATAGCGTAGTTTTGAAATGGGAGCGGGCGGATGGGGTTGATCATGTCGGGATAAGCATGAGCATTGTTTGCGAGAAAGGGTGAATTGGCTTGATATGCGAAGTGCGGTGAGATGGAAGATTGGGGCGCGCGTACAGGCGCTGGGTATCGTAAGTGGTATGTAGCAGAGAAGATAAGAACGGGACGTGGGCGGCCCAAGGACCTTGTGGGAGTTGCTGGGTCTGGAGCACGGTACACATCCTGAATAATGGTGTATACGGTGGGATCTTAGGCGAAGAATCAACGTCCGTCGCGCGTCAAGATCAAAATTACGTACCTGGAGATTTGCACAATGTTTCCCAGTACTTGGGAACCAGAGCTGTGCTGTAGAGCAATGGACCGTCACCGGAAGAACCGGTGAAATATGGTCCAACACATTCGAGCTTTGTGTCCTCGCTGTGTATGGGTGCGCCATCCAGTAGCACTATATAGGATGACTTGCCAATAAAGGCAGAGGGCGAGACGAAGGTTACGGTGGGATCAATGTCCCTCATGCGACGTGGTGTGTTCAAGGAGGCAGCTGCACCTTGAGGGGGCTTGTATGTAGAAGAAGATGGTGCACGTGAACGGGAGGAGGATGAGCTCGAGAATGAGCTGGATTCCGGCAAGATGTCAATGTACACTGGAGTACGATTGTCAGGAGGGTTCTGTCTAGACGGCATGTCTGGAGGGCTGTGAGTGTATTCTGCAGAGTATATGGATGAGCCGGTGGATGAGGTGGTGGATGAGCTGTCGCTGCTTGAAGAGTCGAAAGATAAATAGGAAAACGGAGACTTGGATTCACCCTCGAAAACATGGTTATGAAGAGAAAACCTCCGTGACGAGCCGAATTCACTCCGCGTACTAAGATAACATCGGGTGAGGGAATCGATCACTTCCAAAAATAACCAAAATAGAAGAATATTAATGATGCCGTTTCAATGAACGCACAAACAGCCACGGGACGGATACTCACATTCCCGCCCCTCGGATGTGTCCCTAAATTGTTGTAGACGACTGCCTATTTGTTTTGATGATCTATACATTCCCGTCTTGTGGTAAATGTACTCCGAGATGAAGCGATTGCGCATTGGGAATCGACCCAAAATTTGTGTTTCCCGCGAGTCAACGGGTTTGTATTCATGAAGACCTGGAGGAGTCGTGTGAGATAAGGCTGTGTGATCAGCGAATGTGATCCGCACCTTTCAGCATCGTGGCTTCGAGATAAGGTGGCCATACAGGCTCGGTATGACCCTTCAGAGTTTTCCAGCTTTTTCTGACTTTCATGATCGTCCGAAGAATATCTTCAGTACTTTGGCTCGGCAACATTAGCCGCGAAGGACCGGAACCACACGATGAACTCGTTGTGCTGCCAGTTGATGGCGATGAGGAGCGTTCATATCGCACCTTGTAAACGTGGTGCGAGGGGTGGGTGATGGGTGCGGAATAATGCAGTGACATGAGGGTGATGTGATTGTGCGTCAAAGTAGGCGAAGTACAACCAGAGGCGGGCTAATATAAGGGTGTGGGGGTGGGGGCGGCAAACATGGTTGTAAGTTTCCCGGATGGCACAGAGCATTGGTATAATTA